CGGGCCCCTTCAGGACGGCCGCGGCGCGGCCAGCATGGTGCACATTTACGAGCTGTAGAGTAGGCTCGAGTCCAATCCGTTGGACATGCATGCATGATACTACGGTACATATTTAGGAAGGATTGCTGGAAGCTTTTATGATCGACGTGCTTGTAGATTCTATCTGCATTAAAAGTCGAGACAAGCCAGAGTAATATACTGCGAATGGAAATCATTTGAGTCGTATTCTTCGTGTTATTTCTCAGATCGTTTGAGACAACTCAGATAAGCTGCTTAGAATGGAATGGTATCAGTCTACATCCCAATGTCAAATGGAGATGATCGAGGTATAAGTGGATAGATTTTGGCACTAGGGTGTGCACTGTGCACTTAGAGGTAGAAATCACTCATTATGTATTCATGTGTCGATCATGTAATTATCACGTTATAAAGCCCGTACCAAAGCACCGGGCTCCATTAAATACATTATACGGGGTTGGGGCCGTCCGCGTGTTTTATTGACAAGCGATCTGTTTTACCCTCGTGCAAAATCTTATTGACTATTTTGACAGGCTTGAACGTATATATGTACGAGTTGTGCGAGCGCTTGAAGAGTACGTATGCTGTTGCAGCTCTCTACACCTCCCTATAGCAAGGTTACAACGCTTGAATTGTCCATCTAGTGCTCCCGCAACATGACTGCGCCAAACGTCTCGAAAATTTTCCTTTGAGTTGTCAAAACCATTGCGACCCGCGTGACCAGGGAGATGCCGCTGCCACTCGATCAGGCCCAGCCGCCTCCGCTGGGGTTGGCCGGCCCGGGCCAGGCCGGCGGGGGCACCAGACAAAGGAAAATGACGCCAACCCTCCAATCTGTTTGTACAAGCTTTCACCTGATCCCCTGCCTGATGCAAAAAGGACGAAGTGCAAGAGTCACATAGAGATAGCTTCCGAGATAGCTTTCTTCGGAAGCAATTGTATGTTCGACATTTGGGGGTCTTCCTTAAAGCAAGGAATGAGAGCACACGTGAAAGACCCTCGCAATCACGTGCTTCAAGTTGTGCTTACTCGTGCAGGTCAAAGATCGTAACACGTGGGTGCAAGATCCGGCCAGGCACGAACTTGGAGCGGCTGGTGCGTTGGTTGGCAAAGACAACCTTTTCATATCTCATATGTACATACGGGACACAATCAAGAAGAGACGCGACAAACCAGACGGGACGGGGGTCTCCTACTAAAAGATAAAATGTAAAAAGGGCGTTGCTCACATCTCAGCTGGGCTGAACCAAGCATGCTCCTCCTCCTCCTCCCTAAGGTACGAAGGGAAATCTTTCGAAACAAATTTGAGATTTGTCTCATTTCTCCCAGGCAGCTCTCCTTCCTCCATCTGGATCTGCAATCAACCAAGAGCTAGTCACTCACCCAAAAACACAGTGAATATGCCCTCGCGCTGGTTAAAAGCTGTGTTTCTCTCTAATTTGACGACAGCTTCGTAATCAGGTTGTCGTGCTTCAGCTAGGAAGCAGACCCTGGAAACAAAAGCTGAGGACGAATCGGAGAAGCCCTAGGGTCGTCGAGGGCTAAAGTGAAAGCCAGTGTCTGACGAAAAGTTGCAAACCGTCTGATGCCTCCACCTTCACTATGATAACCCGTTTCGAACCGATCTCTTCAATACCAAAAAGGAATAGCGGGAAACAAACATCGAGCACACACCAGGAGCATAAAAGCTCGGCTCAACGAGACGTAAAACGGGGGCTATCTCAACAACAAATCCGACCGAGTGACTTCCAAGTCTACGAAGTTAGTTTCGAGTTCACCAGTCAGGGCAACTAGTTCGAGGAGGTCTGACATCGGCCGCTTTGACAAAGCATCCAATTCGTTATGCCACACAGGGCTTCGGAACCGATTCATGGCCCTCCTTGGATTTTGTTGAATCAAGCGTTGAAGAGGCAAAGCGATACTCCGAGGAGAATCCATATAAGACAAGCTAAGCAAAACGCGCCTTCTTTGACGGTCAACGGAAACGTAAACGTAAGGCTTTGTGTGTGAGTCCCAAGCCAGCGTATTAAGAAGTGCACTAAGTGTAGGATTCACCACCTGACCAGCAGTATAGTTCAAAGTATGGGGCAAAGAAAAGGACTAACCGATCCGATACCCGGGCCCCACTGAGGCTCTATGGTTAAAGCCGTCAAGGCTTCCTCAACCAAAGTCACGCGTTTCAGCCTTGACCACCACCCGTCTATAGTCACTCGCATCGTCCGAAGCACCTCCTTGACCCTGGCGGGATCTTTTGTGCTGAACAGGTACTCGAAGATGGAGTCCGCTATTTCCAAGAGCTCCGATTTCAACATTTCTTCGGTGCGCTTATGGTATTGATGCCCAAGAGATTGAGGGAACCAGTATGGGGCCTGTAGATGAAAGAGTTCTGCAATTAGTGCCCTGCATGTCTGCAACCACCAGCAAGACATCAATAAAGACCAGCGGTAGATCCAAAGCAAATTGCACCGCCTTACTTCAGCCCACGCTGTACCAAGCACGTCCGTCTTAGATCCCAAGAGATTGTTGGTGACCATCAGTACTCATCTCCCTCAATCGCGACATATTGATCAAACCCGCAGACAAGAAATACGACTGTCTGTTTACTACTCAAAGCCGTTTACTTCCGCAAAGCAAACTCCAGCAGCGATTTGCCGAGAAATATCAAGTTACTCACACATTTGTGCTTGGTTGCCAAAATTGAGATGGTCACCAGGTACTCGGACTTGCATAAACTCAAATCTTTTGTGCTTCCTCCAGGACATAAGAATATCAATGGAAAGGAAAGGAAGGATCTCAAGAAAGTCTCAAAAAGAGTCTAAAAAAGAAGGATGCGAAGCAGGCACCTTCCCCCTGGTTCTTGGTGGTAAACCGTCCATCTTCCTGACAGTGTTCATCATGCCAGCAACGAGTAAAGCGATGTCGCGTTTCCCCAAGGGCTCGAGAAGCGTGCTCATACGCGTCTTTCCTTCGATGATGGCTCTGCTTCCAAATGGACAGAAGCGAATGGTTAGCCGTAAAGACATTTGTGACAGAAGACCAGAAAACTCTGATGCAGGTGAGAGGCACACATGTTACCAATTGAATACAAAGCTTCATCAAAACTCTCTTCCTCCGCACCTCTCCGCAACCACTGCATGCTTCATGTAACTTTATGACTTCCTGTTCCTCACAAACTGACATGAAGGAGCAAAGAAGGCGGCTTCTGAGTCGCAAAGTGAAAGCTGACGGTCTCGATAGGCACTTTCTCTTGCTCTAGCAAAGTGAGATTGCATGGAACAAGAATAACAGGAGATTCACAGATTGCACAAGCACCGACCATTGAAAAGGATCTGCCAGGCAAGGCACCTCAAAAGTCAAGCATCTTTTCGAGCGAAGGTAAAGCAAAGGTTCCTCGCCTTGAACCTCAATCCCAACTAGTCTCTTCCCTGAAAGCTTCAGCGTCACCCGTCAAGGGGTTAACTTACTTTGCATTCACCCCATTTGCCAACGAAATTCGCGTCCCGCCTTCCGGATTTCTGCCCCAAACCACTGAGCCCGAGGGAAAGTTGTCCTCGGCAACGCACGGCTCCCGTAAAGGGCTCCCGCGCTGAAAGGCCCCACTGTTCTCGCCCTCGACCTTCAGGACAAGGAGCTTGTCGTTGCCGCGGGGTCCGGACGCAGTCCCTGATTCCCCCTTCTCGACAACCTGAAGCTGCCTGCTGGTCGGCCCCTTCTCACCGGTATCGTTGGCTCTATTCTCACCCCGCTCTGCCTCACCACCCCGCCGTCGTTTATTGCTTTCCGGGCGGGACCCGTCAGCCCAAGGCTGCAGCCCTCTCCCGGCCCCAGTTTCCCCGTCGTCTTCCGTTCGCCCCCCACCAGGACCGCCGGAGAGTCCGCCGGAGGGTCCCAAAGGACCGGCCTCACGCAGGGCGTCAATGACGCCGCAGCCAACAGAGTACAGGATGCACTTTGCGACCCCGTCCGGTCTTCGCAGCGAAACCTCGAGATTGTCGAGAGTCTCGATGTCGCCTTTGCAGAAGACTAAGCTGAGCGTGATCACGTGGTCTATGTTGTCAACGTCAACCCCAACAAGTCCGTTGGTTGGGGCCAGACCACCCCGAGACTGGTCCTCGATCGTTTGGGTCTGGGGATTCCACTGCAACGAGCGAAAATACAATGTTCGAAGTCTTCCATCAGAGCCGGCCAACAATACTGTCACAGTCCCTACTATTGTCTCCGTGGAACCCAGCTGCGTAAATCACTCTACTAATCACGAAGATGACTGAAGTGAGCACCTCGGTTAGGAACATGCCTGTCAGCCACACTTGATTCATGACTAGTTATCTACGCCTTACTGCCAAAACTTCACGTGTGTCCGACAGCGAATTGCACGGAAACCCCTGATTTAAATCCCCCAAAAGGCCTTCTAAGAGATGAAAGGCTCAGCGCAATCAATCCTGAGAAGATATTCAGGCAGGTACCGCACATAACGTCGCAAAGGGCTTCCGGCAGAACAGAATGGTGCGCTTACCTGGCGGTACGTGCGCCGCAGGATAAGGGTTGCGAACTCGGGCTTGCTGTCCAGCTCCGCAGCTTCGTCAAGCTGGGCGAACAGACGCTCAATTCGAACCGGCTGTCTGACCCGCTCATGCTTGGCTGCGTCTACCAGAATGCACGCGAACCGCCTCAAAGATTCGTCGAGAGAGTTCGCAGGGGAGTTCGCTCGGCTCCTCGCTGCCGCTTCCCTGAAGCAAGAGAGAGTCCAAGCTTGGGCCGGGACATTCACAGGCGGTGCCGCCCTGGGAGGCTCCTGGCCCACGCCCCTGAAAGTGACCTCCTGGGGTGCCCTTCCGGGCCCTGGTATCCGAAATTGCGGGCTACTGGCCGGCCCCGTCTCACTGGGCGCGCTTTCCGGATACACCGGCCCGTCTCGCTGTGGTCCTTGTCCGGCTCCCGGGTCGAAATTATACGAGGCCGAGAAACCCCCATCCCCACGGGTCTGGTCGCTTGTCAGTTGCGATTGCGGAGACTGGCCCGATTCGCTGCCAGGGAGATCCGATTGCGCGGCGTACTGCAGGGAGGCCTCGCCAGGCGACCACTCCAGTCCACTCAAATGGGTTGTAGGAAACTGTCCTGGGCTAAGAAGTGAGGTCAAGACCTCGTTTAAGCCTTCTTCGTGCTCTGAACCTGAGGGAATCGAAAACGAATGGGTCTCAGTTGGTTGGTCAAAGGTTGGTGTGCAGAGGCAGAAACAGTTAAAAGAAACATCGCCCCACCGTTGGTACTGTAGCAAAGGTAACGGACAACATGGGTGTACCCTTGTAGCCTTCGTTTCAGGAAAATTATTGTCAGGCTTGCTCGAATGACAATCAGGCTACAAAGAGATGTATCCAGCTTGCTGTATTCGAGTTCAGGATCAAGAATATCGTCATTTGATCCGCTAATCTCTGTCAGCATAGTCTAAGTTGGACATCCAAGAGACTCTTGTTGGCAAGCCAGTGAACATTCATTGGGAGACATATAGAGACAAGATACTGACAACAGACCGCTAGGGTGATGACAGAAGCAAGAGACGAGTGAAAAAGCTTTTCCTTGAAGGAACTTAGAAGAATTAGAACATGAAAAGGAGGGCTCCTACCAAACTCGAATCTCCTCTTCCAAGTGGCGTCTGCATGATAATCTGCTAGTATGTCTGGAGGCTGTCCAGAATACTGTGCAGATGAGTCGGGAATAGGGGCCCCCTCTGACGATGTCACAACCTGCGAATTGGTAGAATGTCAGTCGCAATCTTGCTCCAGGCTGTCGTCCACAAGAAGTCAATGCTCTATCTTTTGCCAACAAAACACCTGCCTCTCCTCCATTCCAACCTACAAGAGAGGCGCAAGTGGCAACAAGAACGAAAAGATAAGCAATCAAGGATCACAAGTCCTGGGCGTTGGCAGTATCTTATGTGCCGGAGCGGGGTAACCTGATGATGAATGTGCTCCTCCCTGGACAGGGTATGCCTGAGAAGGGTACCCGCCAGCAGGGGGTTAACCGGAGAGTCCCTAACCGGTGGTGCTGTATCCAGGCTGGGCGTACCCCCCAGGAGCCAGGTATTCGCCAGGGGGCCAAAGGTAAGCTGGGGCGCCACGTCCTCGGAAGGAGGGACATGGAGAAGAGGATGAAGGCCGTACCCCCCCTCATGACCTCTCTCCTCAATGGGCCCTCTCTCTCCGATGCTGCCCTTGTCTTGCGTGCCTTCTTGTCCTGTGGGGGGAGGTTGAGTGGGGTACCGCACTGGCGGCACTTGGGAGGAAGTTTTGGGAGGGCATTCTTCGCGGCGCGCTCCCACAGGAGCCCCAAGGTTGCCCCCTGCAAAATTGGATAGAGAAGTAGGGTTAAGACGCAAGCTGCAAACACTATTGCTGTGGTCTTGTAGTGGAGGATGAAAAGATGGCCTTTCGCAGAAAGGAACAGTGTGCAAAAGCCCGATGGAAGAATACCTGCATGATAAGTATCTCACAGGGCAGGACAGCGCATCTTTTCTGGAGTTTCAAAAACCTCCCTTTCATACTTCCCTTGTATTCAAGTTGTCCATCCGAATGCTTGGCAGAGTGGCTAACTGGCAGGGAAGCATCTGCCAAAGTCACTGACAGGCAGGTACTTCATACGCAGTGCTTGCAGAGTTGCAGAATCGGAAATCTGGTGTTGAAACCCAGCCTTGTTAGGAATCAATAAAAATGATTCCAAGGAAGGAAGCAACCAAGTTGGGCTTTCTGAATTCAGGGTACATCTGAACCTTATTGCGGAAGTATCGTACTGCGCTGGTTTAGCGTAATACTATCATGACAGATCGAAGGGAAGATACAGCTTCCCATCTTTTGTACCACAAACCAGAGCAGACTGCAGCTGCTTTAAGCTCTTACCGCCATGATTGCCAGCAACAAGCTCGCCCCGTTCAAGTTTGGCGCCTGAATCTCTGTTGGCTAGGATCGCTGTGGTATTATTTTGCGACAAGCCAGGATTCCGATGGTCCACACCAGAGCACTTACACTCGACAACATCTCCAGTACCTGCAGGTTGATCCAGAATCATCAATGGGTGGCATGCCACTCCCTATGACTTTCAGAGGCAACTTGGCTCAGTCCTGACAAGCGTTGGCCCTCATTTATAACAGCTCTCTTATACTTTTTAGATTCTCCTGGTCCTACACATAAACAGCATTGCAACCTGATTGTGCCACCACTTGCCAGGGTGTTAACCGGCTGGCAAGATGTTACTTGATTTGGTGATCCAAACATTGCAGTTGGGCAGTACAAACTGCCCATTCGATACGTAGTGTTGGCTTCGACATGGTTGAGGCAACCGCAGCATGCTGGAATGAAACAGGAAACACGCTGTGTTCACCTTGTCTTCTGTTCAGCTGCTTCAGGAAGGATTCTCTGAGACTCTGCTCGGTCACTTCACTTGGCATACTAAAGTTATCCTTGATGGCAGCCACAAAACCTGCGTATTTATTAGTGTGCGTATCTTCTATTTCAGTCTCCCTTGGCCAGTCTGACAGCAGCTGGGGGCAGAGCTGAGCTTTGGACTTGGAGCGCGTTGCGATCCTGATGTGTTTCCTTAGCCTTGCGAGGCTCTTTTCAAGCTCATTTTCTTCCACATTTTTGCCCGCATGTCTGAGGATGTGGGCCTTCAGAAAAGACCTGAAGATCTTATCAGCCTCGTCTCTTTGCTCGTGGCGCGGGTCTGCCTTCTTTGTACCTCCCCCGGACCCAGCATCTTTGTCACCGATTGGTGTGCTATTGGTCAGCCCTGAGCTAGAGTTTTGTCCAGATGACAGATTCATCTTGACAAAACCCTGCTTTGACCAATAATCGGAGACCCGGACACTCCTCAACAACTCATTTGTCTACAGAGCTAAATTTTGCTCCTCCAGCAAACTCGGAGAATGGAGATCAATTTCAGGGGCAGCATTGCTTGAGCTAAAAACAAGCCGCCTCACAAGGATCGGCTTCTGGGCTTTGCGGCCAGGCCCCCAGCTGCCATGGTGGCATCCCCTTCGCATCGTTCGCAGGGCTACAACTTTCATACTCGAATCTTCTTATTCGGCACTCATGCAACTTGACCGCCGATCGACGGCGAAAGTTGACAAATTTCCGATCTTTGACTGTCAAAGCTGCGTACGGTCCTTATTGATACCGTTCCGTGAGTCCGAACGCGTCAAGTTTCAACCACCCAATCCGGATCAACCCGAGCAGGCACCGTCCGCCCAGCGTGGCTGGGACAAAGGGCCCGGACAGGCGGGACCGACCAACTTTAACGTCACCCATACTCCCAAGGTACATACACCAAAAGCTCAAAATATGCAATTATTTGAGTGAATCCGAGCCCAAATCATGTATACGGTATATTTATTTCGGCCAAAAAAGTAAATATTCATCTGGCCTGCCGAAAATTTCAGGGGGGTTAAATGTTTGATAATGGTTATTTTAGCGGGTAACCAGTGATTCACCGAAAGGATCGAAAGTTTCTTAATTAACTATTCGGTGTCGAAGGTGCCAAAATCGAAATAGCAATAAGGTACTATGTAGGGGAGATATATGTAGTATGTTGTATACAGGTACTGATTATTTTTCGGAATCAGGGGTACGGGGTACGGGGTACGGGGTACGGGGTACGGGGTACGGGGTACGGGGGTACGGGGGTAAGGGGCCGGGGGGTAGGGGCACCCCAGGGTGGGTAGTCGTAACATTTTTACCCACCTGAGGTAGTTCTAACATTTTTACCACCCTGGGGTAGTTCTAACATTTTTACCAACCTGGGGTAGTTTTAACATTTTTACCTACCCTATACCCCTGCCGAAGCGGGCTAGGGGTACCGTATATCGGACGGGGTAGGGTAAGTGTAGGGGTTGGGGTACCCCAGTACCCCAGCCAGTGTATTGCCGGAGAGTGATAAAAGCTGGCCGAAAGCTGGCCGACATCGTAGGTGAACACGTACCAATACTATGTACAAGGAAGCAACTGATCACTGCCCATGTCGGCCTCGAAAGTGACTCAACTCGACGACACGGCTGACTCCTGATAACATTCACCAAGTAGACTTTCTGCACGGTCCCCCATGAGTAGTACACCTCATAGAAGCTGGCGCTGACTCGAAGTCGTTCTCAGCTGAATCCAATGTACTTTCTCCAATACCCAACACCAGGATTGGAAATCAGGTCGTTTTGCAGGCGCACTCTCACTAACTTTTGTCATTTAATCGCTTCATGTCCCCTAAAGCTTTGTGTGCTCACATCAGTTAATAAATTACACACTTAAGGCAGAAGGCAGCTTTCTCTAGCTGCTCACAAATCCTGCAGCGCCGCCAGCTAGTATCTGCCCGCCATGGATCCGCTGGCCATGAGCTCCACACTCAACGTACTCTTCCTGCGAGCAGTGTTGATCGACCTGTTTCTGGCGAGTGCAGACAAAGTCGAGGAGTTTTTGGCGGCGGGCATCAAAGACTCTGATGGGAGCTGGTGCAAGCCAATGCTGGCTCACTACCTTTACTCCATGATGGACGACCTTTTGAGGGACACGAGCAGCGGGTAAGTTCCAATAGATACACTAGTAACACTTCTGCCCTATTAACCAAACGAATCTCTTACATTGCAGTGCCTAAAAACACCTGCTCCATCAAAGAGTTTTGAGGATCGAAGCTTCCTGCTTCAAAAGACCTTAATTTGCATACTCTCAGGAAATCCTTTTCACAGGGACCACTGGCAGCGCAAAATCAGCAGACTATGAGTCAAGCAGATGTTTGCACAGGACCAGTGGCTGCCGTCAATTTAAATCCAAAAAGCATGATCCATTTGACGAAGAGAACTTTCTTGGCTTGGGGGGAAAAGTGAGAAACTCAAGTGATCCGTGTCAGTTCTTGACATATTGATCATCCAGAGTCGTAACCACGAAAAACTGGTTTCCGTAAAACAAGCGATAAGGTCTCAATGCCGTCGTGATCGGCTCACCAAAAGTCCATCTGAACCTCGTTCTGAAAGCTCACTCAGAATGAAAGCCCCGGACCTCCTCAATGCAGAATGCTGGGCGACACTGTTGTTGACCCCATCAGTGGAAACCTACGAGCTGCTGACGTCGTCTTCAAGGACGGGGACACAATCTCATTGGAAAGCCTCGTAGCTGCCCTGTACCGTGGTACGAAGCAGTATCTGCGGAACAGCAAAGCTCCATGCGATAAGGTGAGGCCAGAAAAACTTGTGGAAAGGCCATGCTTAAGTACATGTAGAGGTGGACTATTCGAGTGGACAAATTCCTCGCAAGCTTTGTCTTGCCCTTTCACAACGAGAAAGAGCATTAAAAAAAAGCGGAGACTTTCGACAGCACGCATGCTTGAAGAAGCTCTGCAAGTTCAAGTTGATTGTGCTCTTAATTAGGTGAAGAAGGCCAGTCGCGTCTGCGCGTGGCCCTTCAGAGTATGCAATGTCAAGCCTGCGTGTACCTCAAAAGCAGGCAGTTAGACTCATATACAGTTGGGCCGTGGCAATGAGGTAATGGAAAACCAATGGGTACAATGAACTATGATGGCCTCCTTCATTGACTTTCAAAGTGGGGTTAGTTTCCTGCTTCACACAAGAGGTTGGGCAAGCACGTCCATACTGGCAAGTTCATTCCTCTCTGTTGGATCTCGAATGCACGTAAGCCTAGGTACTACATACCGTCGGTCTTCCAGAGTGACACACTCGCGCCACCTGCAACAGACTTGCCTCCGTTCCTATCCGTCGCAGATCTCGTGGCCCAGGACGTTTGGTGTCAGCCGCTGCCAAGAGCTCGGCCAGCGCGGCCTCCTTGCGGCGATCGAGTACTTTTTCGCCCGAGCCAAGCGCGACCCCGCGCTGTGTCGGGCCCTCCTGGCATACCTCGACGACTGGTTCAGTGACTCCAGCGCGCGCCACTGCCTCATCATGGTGCGCGCGCGCGCGCGGGCCTGCCTGAACCACCTCCTCGGTGCCATGAATGACGCCACTAGTCAGGCTGTGGACGAGTCCAGCCAGAGCGACGCTAGTACGTTTCCCGCCGATGCAGGTGTCGATCATGACATACTCCAGAAGGTGAGCGCCCACAAAAGATTCATAAGCTTTCCTAGCGAAGAAATAGTAACCCTTATATTGCTTTTAGGCAGTTCAAACCTGATACCGCATCCAGGTTGAAATCTGATTCAAGCTTTCAGAGAGGGTTTGATACTAGTATGCCCCAAGTTTTTCCCAAGGTGGGGCGGTTTTTGGGCGAGAGAACAATGAAGCTTGCCTCTTCGACGTTCTGTCCACTGAGCACTGAAGCATTTCGACGTAGGCCTGGATGTTGCAGGTCCCTCAGGCTGACATTTCACAATCAGCTTCGATTTCCCCTTACACTAGCGACAGAAGAGGCGGCATTTTCTGTCGAGAGCCTAACGGATGATTTTTGTTGTTGCAGCCTGACTTTTACGGCTTGGATGGCCACGCCTGGATCGAGGAGTACTTCTGCCCTCCGGACGATGACAGACGTGGCGCTGCAGAAGCTCTGTGCCTGCCCACCGTGCCCCTTCAGGTACGATCAGCTTCGATTGCCATTGTATGCATGTTGGAACATTGGGTCACAGCGTTATCTTGTTTAGCCTTTTCATTTGCGTGCACGCCGCTGGTCCATCGGTCACGTCGTCCTTGGCCCCGTGAAAGAGGAATCAGGCCGACGCTCTTCGTCCTTTCCTTTCGTTGCAAAGACCTGGCCCGACAGCGGGTTTACCATACCAAATCGCCAGACGAGATGAAAACCTTTGAGTTCTTTGCCAGCCTGAGACTCCTCCTTTCAGTGGTAGGTACTTGCCTCAGCGGAAGTATATGCAATTGAATTCTAAAGCGGGCTGCGTGTTTGCAGGTAAATCAGCCGTGGTCGCCGTTCGACATGGCGCGCGACTTGGTTCGCAACGGGCACGCATCCGTGGTTCTGGACAACCTTGGTCCTATTGCCCTGGACATGGTCGAAGAAGAGAATGCCATGGACGCGGTCCGCGACCTCGAGATGCAAGCTGCGTGTCTGTGAAAAATTGGGGGGCGTTTAAGGGCAATCGGCAACGGGCTCGAATCAGGAGTCCCAAGGAGCGCTTCCCAGCCTATGTAAGCTCTTGTTAAGGTGTAACCTATTAAGTCATTCGTTAGTAGCTATTTATTTGTAGTATGACGTTCTTGGAAGAAAGTCAGCATTTTCCAGTTCGTTACTAAAAACTCGTGTGCAAAGAACGTGTGGAGGGACAAAACGTTCGAGAAACTTGGCTGTCTGGTTTGATAAAAATGGTACGATTAGGAATCCGTTCTTCATAATCGGGACATCTTCTGTACACTTGGGCAGCGCCGTCAATTGGTTTTGCAAGAAGCAACATGACTCACTTTCTCGTATATGAATGCTTTTGCCGTATAGCCGGTGGTCTAAACAAGAGATATTAGTTCTCTTTTGAGCACGCCATACACCGACAAATAGAAACTCTTTCTATAGATATAGCTTGTTTGCACGCACCATTCTTAACTACTTGCTTTACGCAAAACGACATATTTAATCATCTTTCATGCGTTTGCGATGGGCGGCCGCCTTCAGCCAGCAAGCCATTCGACCCGGGCTCCCAAACACATGAGTCAATTTTCATGAACGACGTGCATTCGTTCATAACCATCTCGTGCTTCGATCCGGTATGCATGCAATCCCCACCTGTTCTTTCGCATATATAGGAGGCGCGATGTCAATCAATATTTGCCGTGAGGAGTCATTTACGAAAGAAGACGGATTGCGTCTTACGACAATCTGATTTGCAATTGTTCCATGACGTAGACATATGTCGAGCGAACTCTACATTGTTTGTCGGGTGCTGGTGCTATCTCGGATACCCTGCGGCCAGATACAAGGGCAGCCCCGATTGCTGGAGGACCGTGACAAATTTGGAAGGGATTGAGGAAGGCAACGCGACACTGCATCAGTTCAGCCCCTTGCATGGCCTCGTAAAGTCAAAACCCAACTCGAAGCCATCGTTTCCGTCACGGAAAAGCTCGCACCCAACGCATACGTCCGGCTATCGATATTACTGCCGCATTCTCCCCCCTCCCTTTCAAAAGTCATCCCCCTTGCGGTCCACAGCGCCCGTCTCGGTCCGAGCCTCTCAAAATTGGGGGTCCGCCCACAGCTCCCTTACGAGTTTTCAACTCCGAACTCGATGCGGTAGTTGCGACTGCACGGTGGCCTTTAGCTGCCAGTCAAAATCGCAGCCATCTTATCCAGAAATGTGCGCCTCGTTTGCAACTGATTGCTCAAAAAATGCACTTTTTATCCACATCGAATCCGTAAAAAGCACATTAGGTTCAAGTCGTGCTATCAAGCCGGGTACTGTCTTGGACCAGATTCAGGACTGCAAACTGAGAAACTAGTGTTAACGGTTTTCGCCCACTTTCCTGGTCGATGCGGCTTGCCATGAGAATAGAAGCGACCAATTTGGCAGCATGAGTCGGAAAGAAACGGAAAATAACGGCAAGCGAAATTGCATGCCAGTATCCGTTCTGAAGCAGGCTTCAGGAAAAACTGTTGGATCCGCTTCATGTCGTTAACTCTGTACGCTATTTCGCGGGTCCGCTCAGATTTTGCCGCCTGCCTTCCGCTCAACTGTGGAGGCCACTTGATTGCTCAGTAGTGCCGGAAATACGCTCGAGCTGCGTCCGATCACGGATTCTTGGGCGAGACAACTTACCTGAACGGCTGTCCTGAACGGGTATCCGTTCAGAGATCTGTGCTGTTTTTCCTGGATCAGCAACTTAGACCTCAACTTCAAGTGACTGCTTGGAGAAGCTACCGCTAGCACTGTCCTCAGATGGGCATACATTCATTCGGGAAGATCTTGATCGAGCGCGTCAAGCGCTCAGGACAAGCAAAGTGATCCCCCTTCCAGTTCCCTCAAAAAGTCCTTTATCGGCTTTCTCGACTTCGGCAGTTCCTCTTACTGATCCCTTCGCAGAATTCGAACCGGCATATATATATATCGATAGAGTTCGTTTTCCTGACCAGTCATGCATAAATTGAAATGGTCCCCTGAACAAAATTGCGTTCTTTTCAAAAGTCCCTCTTCCGCCAAGACGGTCATGATGGCCCCCAACGCAAAAGAAGGCCGAGCTCTGCCGCTACTTTGGAACCGCGCACGGGTGCGCGCGCGGCGACGAATGCTTCTTCGCGCGCGAGAAACGCGAGCTGGTCCCCTGGCGCCGCTCAAGAGCGCGCTAGGCGATTTGGCGGAGCCGGGCAGCCTCTCCCGTCAGAAGCTGAAGGCAAGTCGTGCAACCGCGATCTATGGATTGGGCGTTCTGAGCTCTTTAGTGCGTTTCCTTGGCTTTCGAGCACCTTCAACATTTCAAGGCATTCTTACCGAATTTGGAGTGAAGTGAAGGTCACTTCTGTTTCATCTATGGTGCTTGGAAGGTTCCAAACTTTACTACTCCTGCGAGTAACACGGTCGATCCTGAAAACCATACTTTGATAATTCAAATCAGATTGTAAACGGGTTCTTCCATCTCCTCGCGTTAGTTTCAGAAGAGATTGGAATCTCCTACTTCTTTTCCGCATTTTCTCGCTAAACCACTCTGAACGCACACCTTACTGTCTTTTTTTGCAGCAGTGGAATACCGAGAAAAAAATAGAATTTTCAGTCGGAAAATCTTCGTTGGCGGCCTGCCCGAGTCTGCCAATGCTGGTAATTAAGATGAAAGACGACATGACATCTATCGTCCTTCGTACGTGGATCAGAGTCTAGACCTGCTTCAACGAACAGCTGATCTTTTCAGATGAAACGTCTTGTCCGATCATCGTGGAGTGGAAGCTACTCGAATTATTACCTGAGTGTCGCCTCGTCTTCTTACCTTCCTTGTGTATGGACCACTGTTCCCAAAGGAATTCCAGAAACCAGAATTTTGCTCATCGCGATTCCCCTGGCCGGGCGACGAGTTGTCTTCTCTTGGAACTATGCAGACGACCTGAAGAGTACTTCGAAAGCAATTTCAGCCCTGTCGACGACGCGATCGTCATTGGGTCTCAGACGGCGACTGGGATGCACTCGCGCGGCTTTGGTTTCGTCGCCGTCAGCAGCGAGGTCACGGCGCAGAAGGCCTGCAGGCAGCACTACGTGATATTTTGCAGGAAAGGTGCGGCTTCGTACGGCGGAAATACAAATTTTTTCAAGGTCAGATGGTTTCTGAGGTGATTCAGAATGGGGGTGAAGATGAACTAAGAATCAGCCTGTAGCTACCAAAGGGGAGATTGTGTACAGTAGTGGAAGACGTTAATATGTCAGGCCCCAGAGGATTTTCTCTCAGAATCTTTGTTAGACAACAACCTGCCAGTACTACTCGGCCCCATCAAAATCTTCCGTTTCTGCAAAAGTCGGATTCTGCAAACCTGCCTGACTTCAGGTCCAGAAAACTGGGACGGCTGGTTTCTCTTCCTGCTATCTCGTGCTGATGTCAAACAAATGGTGTTAAAAGGGTCTCCTCCTTCTCTGCCTCCAGGTGGAAATGAAAGCGGCCGTCCCACGACCGGACTCCTTCCTTTGGGAAGAACCCCCCAAATGCAAATCGCGGATACCCCTGCTTCCCTCCTCGTTCGCATGCCGGAAAGCCCTGCAGACGGAATGAGCTCGCCGGATTCTGAACGGCTGACCTCCCAGCACGTCCCAAACCCGCCAGCCTTGGTCGCGCGGCCGCGGAGTCGCCTTCGCTGGAGTTGGTGGCCTGCAGGGATGTCAACAATTGGGAAGAAAAGCGGTCTCAAGTCGCCGTGGCAGAAACTACCGGTTCTTGCGAAAAGGCTCGATGCCCCGCCCCTTTCAGCGACCGGGAGAGACGAGACGAGCACAACGGACCGGTAACATCCCCCGTGCAAACCCCGCCAGAGCACGAAGAGTTGCCACCGCCCCCGGTCGCAATGGCCGGGAGCGTCAAATGCCCGCCCTGGCTGCGCAGTGGCTGGCCCCGGTTACCTGTCCACCAAGCGCGGCGTCCAGTTCGCCAGGTCGTCGTTCAAGGGCGACTTCAGCGCGTGCTTTGGGATGGAAATTCCGCACAACTGGGCTTCGTAAAGCTGAGCGATTTTCAGCGCTCCATGCCCGAAGTTGGCAAGATGAAGATCGTGCCGGCGCCTCCACCTACGCGGTCCTCATGCCGTGCTCGCCGCGCGCAACCGCGCTGCCGCCGCCGCCCAAACTCCGCGCGAAGTTCGTGTACTCCGGGCGGTCGTACGCATGGGCGCGCAGGGGGAGAGAAGCCCAAGCAAGGAAGGGGAGGAGGCAGGACCCCGAGCACGAGATGTTGCTACAGCGGCACCGGCCGGGCCTTGGATCAAGTCAAATGCATGATGGAAACATGTGCAGAACGCCTCGGGCACTCTAATGCACAAAGAAGAGCCATCAAAGTAATCGGGTAAATGATTGTTACGAGGCCATACACAGAGTCTCTGCCCTGGGCTTTTGAAGGCCGGCCAGCACGCCGAAGAATGGCAGGAAAGCCTGCATGGAATAGCACCAAGAAGCGCCCAACCACCCAACCTGAAACCTGTCCTGCACAGTCCCTGTCTTGTGAAGCAGCTTTTGGATGTTTTCTTCAAAACGGCTGCTTTCAGTTCCGAACAAAAGTTTCGTATTGACATATCGAATTTTGAGTGATTCTTTCAAAACCGGAACTCGACTTACGAAGCTTTCGATCAATATCGATGCCTCGGTGTTTTGAGAGGTTTTCCCGATACGGACAATGAGTCTGGGTTGCTTTATAATAGAGCTGTAGCCTTGCACATGCATGTGCAAGTGAACGTATGCAATGATATGTTTTCAACCTGCAATAGCTCACTACGTCATGCACACGTTGCACGCCTCACGCAGGAAGCTCCCCTCTGAACTACTTTCACGTGAGGAGGAATCGCCCCTGTATGTTCGTCCATAAAACAATGATGTACTCGAAGCGCTCATGTGCCAGACCCTCTGCAAACGTGAAACGTCTCAGTTTCAGGTTGCTGTCGTAAATTATCTGCGGCCCGGCGACTCTGCACAATGCAGATGTGCAAGTATACGCCAGACTATCATACAGGGTATCAATACCTATTGTTAGCCACTATATTTTGATTTCATAGCATCGATACGTCAGAAAGAAGATGTAGGAGAGAACCGTATAAGTGGATGCCCAGACCATCATGCAAGTGTATGTTGTTCACATTTCTCTTCCCACTGCTGTGACAAGAACGGCCGGAGTCTTAGTACTAATGCCCGCTGACCGGCTACTTCCATGTGATGTTTCCAACCCCAGAGAACGCACTCTTAAGAGCTTTTGGGTTGGCCCAGGCCGAGTTCGTGAAGGCATCATCGTCGTCTTCCGCAAGAGCCTGCATAAAAGAAGATTCTTTACTCAGTTCAGGATGCGCATAAAGAAACTCGTGTCAAAGAGGTGCGAAAATTGAACTCTGAAGACACTAAATGTTATTTTCTGCCTCCCAGTGTGGCGCGTGGCAAGCGCTGACACGATCTGGACTCAAAAAGAGCATGCTTTTTCGTGAATCCAATAGCGAGACTTGGTAAAGTATTCAACGCCACCCTTGTTTTGCTAAGCTTTCGTGCATCACGAGGTGTTTTTGCACAACATACCGTGGCGGAAGAGGCTGTACAGAAGGACAGATGGGCAGGTTGTTCTCCACATGAAGGAGGAAGGACAGCAATCAGAGAAACCCTATAAAAGAAGCTTCCCCTTACCTTTTCCTCCTGCTGCTTTTTAAAGTACCAGGCCATCATGGCCTTTTGAGTCTCGGCATCCGCAGGCTGCCAACGAACAACAGTTCTTTGTAAGTGGCGATGCACTCAGAGCCTTAGGCAGGCTCTGTTACATGTCAAGGGCTGGCCGAGCCTCCTGCTTGATATCGAAGGTACGGAACAGCTACAAAGCCTGAACGGTGCAAGGGCTATTGCGTAAAGCGACCGGGAAGACAGGGAAGCAGACGATGTGCGAGCAGGGAAACAGGAGCGAAAAACAAGCTGCCCCAGTCAAGGACGGGTTTGTTGTGAACACCGAGCTTCTATCAAGGGCCACGCAAATGGGGCGGCAACTCACCGGCTCTCTCGAAGGTGGCCCGACGCCCTTCTTTTGTAGCTTCGCTACGACCTGTGAAAAAGGAAAAATGGACCTGAAAACTGCGAGGGGGTACGGCCAGGTGCGAACTGTAATGGCGGGCTGAGCGAAAGACAGGCACAACTGGAGCCGTGAAGACAAGCTACAAGTAGATCACTCTCATAACGTATTGATCTGGAGATCGCCACTCCAAAGACAACACCACTTAAGAGGCCACCACTCCAAGCAGAGTAGTGAACAGCGACGGAAGGAGCAAACTGGCGGAGAACAAACGGTACGAAAGTCAATTGACCCCACTACGCAGATGACTATCCGACGAGTCGCATCACTGACGCACCTTGGTTTTCTCGTTCTTGCCGACGTGCTGGCTGAGCTTGTTCCCCCGGAGCAGCTCCTTGCCGGCCCACCACAGCGTCGCCGTGTTGGGGTCCACCTCAGAATCGGCGGCCTGCAACGCGAACATTCCCAGCTGTCAACGAGCTTCGTCACTCACAAGTTTTCTGCGTTGAAAGCCCTGGGATTGATAAACTTACCAGGTTAGACCGGGTAGGGTCATATTGAGCGGTTTGGGTGGGATTAGAGTCGTAAGAACATAGAGTCTGACATAGCACCTTGGAATTCCCCGATCATTCCTGAGACCACCCGTCAACAAGCCTCCTCAAAGATGGGGCTTCTTATGCGATTCTTTGTTCAGCAAGACATGCCGACCAAGAAACGTCCGGACCGGCGACATGCTCTGTAGCTCCTCATGGCGGTCTCGAAGTTTGCCGACAAGTGCGACCCAGCTTGACCACAACTTAAAGACTCAAGTTAGTGGCGGTCGAGAGGCTCTATGACAAGCTTCGTTCTGCGGATGAATTCGAATTTCGACCTCTATGACGATCCGTTCACTGTACAGTTACTGATGAGCTTTGACCAGGGATCGCCGAGGTAGGCGAGTCTTGAGAGACGGATGCGAAAAACGTGTAGGACTGCCATGAACCAGAGCAGGAGTCGAGCAACTTCGAGGATTTGTCGTGCTTGAAGGGAAGGTCCCCCAACCTCACCGTCGTTCCGACCTCGAGCTCCTGACGCACAGGGTCGTAAGCAGGGAGCCCGTCAGGAAAGCAGCGGTGGACGGCTTCCCGTATGCTGTCCACGACCTCTCGCAGGCGGGCCTCGGTCAGAGCCACCTTGTTCGCGACTTGATCCTGTAAAGACATCGAGAGAACATTTTAGAACTGACGTGTTGCAAATGCAATATTTGTGGAGACCTACGCAAAGGCATGCGACTCCACGAAGTAAAAACTGGATGTGGACAAAAGGTAGAGGAATGTTCCGATCAGCAGATATGGCCAGCAAGTGGGGCCAAGAGAATTGGTCGCGGGTTGGATGCGACGAGTAGCAGTATGTTTGACTGTTGTGGGACATGATGTTGTTTGCAGGGGTCAAGACATTCCAGAACGTCGTCTCGGGCCTTATTAATCGTCCTTTCCATTTAGAGGTGCAGGCAAATTGCACACTTTGAACGTACCTTCGAGATGTAGGCTGCCGCTTCTGCAAGGGCTTTCCTGAGGGCCTCTGCTGCTTCCGGCGATGGCGCTGCAAGGAAAGCGCCTTCAATCTATATTGTGACAATTGATGCGGAGATGGGGAGCAGATTATCAAGACTGCATAGAGACGGCGCCCTTCCACCGAAATCCAAAGTAGATGCCAAAAACATAGTTAGGGTCATTTACAGGGACACTCGGGAGAAGCTGCGACCGGCATGGTGATGCCAGTATGCATAGACAACCGACGCGACGAGCTGGCGCATCAAAGCTTCTCAACGTTTTCAAAGAGCACCTTCAATCAGGAAAATGAGAAGTATTTTACAGGAGAATAACCAACCTGCTCCTGTACGCCGCTCTGACGGGTCTGCACAGTGGTTCTCCCCTGCCTGACTGCCCTCCCTTTCACTTAAGCTGACTTCCGCAAGTTTCTCCGCTGCGTCGTCATCCTCTGGTGGTCGAGCTGGGCCATGCTTGGCTAGCTGCTCCCCTTCCTGCTGCAGCCGGCTTATCCTTCCGCGCAGATTAGTAATGTTCACCAGCTGCCTGAGATGGGAGTTAGGAGCTCAGGTCAACTTCTTAGTTTAGATTGATGTTCTGCCTCAGAAGGGAAAAGCACAGTTTTTAATGCCGCTGTAGCAATCTGATTACGCACATAGAGGCATTGTCTTCGCAAACCTTCAACTGAGATGTGAGTCATCGTGCACAATTTACCAGAGGCAAATGAAAGCAGGAGTGATTGTTCCTCTGCTGATGTGCATTCAGCAACTTGCCTTCAAAATAAAGTTTTCCTGATCATTTGTGTTGCTTGGGTTGTGATTGAAAGCAGGACACAACTGACTGCAAAATCTCTTGCCATCAGGGAGTCTTGAAAGATTTGATTGCAATCCCGATTCCCATTTTCACCTTTTCCCACTTCTCTCCACCGGTTCAGAGCTGAAGGGATGTGTATGAGGAAGAAAAAAGAGCTGCTCTTGGACATACTGTACCTGATCAGGGTGTCCACTTCTTCAGAGCACGTCGTTTCAAAAAGAAACTGGTCTTCTTCACTCCGCTTGACGTGAATGAGCACCATCCTGAATTGGTGCAGGCAGCACTCTAATCAATTGAAAAATTTCAAAGCGCCCTCAAGCTCAGCTGAAAAGTTGACTTGAGCTCAGATGGTTTCCTGAAATGGTACTGCAGGAGCTACCTGGAGCTCTTCAAACTTAAAATCTTGAAGCGCCTTGAAAGGCCGATGTGGAAAGAAATCTTAACCTAATGTTCAGACTGCAGGTGTAATCCCAACAGGGAAACCCTAATTTTGAAGGAAGCGTTACGCTAACAAGGCCGCCCTGGACAGCCGTTACCAGCCTGGTAAAGCTCTGGACCCGCTTCATTAAACACGGAAGACCCAGCCAATTCCGAAAGCCGTCAACTGCCAGTGCAGCGTCAATGAGTACGGCGTCAATGTTCTTCGTAACGTCCAATTCCGCTCTCGCCTGCTTGAGGAAAAGCTCCCACAAGTAAAATGCATGGCTTTTGCCACTAGTAGTAGTAGATGGCACTAGCAATGTAGCATTGCTTGCAATTCTCTTTCATTTGCAAGTTGCGCCCTTCATGATGGGCTCCCTTCACCTGCTCATCAGACGCTGGCAGGCCAAAATCACGGCCTGGGATGGCTCAGCAAAGGTATCTAGTGTCATCCGCCAACACCGGGTAGCCTGGTCTGAGCAAGCAGATCGCGCCATCAGCGGATTTGCGGGCTCAAATGAAGAAATTGACGAGCACGGATGTTTTGAAAAGTCACCAGATGGACAACCATCACTCTCATGGCTTCCAGCTGACACACAGCCCTACACCCAACTTCAATTGCGTGAAGACTCCCAGCATTCTAGTAGTGCATACCACCAGCTACAAACTCCCCTGCACAAGTCCGCCGCATTTTCTCTGAGTGTCTTCTCACATAATCCGGCGCCATTTTGCACCATGTCAGAAGCCAACGCCTTTGCCAATTCAGCCCAGTGGCCAGCGCCAGGTGTCCGTCACTATGCCCGCAGACGAGGAGCTACTGCTTTCAAGATGAGCGACTACCTGCCCCCTCCGGAGGCACTACCCACGACCAGAGCCTCCAAACCCAAAGCCCCAGCTCTCCCGATCCCCCCCCCCTCGTTCTCGGGCGAAAGCACCCCCGAGATGATCGAGAAGGCACAGCTCTTTGAGCGGGCAATGGCGGCGTTTCAGCAGCGGGGGTACCTCGTGCATCCAGAGAGGCCCGACCGTGCGGAACAGCTGAAGAAGCTAGAGAAGATCTTTGAGGTCTTCGGGAAGAACGGGTTCTCCGTACTGAGGCTGCAGGCGGCGCTCAAGTGGGAGGTCCGGCACATGGAGAAGGCGCAAAAACGGGGGGTTGCAGATTCTGACACAGAGGAACTTGAGCAGTCTGCCGTGCGGGTGAGACTGGAGGATTCGGAATCGAGCGAAAGGGCAGGAGAGGAGCAGTCAGAGGGCCCGGTCTTTCATACGAGGGCCGAGAGGAAGGCGTTGAAGAAGGCGCGGGAAGAAGCGGCTCTTGTACAGAGCAGGTCTAGCGATCTAGAGTCGCCTCAGACAACAGGGGAGAAGGTTGGGGAGTCCAACCAGGCACCGAAGGCTAGCACTAGCCAAAAACGAGTACCACTAGACATAGCCGGAGGGGGAGAGTCCACTGTACAGAATGAGAGTCAAGTTTCAGAGCAATTAGGCGAACCTGTAGGAGACGAAAGCGGGCATGCTTCGGCAGCGGAGAGCACCATCGAAACTATAGATGACGCAGCAGGCCAAGAAACGAAGGGGGAATGGAAACGCACAGTACGGAAGAAGCGGCGCTCTCCAGAGGAACTGCCGCCAGGGAGTCCCTACGCGGGCAGCCTGAAGGGCCTCGTGAAAGGGGTCGGCGAGGGGGGGCCTTTCACGGAGTTTGTGCGGGGGCCCACGCAGCCGGCACACCGGGGGGGCCAGGGGCCGGGCCTGACGCTGCGCCAGAAGCGGCTGTCGGCGCAGATTCAGAAGGCGCTCGCTGAGGTCATGATGGCGGACGGGGATCTGCGGAGCAGCTTGCTGGAGGAGGGCGGGTTCGCGGTGCTGGAGGTGAGGCTGTCTGTATGATTGTTGACCACATCTGCAATCGGTGGGGCCTGATCCGTATCGTCTGAGTTCTGCCAATTTGTGTCCACAATGACAGTTCCAGTGTCTTTGTCGCTTGCTACCTGCCGGCAGCAGTCCTTGACGTTCTTGTATAAGCTGCCAAATGTCTAGGCATTATGTGCAAGTGCATTCTGTCATCCCGATAAACTATAGAAATGATTGACATGAGGCCTCCCGTTGGAGCTTTCCTCCTGCTGGCAGGGAGGCTGATATCCTCATGTCAGTGTACAAAATGAACAGTTCAAGAGATGAAGATGCTTTTAGAGCGAGGCCGACCTTATTTGTGCAAAACCCACACGTAAGTATTCCACTGACGATTACCGTGTTACCTTCTAAGCTGCAGGTCCGCTTGACCCACGAACTAGACACGGCCTTTGTTCGCTGGACGTGCAACCAGGGGGCCGAGAAGGAGGTCGAGAAGAAGCTGGGGAGGGTGGCGGGGCGGCTGAGAACAGCGCTGTTCAAGGCTCTTGCCATGCCGTTCTCCCCCAGGCTCGAGTTCAAGTACGATGAGCTTTCGGAGCAGATTCATGCAATAGAAGACGCCTTTGACAGACTGCATGATCTTTGATCTGAGCCGATCAACGATATCATACAGAATTGTTTCGATCGTCCATCTGCATCAAGAGCAGCTCGGAATGCTTCGCAAGTTACGAACAGCAACGACTTTTAGCCAAGCACAAATTTGAGTTGCTAAGGAATCTGGTTGCAGTTGGAGCCGAAGGATGATCATATACATGTGGCGCTGCATGATCTAGGCGAGTTGCCGCCATGTGAGGATGCAATTAAATTGTATATAAGTGAGGTCGGCGTGCCCATGTGCCACGCAATCGCATGGCCAGCTAGGAAAATTAGTGCTGCATGCGGCCGGCTTTGCCATGTGGGATCCAACTTATCATGGCGCATTGTGATCAACAGAAGATCATGTGTCTGCAAGGAGCTCAATGCTTGGGATTTTGCATGAGGCTTAGCGCAACGCACACTAGCTTGCAATCGAGCCATCCCCCGCAACCCTACCATAGCGGCATAGAAATCAAGTACGATCAATCGCCGGCATGCAAATTCAGATTTCGATATGCATGGCGATCCATTTTGATCAGGCAAGCAACCATGCTCCAATTGGTACACGAAAAGCTCCCGCCAAAAGTAACCCTTGATTCCAAGTTGAGAATTTTTGGCTACCTTTGCTACCCTCGCAAGTAAACCTCGTCCCCCTACACAGAGTTCTGCATTGCGATTGAAGCTGCCATTGATCCCTATTACAAGAATCTTAGCACTGTGGAAGTGCTTCCTAGGAATGGGACGCTCTATGACGTGACCAAGAAGATCAGACCTTCACGTTCACAAAGTCTCTCACGGTTCGTCACGACTTCTCTTTACTCCCCGCCTCTTTCGTTTTCGGATACTTGCTTCCATCGCCGAAGTCTCGGTCATCCTCGGCTGTTGCTACTGCATCCTCCACAAGCGTGGTCACATACGCTTGCGCCAAGTCCTCATCACGACTCACACCCGACACGAGCCCCTCATTCGAGCCTTCCTTAAACGCCGCCTCTCCTTCTTTCGCTAACTCGCTCCTCACAGACCGCGCCATCGACTCCAAGACATCCCCCGGGTTCTGCGCACTCTGCATTAGGAACGCCGTTCCGTCAAGCCCCGTCCTCTGGCGCTTGGCCGGCGAGCCCCGCAGATACGCGTCGCTCAGCGGCCGCTGAGGCCCCGCTCCAGCCTGTGCCGCTTCGTCCTGGGCTATCGTCGCCTCCCACCGCGCGCGCTCCTCCTCCGACAGAGCCTCCTGCCAGCCCTCCTCCCTGTCCGCCTGCCGCTGCCTCACGCCCGCCGAACGTGGCCCCCCACCGCCGCCCCCGCCGCCGCCGAGCATCTGCGCCACCATGGGCATCATCCGTGACATCATGTTGCCGAGATCAGGAGCGTCACCCGCGCCACCGTCAGCATCGTCCCCGATCACCTGCCGCATCATCTGGTCGGCCCCCGGGTTGTTCATGAGCTGCCCGAGCACTCCCCCGAGGCCGCCCCCCCCGCCGCCCTGCCCGCCCATGGCTTGCATGACGGAACCCATGATGTCACCAAGGGCCGGGGGAGTGCCCCGAGGAGGGGCCAAGGGGCCGGCGGCGGGGCCACCCTGCAGCATCTGGGTCAAGGCGGACAGACCGTCCCGGCCCTGCTGCTCAGTGCGGGGCGCCGGGCGTCGGCGCGACTGCAGGGACAGATCCGCGTGACGTAAGCGACGACGGAACTAGGCGCCCTGAGTGACCTAAGCGCCACGAACAAAACGTCTGAAGCTCTTGAGTGCTGCCCACAAGAGCATCATCACCACTCGACAGCAACAAGCGGAGGTCGACCGCTCATCATCGGTAACCAGAGACTCTAGTCCAGAGGCTTACGCGGGGTGGCAGAGGCTGCAGTCCCGTCCCGCCCAAGCCCATCGGAGCGCTCCCGCCTCCGCTCGAAGCCTCCGGAGCGGGCTCCGCGCCACTTCCGACAGCCGCAGACTCCTTCTTTTCTTGCGACTCCTCCTTCTTCCCCTCGTTTGCTGCGGCCGCCTCTCCTCTGCCCTCAATACCGACTCCGCTTGCTGGCGAGGCTGCCGCACTGAGGCCCCTGTTCGCCTGATTGCCGCCCTGGTCGCTCTGCTGACCGGTACCCCGTTCCGCTGGCGCTGCTTCCGGCGCCCCGTTTTGCGCTGCACTTGCTGGCTGCCCCTGAGAGGTTCCACCGGCTACGTTCTGGACACCCTGAGTGCTCGACTGCGTATTATTGCTGCCGCCGGGGTTGCTATCCAGCTGCGGGCCCGGCACTGCAAACGTCGTGGTTGTGGTGCGCACATTGCCCCCCGGAACCGAGACGTTGCGGGTGACGGTGACACTGTGGACTGCCGGGGGCTGCTGCGGCTGGCCGGATGGAACGCCCGGCGGAGGAGCTGGGGCGGGGAAGCGGAACTGGGAGTGTTGCTGCACCGACAAGCACGACACGGGTGTTAGGCGGATGTTGCAACAGACAACGTTGCTATACGATTGCACTTGTAGAGTGTGGAGTGCAGACGAAGACTCCGACAGACCTCTTTGGTCACTTTGGCTCAAAGATGAACAAGTCGAACTTGGGAAATGAACGACTCCAGCTAGAACAAAGATCATTTGGAAGAAATACCATGACAAGATCACAACACAAGCGCGCATACTACACTATGTGCGCAAATGTATTCACTAACTATGAGCTTACCGCATGCCCTTGCTGCTGTTGCCCTGGTTGCCCGCTGCCCCCCTCTTGCTGCTGCTGCGGTCCCCCAGTGCTTTGCGGCCCAGCATGAACCCCTGGGCCAAAATTCAGGTTCATCCCCGCCCCAGACAGCTGCTGCATAATTGGTCCTATCAGGTTCATCAGCGCAGCCCCGTCGACTGGACCCCCGATTGTCACCCCGGCTGGCGGTTGGCCGCCAGGCAGGGCCCCGGTCGGCTGAACTCTCTGCCGCGACTGGCCCTGCTGTGCGGACGTCCCGGTTGGCCCCGCAGTCTGTCCACTGCCCGAAAGCCCGTTTCCGCCCTCGGTTGTGCGATTCACACCCGCGCGCCGCTCTCCGTCAGCCGAAGCTGCCGCAGCGGATTGCGTACCAAGGGGTGCATTTGGTCCACCGTTTGCGGGTGGCGCCGCCCCCCCATGCGGCGGCATGAACGCCCCGAGCAGGCTCCCCAGCAGGTTCTGCATCTGTTGACTCTGCGCCTGCTGCTGCTGCGCCTGCGCCGCCTGCGCGCCCTGATACGCCTGCTGCAGCGTCGTGGTCGTCGCGTTGCCCGGCACCGACCCCACGAAGACGCTCCCGGCGGGGGGACCCCCCTGGAGCGGCGCGAGCGTGCCGTTCGGCAGCAGCTGCATCATGACCCCCCCGTTGGGGCCCACCGCCTGGCCCCCCCCTTGCGGGTCGCCCATCTGAACGCCGATGCCGCCCGGGGCGTACGCCCTGGGGGCTCCGTGCTGCTGGGGCGCGAGCTGAAAAACCACCTGGGCCGGGGTACCGGGCACTTGGAGGGGGACCGCGGGCGGTGCCCCCTGGACTTGAAAAACGACGGCGTTGGGAATTTGGACCTGTGGGGGCTGGGGGAGGGGAACGCCAGCGCTGGGGGGGTTGGTGAGGCCCTGGAGGATGCCGGTGTTGGAGATGTAGAAAGGAGAGGCGGCATTCACTGCAGCCTGGCCCTGCAAGGAAAGTAGAAGGGGAGTGTCAGTCACGAGTGGTCTGCTATCGTGATAGCCAGGTGCGAATGAATCGGCGTCTCTAAGCCCACAGTTATATCGTCGACCTGTCCTCTTGGCAAGGACCACTCGATAAAGTCGTTATGCATTTTCAGCAGAGACCAGCTGTCATCAGACGGCTCGTCAGCAGTTCTGTTGGACAATCCCTCGACCCTGGAAACACTTCAACTCAAGAACCAGCTGATGCTCCATCTCTGAGAAGCGGCCTGCAAGCGCATCGTCCAGCTCGACTTGGAACAGTTGCACCTGTGCTCGAAGTCCGACTGTGTGAAGTCTAAGAGAAACCTCTGAGTTTCGCACGTTTCGCCCAACCTGGCCGCTTGACGAGACTATATTCTGCGGCTTTCGCAACTACAGATTCGACCGTTCCAACTCTTGGTCCAACAGATCAAAAGGCTCAACGTCTGTGATCGGCCCAGTCAGTTCAAAGCTTGTCGTGATGGTCGTATGAAAAGCAAGTGGCCCAATCAAATCTCATAACTTTGGAGCTCACCCTCTTTAGGAGCTCTGCCTGTCTAAATCACAGAACACTCAGCAAAAAACGTCACGTTCAAGTTACTTCAACATTTCAACTCGACTTGAATAACGTACCGGCTCTGTGTTGAGGTTGACGGATCTGGTGGCCCGTCCCAGCTCCAGGAGGAGCGCTCCCAGGCCTTGTAGCAGACTTCCCCCAATCTGCAGATCAGCCTGCATGGAGCCGCGATCGCCAGGGTCCACGATGGAGGCCTCGTTCGCAAGCCGCTCGTGCATAATCTGCAGACACCCAGCTGCGATGTCAGGCTTGATGCTTCCGCACATGCGGCAGGCTGGGGGGAACGTGGTTCTCACGGCGCAAAACATTCTGGAGCACACCCCCCCTCCCAACCAGCGGCGTCTTTACTACCTGAACAACAGGTTGCAAGGTTCCAAAGGTCAACAACGGGACAAGCAGTACGCTCAAAAGAAACTTTAAAGGCTCTGTGACAGATTTGAGGCAACAAAGAGAAAGCGACGAACAGCTCACCGAGAGGAGCGGATCCCCCTGTTGCTGCAGCAGTGTCTGCGTCCTGCCCAGCAGCCCTGCCAAGAGCGCACTTCTGGACGAAGCATTGGCAGCGTTTCTGCCGCCGCCCGGAGCTCGGCCCCCACCCTGCGCGCCGGTCGCAGCGGGGGCGGGGACCGTAGCAGCAGGAGCTGGCACCGGCGGAGTTGCAGCATTCCCTTCATCTGCAAGCAGAAAGAAGGGGTGGATGATTCAGCTGCAAAGCTGTGCGAGCATGCCTCTGCACCTCAACATGGGGGACGAGAATAAGGATGGAAATAACCGATGCAAACTCTCAAACAACACCTTTACAAGATGAGTGTGCTCAGTTTGTTCCAAGGTGCCAAAGTGAGCCCCGAAGGTCAACTTGCCTGACTGCTTAGATGCCACCACTTACCTGGGGCACCGTTGGAGGCGCTCGGGGCGGTGGAGGTCGAGGCGCCTGTAGCGCCACCCGCTGTCGCAGTGGTCGCAGCTCTTGGTTGAGGTGGTGAAAGGTTCCCTGGAGCTGTGCTACCGTGCTGGCGCATAACATCAACTGCGAGAACGTGGTGCAGGACTCAACACAAGCTCCCCCTCTTCTTTCTTTACACTCAAGAACAAGCAGATGCATGCCTCCGCAGTCTCAACGCTGAGAGAAACAAGCATATGAAAATACGGAGAAAGGGGCAATCTCACACAACAATCCACGTTCAGCACATACAATCACAATACTCACTGTGTGCCTGCATTCGCCTCTCAAGGTGCCTCATGAAGTTGCTCATTATCGACAGAGTGTCCCCTCGGCCCCGCGCTCCCTGTCCGGGCGTTCGGCTCGGCGCAGCCACTGGGACGGCCCTGGCTGGCTGAAAGCCCTGTCCGGCGAAGGCGGCATTCGGGATGTCAAAGTGCATTTCGATGGTGCGGGTTTCCACGTCTCCTGTGGCACCGGCACCGACCGCCTGCCCCAGAGGACCGAAAGCTGAGGGGACTGGGAGGCCGCCTGCCATGCCGAAGGTGCTGAAGACTGATGAAAGGATCTGCATGACAAGACAGAAGCTGTGTCATACAGAGGTTGGCATCGAATGCTGTGCAGAAGCTGCATCATACAAACAATGACATTGAAAGTACGAAAAGTGGGGTACACGTTTCTGGTGAAGGTGGTTCTAGCTGCAAGCCACAGGATGGAACAAAGAAGAGTCGCCACAAGCACGGCACCAAAATGGACATTCAACAACTTGGAGAGCATTTTGAGCTACATCCCTGCCAAGCATACTCTGTGCATAGGCTCCTGCTCTAAAATTGCTTACCTGATCGAGGTTTGGGATACCCTCCGCCCCATCAATTGCAATGGAGCCCAAGATGTGCGACGTGACGTCCTGCTGCCCCAGCTCCTCAAGCGGTGGGGGGCCTTCATCATCTTCTGCAACACAACAACGGCAATCAATATCTGCTGCCTTGTATTCCATTATTCCCTGATTACTTGCACGCAGTAAGCTCGAAGAACAGCTGCTGCAAACTGAGCTGCCAGCAAATTGAGGACATGAGTTTCAAGACGATGAGCAGGGAGAGTTGTTCAATGAGCGGAATTTTTACCTTCATTCTGGGGAGGGGGCTGGCGGGCTACAAGATGAAGCACGTGCCCGTCCTCAATGTTGTAATCCGAGACTGTCTGGTCATCTTTCAGAACCCTCCCCCGGTAGATGAGGCGCTGCGACTCCACTGGACATCCACCATTTTCTGCAACCTTCGCTTTCAAGTCTGGAACGGAGGCCTGCAGCGGAGATGCTTAAATCAATGACAACTGCGCTGGTCAGTGTAGATGCAGTTGCTTCAGTCTTCACTGAAGCGGAGGCAATTCCCGACTATGCATCAACCCATAGGCGCCCAGATTTGACTGATCCACCACACCTAGAAAACACATGGGCAGGAAGTCCATATTCTAAGAACCGCCTGATGTCATCAAAGAAGCCCAATAACTATCAATTTCAACACCTCAATGTCGATCATCTAAACTCATGCTGACAAGCGGTCCCCCAAAAGTTGCAACACAGAACTGACAAAGGCATGGTCTCCAACGCGGCAACTTACATTCTTGTTGACATGCACAGCGAACTCCTGTGCATCCAAAGTCTTGATCTTCAGCTCCAAAACATCGGGAGATCTTGCAGCCTCGGCCATGCTGCGAGGTGCCAGCAAAAGTTGCACAGCACCAGGCAGAAGGTGCAATCGTTCAAGAGGGCCTTCCCTCCAATGAAGCGCAGGTATCCCCCGTCGTGCAATAGACTCACATACACACGGTTAAAGCGCCAAAGGCTACAGGAATGAGCAGAGGCGCAGCACGCTCATGCCAATACTAATAGACCTGTACGTTCGATCTGCATCAGCAACCCTAGCTCGCGCTTTGCTTCCTCAGAGTCATTGACATGAGTCATGGGCTGTTCTCGAAGCTTCGAGAATTGGTTTAACCCTCTGAAGTTAACCCCTCCCGTCCGGTGAGCATGCCCGCCGCGGTATGAAACGGCTAATATGCGAGTCGAGAACTGAATAGTTTGGGGCAGTCTCCAGTTGGCGCCGTCGCTTGTCGCGATAGACGCCAAGGCGGGTTGCCCTGTTTCTCATTCCTTGGTTTGACTAACCATATTACTTTGCTGCTTGTGAAGGCCGCGTCAGATATACATGCACGCGAGCGCTAGCGCAGTCCAAGCCGCAAGCGCTTGTGCTGTGCCACCGCTGCGTTGAATGCATCATTCATCAGCGCGCTAGCTTCCAACGAAAATGGGCAAGAATGGCGGCAAGCATCGGAGAGAGAAGAACAACGGCGACATCGAATTTCCCACGGAAGAAATTGCACAGCAGGAGGTGGCAGGCGTGTCCAAACCTCATCGTAAGAGCAAGAGCAGGAATGCCGCAACTCACGAAGCAGATGCTTTAAGCGGGCCCTCCAAGTATTTGCTCGCTAGCACGGAGGGGTCCAGCACTGAAAACAAGCACGCACTGTATCAAAGGGCGGTGCAGGTAAGCTGCTCCAATGTGTAAGCTGGACATGAGATCTTCAATGACAATCATTTTCTGAAAGCAGCATTCTGGGTTTCCACAAAATCTTGTTCGGCTGCAATTGGGGAAAGGCAGCTGCAAATCCTGTAGTTCCTGCCAAATTGTCGGCTCCTGGTGCAAGGAGCAAGAGCACTTTTGAGAGTGCAGGCACTGTATTTCGGGAAGCTTCTGCTGCTATCAGATGGTGGTAGTGCATTTGTTCAAAGATAAGTTAGGAAAATTGGTCGGCTTGCTCATGACTGTGTTCTTTAGCAGGCATCAAAACACTCATTTCCCGTGCCAGGGCGCCACTACGAGAGTCCCAGTGGTGGCAGCTTTGAGGTACCTTCTGAATGCACTCGATAAAGTAGTGGTGATCCTGCTTTTCTCTGCTGTACAGAGCCCCAAGGGCGACATCAGCTACCTGGTGAAGTTCTTCTTGACATACGTTGGGGGCAGGGTGCCGGTTCACCTGCGAGAGGACTTCTGCGGCACCGCTCTTATTTGGTAGGCAAAGCGTCAGCAGTGCGTACATTGCCAGCTTATGCGCCTATATTGTTGCTTTCAATGTTTTAACCCTTGATCTTGGAATACCATAACTTGTTTGAGGACCACAAGAAAGGTCAGTTACCGTTTCTCAACCACCACGTCCAACGTTCTTCGTGATTTTCTAATTAGTTGGGTGCAACATATCACCAATCTTCCTGATCAGGCCTTGGCTGTCCTGGAAGCATACATTCCTGTCGTCCCTCCATCCCGTGCACAGTTGACATTGATCTGTGTTTCCAATTTTGCGTCTTCTTCTTTCACAGCGCCGAATGGCTTCGGCCCGATGTCCGGCGGACAGCCACCGGCCTTGACTTGGACGATGATGCGCTGCGGTGGGGCGCCAGTCACAACATCGGAAGCCTGCCCGACGGCGGCGGGGGCAGGATGTGTCTCCTCCTCGGAAATGTCCTGCAGCCCATTGAATGCGCCCAGGAGATACCCTGTGGAACGGTGGGAGAAGTTTCAGACGCTGGGGGGAAAGAGGAAGGGGCACCATGCAGCAATGAGCAAGAGATCGAGAAAGGGTCACTTCAGGAAGCGAACGGAGCGGGGGATGTGGCGGTTAGTCCCGCACCGATTGAAGGAGATTGGGAGATGGTGGGCCAGAGCCCAAAAGGGGATGCGGCTGATGTCAGCGGGACCGGCAGGCAGCTCGAATCGCTCAGTGTGAATGGGGCTGGCGAAAAGCAGCGGGGGCCAAGACTCTCGAAACTGCACACGGCGGGGGCTGACATCATCTGCGCGTTCAACTATAGCACGTGCTGCTTGCACAGCCGCCAGGAGCTGCTGCGCTACTTCCACCATGCTCGGAAGGGGCTGAGCAGTCGAGGGGGTGTATTTGCGATGGATTTGTACGGGGGGACGTCCTCAGAGTGCGCTCTGCGGTTGAAACGAAGATTCGGGGACTTCACTGTGAGACGTTCTTGCCTATCCGTCTATTGCTGCTTGGAGATTGCTGAGGGGAGCGCTGACCTACTCACGAAGAGGAGGCACAAGCAGTAGATGTTTGCAAGGAGTAGCGACTGCTCTTGAGGGCTGAGTCGCTCAAATGCATTGCATGTCATAGTACCTTTTGTAGCTCATCTTGGAACAGCGCGGGCCACCTCTTCAACTGAAAAGATTCTCTGAGTGCGAGGCTCGTGAAAGATATAGAAGAATTAGCAACTCCTGCTGTCCTCTATGCAGTACACGTGGGAGCAGGAGGAGTTTGATGCCGTCACCCGGATGACGAGGATCAGCCTCCATTTTCGTTTGGAGAACACGAAGAAGACAATCAAGAATGCCTTCTCCTACCAGTGGCGCCTGTAAGCCGTTTGAAGGTTTTGATTCGATGTACGCGATTCCCGAAAGTTTGTAGAGTTCATTCCTCCCTCTGCATATTACAAGGCACCTCCGGAGCTATGGTTTATCAGGAACTCTGGACGAAGAAAATGAGGAAGCTTTTAGGATCAGTGGCGACGAGAAGGACTTGAAGAGGAAACGGAGTTGAAATTTTCAGAGAGTACTTCGCCGGTGCAAGAACAAGTATCTGCTCACTTCTCTCAGAGGAAGGTCGAATTCCTTTTCCGTTTTGTTCGTGGCCTCAACTTCGTTGTAGGAAGCGATTCTTCTGGACGCTGAGCAAGCTAAAGCGTCTCGTCCGATCCTCCCGCTTGCGCAGATGGACCATTCCGGAAGCCCGCGAGTGCCTTCTGGAGGCTGGATTTAGCGCCGTCCACGTCTGGATGCGGGAGATGCCGGACCTCGAGGGTCACGACGAGGACGAGGAGGTCGAGGTGGATGCGAACTCCAAGTATGTGGAGTGCAAAAAGTTCTTGCAGTGCGATGCTTGGAATGCATATATCGTGGCGGTGAACTAGCTGTGCCGTCATTTTGATTGGAAGACCTAACAGAAAAGAAGTGGCCGATGTATCTAATAATGCAGGAAATGCATACATCGTGGCGGTGAACTAGCTGTGCTGTCAGTTTGATCGGAAGACCTGACAGAAAAGAATGGTTGATGTATCTAATAATTCACGCAATTGAAGAGACACCCCTCCTTTCCAACACCTGTTATACTGCGACTCATGAAGAACAGCTTGCTGTGCTCCTTGTACGACAACGTCTGTTCTTCTCTACATCTTGCCGATTTAGATTGTACTCAACATCTAGCTTCGCAGCCATTTTTTCATCTTTAATCATTGCTTAATTATCCGCATGAGTGTCAGCAGTCCAACAGTCCTGTACAAACGTTTCTTCAGCATGCACGCACACGAAGCTTTGATCATGCATATGGTGAAGTTCGTCAAGCACACAATCTGCATCATTGGGCATACGATATATGATTCATGGATTTTCATGGTGCCACAATGCAGAAAAATCTTCAGTGATCTGCATGCATTGTACAAGAAAGGCCGAAAGCTATAAGAAACACTAAGTTTGAGCTTTGGAATTGAACTATAACGTATGACCTGGCGATAAGTGACAATAACGACACAATCTCAAATCAGCCTGCACCTTCATGCTGGCCTGTAGATTGCAGTAACCATGATCGAGCTATGACAAAAACTCCACAAGAGGAAGTAAATAATACCTTGCATGTTCTCAGTAGCCTTATCGGCGACTTTTCCTAACCGTTGCTCTGTAAAATCCTCGTCACAGGGCGGACCTTCAATGGGTGCCACAGGCCCCACTAGACTATGCTTTTCGCTCTGGATAGTGTGATCACTTCGCACGAGCCTATCTATGAACGAAACAGAACCAGAATGTGTACCTAAAATCAAGCAGCTGATATTTTCTACTCGGATCTGGCTGCCATCCGAGTGACCCTCTTGTCCTCCAAGTTGATCCCCACCATCGCCTCACCCAAATCGCAGCTAACCTCCATCAGCACCTTGGGATCTGAAGGCAGAAACAGGGTGGAATAAACAGCCAATCTCAATCAGACACATCCGTCCAATTAGAATTGATGGTGGTACAAAATCTTTCATCGCAAGGTGAAAACGAAAACCGATTTAAATAGCAAAACGGAAGACCGATTTAAATAGCAAAGCGGAAGAGATTGAGAAAGTCGCGGAAGTGATTTATGATTGTGAACCAGATGTGAACCAGATCAAGGACGCGCCAGCTTACCGTTGTAGTGCGCCACAGCTTCAACAATGGCGCGGGCCCGCTTGGCCGGATCTCCGCTCTTGAAGATTCCCTGCAGAACGGAATCAACGGTCCAATTGACTTCCATTTCCTCATGATAAAAACGAAGCAGGGAAAAGCCCGACCGTATACAAAGCAAGGAGTCCTCAAATAAACGGTTCGAAACAACAGAATCATGGAAAAAGATTCCCTGCAGAACGGAATCAACGGTCCAATTGACTTCCATTTCCTCATGATAAAAACGAAGCAGAGAAAAGCCCGACCGTATACAAAGCAAGGAGTCCTCAAATAAACGGTTCGAAACAACAGAATCATGGAAAAATATTATTGAGGAAAGAATCACAAGCTCAAATCAGAGAAAGTACTTATCTCCAGGCAAGAGCTATCAAAGAGCGTTCTGATATCTAATCATTTGAGATTAGGAGCGCGGTGAAACAGCACAAGACTTACTGAGCCTACGAAAACGCCATCACAACCCATCTGCATCATGAGGGCAGCATCTGCTGGGGTGGCCACTGCACAAGTAAAGGCGGATCTGTGTCAGGGGCGATTCTGTGTACGAGACCCATCTTAATTCAGCCCAGCCTTGCTGGCAGCATGCAGGCAAAGAATCGAGGAAAATGCCACATTATTAGACCAGGAGGGGGGACATGCTGCCGTTTCTTCTTTTAGAAGAGGGAAGGAATCGAGGGTGTCTTAGAAGTGAAGCTCACCTCCTCCTGCAGCAAAGTTGACAACGGGCAACCTCCCTAGCTCCTTGCACTGCCGCACCAAATCGATGGGTGCACGGATCTGCGAAAAGTCCACTTGCTTGTGAGAAGTGGAGGCAGCTGGTTATCACATGTAACATTTGCGGAGTCCAATTCAATATCATGCTCGATCAAGAGACTTGGAATAGCTAGTAACTACCCCCACAGTCACATCTGGCAAACAACTGAGATCAGCAACTCGTTTTAAGTGATTCATAGAAAATCCAAAAAGACAAACAACCAGCTGGACCATGCAAAGTGGTCAAACATAGAGGGTTACAAGCGCCAAAGAACTCAGAGAGGCACCAACAGGCTGGAAAGACTCAGGTTTCAGAGAATTCATCACATACTAATTCAATCAACCAGAAGATGAGGTTTCGGAGGTTAACAGAAACAACTACTGCAACACAAGACTTATGGCGACTTCACCACCACCCTCACCTCCTTGGCGTACACATAGAGCTCGTCATCATCCATCGTCTGCAGCTTCCTGATCTCCCCCAGGGTGGACCGCACGTGGCGCACAGCCTCCACCACATTGCCCGTGCCGGCCTCGCCCTTTGTCCTGATCATGGCTGCCCCCTCTGCAATACGCCGCAAGGCCTCCCCAAGGTCCCGGCAGCCGCACACAAATGGCAGCTTGAAGTTGTGCTTGTTGATGTGGTGTGTGTCGTCAGCGGGCGTCAATACCTCGCTCTCATCGATGTAGTCGATGCCAATTGCTTCTAAAATCTGTGCTTCTACGAAGTGACCGATGCGAGCCTGCATTAAGAGGAGATGATTCAATGCACAGAAACCTGATTGTTAGGAGTGTATCTTTTGGGACCTGAGCTGATTGTGCGGCCTGATCTTTGGAGGACGGGGCACAATATTTCAGACGTTAGGGTTGCCATGCTTGACCACTAAAATGGGGCCTTTATCAACCTGGTACCTTCTCCGGATCTTTTGCGAGCAAAAAGGGCAAGAGCCAAAAGTCGATGCAACTCTGTTCAGTCCTTAGAATATGATGCCCTCATGATGATCCACTCTGAGGCAAGCCTAGACTCACCTTCGCCATAACTGGAATGGTCACCGCCTGCTTGATCTCCTTGATCATAGTGGGGTCGCTCATGCGCGCAACTCCGCCCTCCCTCCTGATGTCCGCCGGCACCCTCTCCAGCGCCATGACTGTAGCATCAGGAGAGTCAGTGTTTCAAAAACCCTCTCTTTCAATCGAGACTTCAAGTTGCAAGTTGTGGCGCCACCTACAGTCATCTTGACAGCTCCTTTTACTTGGACTGAGGCACAGAAACCAAAACTTACTCAAAAGTTTCATGAAAACAGATTAATAAACTGCTTGTGCAAAGAAGCCTTCCAAGCACACAGCATGTTGAAAAAGCCGTACCCTAAAGAGGGGCAAACTTGCCAATGAGCCGCACGGCCAGCTAAACTTATAGAGTATTTTCATTTGCAAAACAACTGCAGGCTTGTCCAGCACAAGATCGCAGGACATATGTAAGCAGAAAGAGGCTGCAAGGACAATACCTGCCACTGCCCCAGCCTCCTCTGCAATTCTGGCCTGCTCCACGTCCACCACATCCATGATCACACCGCCCTTGAGCATCTGGGCAAGTCCCACCTTTACCGCATAGGAATTCTTTGTGGGGGCCTTTGCATCCTTGGCCTGGTCGACATGGCCGTTGGCACCATTTGCGAGAGAGTCCCCAGCCATCGTTGCAAAAACTTGTGAAGAGAAGAGTTCTGGCTCAGTCCTGAAGATGCTCCCTTGCGTAATCTAACTCAAAGAAAGCGACTTTTGAAAGAGAACGTCACAGGCGCCACAGGAAATCAGTTGCTGTGAAAATTGCTTTCTGGGGGGATCACATCATCGCAAGCTGGAGCTATCCTAGATCTCGCTTGAGCTTTTCCAAGAAATCCAGTTGCGTCACCGACTGCAGCAGTGTTGCACTCCCACCATTACCGCTGCGAAAGTTCGTCGGTGACGTGGCCGCTTCTTCTGTTTGCGGCTGCACCCGGGGACTGCAAGCCGCCTGCTTATGGGCTACCCGAGATTGGCTCTACCGGGCGTGTTTGCAAGCTACCGACTCAACTGTTCGCTGGTGGCTTACGTGCTGCCACATATGCGGTAACCGTTTGACGTCAATTTGCTAAGTTCGATCGGAAAGGCCCAGCTCCAGAAAACATACCTTATATGTCGCTCATGCTAGATACCAGCCCGCCAGCATCCATGGCTGGAGGCACCTCACATCGTTGTGTTTTTCTGATCGAAAACTTGAGCTTGGCCATGAGTTTCAAAGCCGCTATTCAGAAAAGAGTCAGCCGGCCTCAAAGGTTGTCTCTCAGCCCTTAGAACAAAAAGTGATTTCCAATTTTCCCAAAAAGTGATTTCCAATTTTCCCTGAAAACGACGATGTGCAGCTGCGTATAAGTTTTTGGCCCCACATTTCATAGAAGATGAATGCGGCTGCTGGCCTCTGCTGTCGGTTTGAGAGCCTGCATTTTGGGTCTCTTTGCAATTCGACCCCCTCACCCCTGAGCCGGAAAATTTGTCTACCTTTTGCTGTCGGTCCAAATTCTCCCTCGGCTGATTTAGCAACGAGATTGCCACAGCAAAAAGGAAGCTTTAGTTTCTTCACCCGCGACCGCACAACTTTTGCCACCACCACTCCTAGAAAAGTTTTGCAAGAGAGAAGCGGACCTGTCGCTGCAGCATTTGGAGTTGATTTGCTGCCCCCACCAATCGACAGAGATCTGCAGGTGCTTTAGTTTGTATTCTGTCGCTCTTTTATACTGAGTGTCAAAAACCAGGAGAAATATGCAATGCAGTGCAATTGTGGCGCATGGGGCATCACAAATGCGGCAATCTCACAAGCGTAAAGAATGGAGAAAAGAGCATGATTGCGGGATGCAGAAGAAAAGTCCTGGAGTGGTACTTGACACGAAGCTGCAATTTTATGTAGCAACTTCAAAAAAATACTTGTGAACCTGGATTGCATCAGGAACTGCAAGAGGAGCTTGGCGCAGAATTCTCACCAGAAGGAGTCGTGGTGACGTTCAACAATGACGCGGATGCATTGGAGGCATCCAAGTCAGGGTTCGCCGTGAGTGCCTGAGCGCCTTTTCCAACGTAAGCTGAAGAGAATTTCCTGATGCCTTGGGATCGACCTCCCTCGTCTACCACCTAGCTTTACAACAACCTTGCTAGCGGTCCCCTATTGAAATGGTGTTAAGTAGACTCACTCGAACTTTCTAGTATAAGAAAACTACGACAGCAGCCACCAGGGCTGGGCTTTCAGACATAGTAAATAATTCTGAAGGTGGTCATCTTTGAGCTTAATTGACAAGATGTCCCTTTTGATCTCCTCCAACAATGCAATTATGAATTGCCCCTTTCCTTTGACTCAGGTTGTTGATCTCTCCCATTTCGGTCGACTACGAGGTGAGCCGATGGACTCTCTGGGTTTTCCTAGTTAAACTGCACCCGTTGAGAGTAAAGGGCAAATTGCTAGGCCTGCTTTGAAGGCCCTGGAATGGCTCGTTCATTGGGTGACTGTATTGGTATTACAATGGAGGCCAGAGTCTTACAGACTGCCACAATTTCGGCTGGCATTGGCTCCCATGCGATCCTGTATATCAGGGTGTTTCCTTGACTAAATGAAGCCAACCGCCTGCAGTGTACGACGATGATCGGATACGTTTCCTGCATAATCAGAGCACTGCGGACTTCAATCTTCTGAAACCTGGGCAGGTAGGATACTCAACAAATGAAACCTCCACTGGCATATTCCAACAAATTTGAAGATTGCTGAGCATCTTGCCCTGCTTATGAAATTGCATGTCCCCATAATCAGTTGACAATGCGGTGTCATCTGTGAGTTTGTGCTCTCACATTCGATCAGGGGGTACGGTCTGCTTGATAGTTGAGAAAATGAGGAGGGATCTTGTCGTTAATTGTGAATTGGCAAGGCTTCGTTACCTGCTTACAGGGAGGAGACACCGTCTTTGTGACCAACACAGCTAGAACGATTGACCTCGTGACGGCGTATATCAAGGTGGGGCTTTTTATCAGTCATTCTACGTTGTGACGACTTTGAAAGTACTTCTGACCCGTCAAGCTGGTCACGTGCATTCACTTTCGTGCAAGTTTCGTATGTATGACTTCGAAAACGTTCCAGTCTTCTGTCTACTTCGTTTAAAGGTGGTAACAAGCCTGGTTGTATCTGCCGACGGTTAGAGTTTTGTTTTGCATCAAGATTCGAAAGGATACAATGCAAGTCGAAGCTGTGAAGATCACCACAGCTTGAACAAGCTTCTTGCAAGATCGTCGTAGACTTTCATGTTCGTGAGAACGTTGTTTCTCGTGCTGTGCAGGAAAGCTCCGTCCTCCTGGTAACCTCGCCCTCCCAACGGCGCGAGCTTCTTCCCTATTTGGACAAGTGAGTTTTCTGTCGTAATGTCCATTCGCGGCGAGTGGTACATCAACGGCTTGGGACGGCCCAGCCGTTACTCTGTTCCTTCCTGGGGTGAAAGGATGTTTGAAAGTTGCCACTGCGTTTCTCATTTTGCCGTTGTTGTGTGTAGTGGCACAAGCGTCCTTGAGAAACCTCAATGACGCCCAATCTGCAACCAGCGCTCTCTCTATCTTGAGATTTGTCGGAAAGGAGAACGAGGAAGAGGAGAGGAATAAAATGGGGCGACTTTTGTATAAGGTCATCATTTGAGAGCTCGCAAGCCGGAAATCCGAAGTGATTCGCTAAGCCCGACAATGATGAGTCTCTCAATGTGGAGCGTCTTCGAGTTTCTATTGCTACTTCAGCGCAAAATAAACCGACCCAGCCTTGCCTAAATTGCATGGGCGTTGTATCAACAAAGTCAGACATCTTAGGAGTAGGTGCAAAGTGCTTCGATGCAGTCAAAAGTACAGGCCTCGATCGGACGTCCGGCGTGCAGGTTCATCTTCTTTGCGGACAAGGTGAAGCTGCAGGACGTCACGGACCAGTGCTTCATGCTCGCGCTGGTCGGGCCGCAGAGCAGCCAGGTACGCAACCAGCGGTCCGGTGGTCAACCGGACATTCGGACGTTTCCCCAAGCTTTTGAAGCCTCTGACTCTGATTGTTCTGGTAGGCTATTTCCGGCTTTCACCGCCAAGCATGCTGCCAGGCATACCTACAGTTGCTCGAGGTTCTTATCTCGAATTCGACTTGAGTCTATCTTCAATAGGGTCCCTGATGCAGGTGTTGGAGGACCTGAGAGCCGGTGACCTGGTTGGCAAGCCGTACGGAACGCACGCTATGTTTGACGTGAGTCGCACTCAGCTCAATGGCAACGGAGGCAGCCTGTAAGGAGCAGAGATCAGCAATTGCGCATCGTGAGGCAGGAAAAGCAGATCTTCTGTTGCTGTTATATGCCGAGTCGAATTGCTCGCCTTGGAACTTGAACGGCTTCTGCCGGATGTCGTCTCCACGTTTGAAGACGTTTCTCTGAGTCTCTCTGTCCATGTGGCCCACACTTCAACATACGTATGACCTTGTGAAGCTCGGTTCCCCTGTTCGATCAGGTCCCCCTTCAAAGGATTTGACATTGATCAGAAGAAGGTAGACTTACGGCTCCGACGAGGACCAGAAATCTCATCCCGGGGGCTTACCTGCTCCGCCCCTACCCCGCCTAAATTCCCAACTAAGTCCCACCCGGCCCAGGGTGTTCACCTTCTTACATCGTGGCTTATCGTCATCTGTCTTGAGAACGATCGTTCATCTCCCTTCCGCCCTGACCTTTTAAGCGCAAGTCTTTCTCGCCCGCAGTTCCAAGGCAGCCCTGTCATGATTGCGGTGGGCAGCGGCCTCGCGACGGACGGGTACACCGTGATCGCCGACGCCGCGGCGGCGGGGGACTTTTGGAAGACGCTCATGCAGCAGGGAGGGGTGCCCATGGGGGCGCGCGCGTGGGAGAGGCTGCGGATCTTGCAAGGTGCCGTGGCGTTCTGACGTTCGCTGTTGGCTCACATATGTCGAACATACTGCTGTCTCACAGTAGTCGAACATAGATGTATGATGCGTGAATCATTCTGCGGCTGCTCGTGAAATCGATCTTGGAGACGCAACTGGCCTTTTAGATGAAGAGGAATGCGAGGCTGGCCAGCTGTCGGGGGCTTCGTGCAGCGGAAGCCCCCTGAACGTTCCATATGGTGCTCCCCGAAAGCCTGTCTCCGGCGCGTACTTTGGTGGACTAAGCATCCGAAAGGTGCATCGGCATGTCACCTACTGACCGAACCGTATGAGCACTTTCATAAAATCCCAGGCTAATCAGGATTCAGAATTCGTTTCTTCAATCACGGAGGATTTGGGAAGTTCCATATTGCGAGTCCTGTGACGTCAGCAACGGTCGGAATGGCCCGGAAGAAGCTGACGTAGCCTCACTCTGTCGCAGGGCGGCCGGTGCCGGGGGCCGAGCTGACGCCGGACTACAACCCGCTGGAGGCCGGGCTCTGGAACACCATCTCGCTCACAAAAGGTGCGTCCTCCCAACGGTCTAAGGAGGGGCGCAGACGCTCGAAACGCTCTACGAGTTTCCTAGTTCTCCTTGTATCGTGCTTCGCATCGTTTGCTGGTATTGCTCGTGCTTCCGCACCAGTCGAAGGAACGTCCGTAGCTTTGATCTCCGAGATGCCCTCAGATCCTCCGAAATAGCCGGTGAGGCCGTTCAGGTCTCAACAGATTTTGTGCCTTGTGATCTCGATGAGTTTTAGCACGCCCTTCGACCAAGTCTCAAGTACTGCTGAACGTGAAAGACGTCCATCGAACAAGCAATTTCCTAAGCGGTGAGCCGACTTTTAAATCACGTCCCGGGTACTTGCCCTTTTGTGCAGGCTGCTACATCGGCCAGGAGACCATCGCCCGGTTGATCACGTACAACGGCGTCAAGCAGCACCTGTGGGGCATCCAGCTGAGCGAAGCCGTGGAGCCCGGCACGGTCATCACGCTCGACGACGCCAAGGTGACTCCGCCCGCTCCCTTTTCTCAAGCTTGCCGCCTCTGACTCTTATGAAGCGCGTTGAAGACGTTTGTTTTGGGAAACGACTCAAGCCTCATGGGCAGCCGAACACTACAACATTGATTGCACAGTTCTTCAAAAAGGCCGTCCGTCTCCTTCGTCAACAGACTAGATTTGAGATCTGTAATTTTTTAGCTAAGCACTTCACGTCGACCAATCCCCCGTCGGCTGCGAGAAAGAGGTGTGCCTCTTCTCGCTTGAACCGATCATCATCCGACAAGAACTGAATGCCCATGCATGCGGTACAGGTTGGCAAGGTGACGAGCGTCACAGAAACCGAGAGCGGGTTTTTTGCTTTGGGCTACATAAGGTCGAAGGTCTGCTCAGAGCCTGGGCTGACCGTGCACGTAGGAAATGCTGTTGGCAAGGTAGTTGAAATTCCTTTCGTGCGAAGAACACTTGACGCCTGAAGCCTTTCATCGAGCGCGCTGCTAATCGGCTATGACCAGCACCGGGCCCCACGCCACTCCGGCATGTATCGCCAATGACGATCGTGCTCATTGATCTGGGTGTTTGTGTTGGAGGCATGTCATCCGATCATTCGTAGTCCGTTGGCTATTCGGGCTGTCTTTATGTACGTGCCACGCTGGCATAGATCGTATGTTGAATCTATGAGTTGGTGCGCATGCCGCCACGCCGATCATACCAATGCATTCCTTTTAGCAAAGTTAGTAAGTCGATTCTTAAGTGCAGTTCTGAAATGATCACTCATCGCTGCGGTGCAAGTATCATCAACATATGTTCCACCGTGGCACATGCATGCATGGAAACGGACGGTCCGATCACTGCATAGTTGATCACCTTGACTGTAGGTACGTGCATGATCATCCCACTTCATTCAAAATGCGCATTGCGTATAATCAAGCTCCATCGCTTCAAGCTCATGCATGTCGTCATGCCAATCATGCTTTAAAATGTGCACATTGAATGATGCCGCCTAGCTGCCAGGCGGCCAGTGTAGCTTTCATCGAACACGATAATTAAGGCAACTTGTTCTCCGCGCACCTTCATTTGATCCTTTTTCCTTCATGTCTAGCAAAATAGACTTCAAGCTATTGTGCACTTATCCTTACAGTCATCGTCGTTGTCATCGGGCTTCATGTCAAAATGTTTCTTCTGCACTTGAGCACGCACGAAAATAGAGTACAGGAGACGAGCGTAGGCGCTAACGAGGACAGTGGACGTCTAGGGAGTACAACTTGAACTCCCCTTGGGAAGTGCATGCGGTTATAGGGAAGATGAGATCTCAGAAGCAACCTGCGCAAAGCAAAAGCAAAAGGTCAATCAACCAAGAGCGTCCTGCAAAGGGCTTTACACATCATGGAAAGCTGCTTTTTAATGGCCTCTTGACATCAAAGTGCAGATCCGCATACGCCTCTTTAAGAAATCTTGGAAATTCTGCTAGACACAAGCTCAAAGCCGAAGTTCGTCAGCAACTTCGGGACGGCAAGCTGGGCTCCTCACCTGGCGTGCATCGCCTACGTGAATGCCACACTCCGTCTTTGCGGACCCGTCCTTGTTCGTCAAGCCCTGTCGTTACACCCCATCAATCAGGTCAGTGGCCGCATAGCAAAAGAGAAGCAGAAAAAAAGGGAAAAGAGCATAAGCACAGCTAAAGAAGATCGTCGAGCAAGTGCAGAGAGGGAGCTCGCGTTTGCGTCCGGACGCGTGTGCGGTCTTCAAAGAGACGAGGAAAGATGGAATTAGCAGAACCAAGAGATTCCTTACTGCCGTCTCTGTGCTGAAGAATCCGCGGAATCCGCAAGTAACACAACTCAAAGACCTCTCATTGCTCAAATCTGGGGTGCCTGTGTTCCCCAATATGCAGGCCGGTTTCGCAAATCAAGAGAGCGCCAATAGCCACATTGGTGTCAAACACCTAGATGCCACAATGCAGAAGAGTCTCGTTCTGTGACTGAGGCCTATTTAGAAGCGGCTGAGGCTTCGGCGGACTTTGGGGCGTACCTGGAACCTGCCAGACCGCTCGCCTGCATACTCGAACCACTGCTCCCGAGGCACCTGCGCAGTCAAGCAGACGATTAATATCACACCACAGAGATCGCTCTTGAATCCGTAAAGCGCACGTAACCCGGTGCCGCGATCTCTGTCCGCTGCACTTACAGCGGTTGCTATTATGCCACGGGATGACCGGCTGGTCTTCCTCAAGCTCACGCTCTTCACATTCATTCGTCGCCAGTCTCTCACAACCTTCTAAGCGTCCATCGCTCTGCGCCAGCTCGGCAGCGGTTCTCCCGACGAACTCGCCTCGCTGCAACCCGACAGCTGTTCTTTGGGGGAGACAAAGAGCCGCCCGGCAAAAGGGCGGACCACTCCCCGTGCGGTGGAAAGAACGACCGCTACTCGCCGGGGGAGACAAAAAGCCGCCCGGGGAAGAGGGCGGGCCGCTCCATGCGCAATCAAAAGACAAAGAAGAGAAGAACTAGAGTAGGGAAATGGTCGCGGCGGCTCACGGGCAGCGTGCTGTGGATGTCCCCCACGCTGGGGTAGCCCTGGTCGTGCAGCGGGTGGTACGCGAGGCTGTACTTTTTGATGTAGTCCCAGCAGTCGCGGAACTCCCAGTACGCCAGCGGGTTCACCTTCACCATGTCGCCGCCCTCAAACAGCTGCTCGCAGAACGGGAGGGCGTGGAAACGGGTTAGCGAGATCTTCGTTAACACAAACAAAAGATAAAAGTCTCCTGTAACGGGGAAGTTTATATGGCCTCGCAGCTGGGGCAGGGGCACGGTGAGGGCACACTTCAGCCAAGAGGAGTCTTGAAGACGGACTCGAACAGCCCTGCTTTCAAGGGCCGTGAAAGCGTTCAACACTTCGGAGCAAAAATTTGCGCAATGAGCCCCGAGCAAAGCGCATTGCAACAAATGGCACGACCACTTGTCGCTCAAACGGCTCTGGCACTTGGTCTTTGGTCAGGCTATCTGAATCCCTTGCCAATCGGCAGTCACGGGCTCTTCGAGACCTTGTGTCCAACGAGGTCGGAGTGGCTTGACGCCTTCCTTTGCCTAGGAGGTTCCATCGTGCTGACAATCAGCAACGTTTCAGAGTTTCCCTTTTCTTTTTGAACGTCATGCTTACAACTAACTTGTGAATAGAGGGATTGTGTCAGAGCGGCCCACCTCGATGTGCGCTCTCTCGGCCCCATGATCTCGCCGCCTGCCGTTGATCATGGCGTCCACCTGCGACCACGTGTCAGCTAGAAAGTTAGGCCACGAGTGGGGCGCTGTGACTTCTCAACTTCCTTTCTGGAGAGTTTATAGAAGCATTCTGTTCTCTGAAGGGGGTTCTCAAGGAGAAATGTCGGATGAGAATACTCGCACAGCTTTTTTATGCCAGTGTCACGGGGTCAATAACCACAGCAGGGGATACTGGAAGTAAAGACGCATGGGTGTCCATCGGACGTCCTGATTTGCAGACCCTCATGACACACGACATACTTTCTGCGATACAGCGGCACATAACAGAAAAGGTGCTTGTCCGCTGTCCAAGTGCAACGGCGAGGTTTAAGTAGCTGTCTGCTGCAAGCCGACTTGCAAGGGGCACTCCGTCAGGGGAAAGGCAGGAGCTTCCTAGCCTAAACCGTAACAACTAAGTTTCTCAGGGGTACAGAGTTTCTCTCTGTCGATCCTGAGCATAGTCGCGTATGTGCACTTGCCTTGAGGGTCTTCAATGCTCGGCCGAAGGGCTCCACTTTGCAGATGCGATCGTACTCGTCGATGTCCTGCAAGTTGCAACACATCATCCAAGTAGTGAGACAGCCCTCCCTAACTTCTCACACCGATGTCACATAGACGTTCAATGGCCTGATATTATCACAGTTGCGAGCAGAAAATGCTAGTGTGTTTGTCAGACTGTACCGAACTTTTGGCCGACGGACAAGCTCGTAGACAGGCATTGAGGGGTCAGAACGCCACCTACTATTCTGTTTCTCGGTTGACATTGCCACAGTGACCAGCACTTTCCCTTTCCTCAAGCTTGTCGCGTTTGATGCTCCCAAATGCAATGCTGTGAGTTGATGACCAGCCCGTGCGTCAGGGGCAGCCAAAACTTTGCACAATATCATTCGAGATGGTGGTGCGCCTGCTTCGCATGCTCGTACAAAAAGTTTTAAGTTTGTTTCAGTCAATTGCGCAACATCAACCCACGGTGAATGGGTTGTGTTGCCTGCTTTGACTCACCGTGAGATAAAGGTCGGGTCCGTGCACCTTGACATAGTCCGCCCGAGATGCAAAACCAGCAGCCTGGAACACCTCCGATTCGAAACCATACTTGTTCTGCAGAAGAGAAGGGGGATCCTCGTTTTACGATTCCTTCTTAACAGGAGCGAGTGTCAGAGAGATTGGCCCTGCATCTTCTTAGAAGTGTCTGGTAAGAGGAGAGGGCAAAGTGTTGGGGGACATTCATGGCAGGGAAAGTAGCGCCAACAGTTTGAGACTTTTGACCAGATGATGTGCGTGGCATGAATGTTAATGCAGCTTCCTTTGCAGAACAATCGAGTAGACCTGCTACATGAGGAAAGAACACTGATTGATTGAGGCGTCTGGTGCTCAGCATGACTGCGAGCACCTGTAGTGCTGCTACAATCGCCGGGACTTGTATACTTCGAAGGACGTAATGCTACACCACTTCAGGATTGCAGAACTCGTGGCCAAAAAGTGCACAACTACTGCCACTGAAAGCCAAAACATTTTCAACATTGGGCTCTGGAACCGACGGCTTACCTCCAGCTGGCGCAAAAATGTGTGCGTTTCCTCAAATAAGTGGAAGGTGTCTACGAAAATGACCTTGACAAGGCCCTTGCTGAACGCTCCTGACCGAGCAAGGAGGTCCAGAATGACCTGAGAGAAGAAACTTTCGTTGGTATGAAATCAACAAAGCCATCCTAGTTAGTGCATGTGGCAGTTACAGTTCCACATTTGCATTATACCACATGATATCTGAAAGCTCTGGAAAGGTCTTACCACTTTACACTGACAATTGTGTGCTGTCCTCTTAGCATGCTAAGTTACAAACAGAAAGCCAGGTCGCAATAGCTGACGGAGTCCAATAACAAAACACTTTAAGGAGCCCGCTTTGAACTAAGCACCGCAGTGGTATGACGGAAGATGCAGAGAGCACAAAAGCACGATGATTGCAATGAGCTGACTCTACTTACCACATCTCCTGCGATGAGCGCACAAGGAAATGCTGGCCGCTCAAAGTCATAAAGTGCATGTTTCAATGTTTCTAGAGCTTGTTCTTCCAAATGCTCCAGCCTCTGAATCTTGCCCTTCTTGTTCCACTCGTCTACGTCTTTCGCAGTGACCTGCTTCTCCGTTTTCTCGGACACAGCTGCACGTGATACTGACCTTTTCCTACGCCCTGTGAGCTGCTCTTTACTGGGATATACCTGGCTAGATTGCAAACTAAAGCTAGGGCAAAGCGTCATACGAAGCGAATTGATTAGTGGCATCATAGGCAGAACTGCAATGTGGCCACTCTGAGTTCCATGTGAGGAGGTATGGGGCAGAACGGAGGCAATGCTGCCAATCTGGGACCGACTCAGCAAGGAACACGTCGCCATTGGGCCGCCTGAAGACTTCACCTACCAGCTAGGGCAGGAAGCAGTGCGAAGCAGCCAGAGCTCTGTAGAGCAATTGCGGCGGATGGGGGTTGCGCAGAGAATGTGAGCGCATCTGCATCAGTCATGCCCAGCTTCGCTTTCACTTGCTGTGCGTAGGCGCAGTCAGCAAAGGTTTAAACGTGCGCTCGCTGCAAGGTGCATGCACGGGAGATTGAACTTTGAAGGGACGACGGCGACGGCTCCTGCAGGTTGACTTTCATGTCAACTTCGCGGGCCCGATTCTTCAATTGAAGCTGCCACCCGACGGAGAAAGCGGCTTCTGGTCGAATACCGCGGATCGACTCTGGAAGTTGCTCGACGTACCTGGTCGGATGTCGAACTTCCAATGCCAGGGTGTCCAACCACGTCACGTGCCCATCCTCGAACAGTGTGGGTACTGCATGGGAGCTTCTCTTTCGAGAAGCGGAGAGGCCGCTGGCTAGCCGAGCTGAGGCTATCTTCTCACAAACGTCTCCCATCCTCCCATGCTTGCTTCGATCCTGCACGATCCCCTTCACGCTCTCATCAAGTTTATGTGATAGAGGTGTATAAAGGGATGAGCCTGGACAAGTGTAGAGTATAAGATATAGCGACGACAAGAAATCAAGGCCCGTAGAAACAACCGAAGCGCCACCTCGTAATTAATTATCGACTACAACTATATAGTCCGGAGTGTGTTCAGCACGGGTGATAGCAACTCAACAGGGCCAGCATCCTACCAAGTCCTGCAGTCATGCTTCTACATCGATTCACCTCATTCAATTGTATACGTAATTAATATGATGCATATATGTTAAGTGCTGAAGTCTCTGCTGGCTCCCGTGAGCGCGTAAGTCGATCAATTCAGTAAGATGGTGTGTTAGTCTAGAGCTGTTCCTGATATTCGCCCGTTGACTTGACTAGATTGACTTCCTACAACGCATTCTTTCTGTGAAGGCCAATGGAACCGTATGCATGACTCAACAAAGATATTGTTTTCAAGGATCATCGAAGCAACTTTTGATATCTTGAATTAACTACGATGCAACCTGAAGGTTGCCGGAAGATTTACTTTTCGTGTATAGCACAATTGATTTGAACTCGCCGAGTCCCAAGTCGGAACAAAAAGACTGACAAACGGTTACAAAATCTAGAAGCAGCGACCACGAACATTCTCAACTTGCTTACTTTAAATCTTACGAGTAACTTTTCAAATATCATCGGTTAAGAGCACCTCAGATCTTGGTCGTGTCACCGACTCAACGTTCCCTCGTTACAACCTCAGGCGTTTTGGCGTCGACCCTGCTCTTTGAGTCGAGTGATCGAGTACCCCTTCTGAATGTGATGCACAAAATCTCCCCTTCGTTTGATCCTTATTGTATCTGATTGGATGTCAGTTTTATACGCAGCTTCTATGTGTTTTGGGCAAACTTATGATGACACTTTGTACATTCGTAAAATACGGTCTGCCCCTCGTCCGCCGATCGAAGCTGCAACAACGGAGTACCTTTGTTGAGAGAAGTAATACTTGGCAGACGGACTAGAAATCGGAAATCTGCGCAGAAGTTCTAGCTCTTGTGCATATCATACTTTCTTCAATTCCGAGCTCTCGACCGCCAGCAGATTGTGACGAACACAAGCTGTGTGCACTAGGTGGTGCTTACCTGTAGCGTGTAGTACTCGAGCTCTCGATGGCCACAACTTGGACAATCTTCGTCGACCTGAGGCATGCCCAAACAAGTCAATTTTTTAGAGACGGGTCGAACAGACATTTCACAACTCTGACTCGAAAGTCCACATAAAAAGACTGAGACATATGTTCAGACAAGTTTACCCTTCTCTTGTTTTAGATGAAAAGCAGCAGAACAGAGCACACACTGTCCATAAGCAGGCGGCGCAGCGTGGTTGCTAACTTACCGTTGCTCTTTGCCTGTCCCTCCCATCTTTTGATGGGGTTTCACTTCCTAGATTCCCATGCGTCGCCTTCACTAGAGGTTCAATTCCGTATCGCCGCCTGAAATCCTGCAGAGGCATTGTAAACTTACATGCCACTCATTGCTATCCATTGTTGAAGGTGGGGTTTCAGCCCAAGTTGCAATACTGTGTGGCAGCAATCTGGTATGTGTCTTCAACTTCCATAGAATCTGATGCAAGTAGACAATTCACAGCTCCGCAAACTGCACTAGCCCCCTCATTTGGCGTAGCTCGGCAAACGAAGTTGAAATCTAGCAGTTGCTTCTGAAGTCCTAGGTTGATATAAGGCTGGACTTACCTCCGGGGTGCTCCGAACTACCACCTCTATACTCTCCATATCTGGGCGTAAAGAAATCAGTATTTCAGATTCGGTCAGCGAGGCTCCTATTGCCCGCAGCGAAACGACTATTCCGAGAGCCCTTGAATAGTGCCATGGACATGCCCAATAAGCTAGAACTTTAGAAGTTTGACCACACATACGCTTCATTGTAAGTTGGCACCACTCGGCAATGTGATGATGAAAGGATTCAGTCTGCCATGCAGGTTGGGGCACTACTTATGCGTAAGCAATGGGGTGTCACCAGAATGCCACCAGTAGGATGCTTTTCAAGAACCCAAATTGTAAGGGCGTGAGACTCTATTGCCGCTGATTGAGTTCAGACAGATTGGACAATGCTGCCAGCATAGACAACTTCGATTATCTACAGCATTGACGAACACGCAAATGTGAACAACCATAAGACATGGTCTTACCTTCCACACTCCTGTGAAAGTTACAAAGGGGGCAAGAAGCTGCAGACTTTGACTCTGGAAGATCTAACAAGCTCCCGCATTGGGGGCAGAATAGGACGGCATATGCTTCTTGCGGGGCGTGAGCTGGCCCGCCACTTCGTTGCAGAGCCATCATTGAATCCACCGCAAAGCTCGTCTCACTGCGAGAATGCACCGAGAGCTGCGGATAGTGAATCAAAGTCGGTGAGAGTTTCTTGAAGTGCTCAACCAGCTGCGTCGATTGCAGGGTGCGTATAGGGTTTTAACAATCTCAGTTGATTGATGTCAATACTAATAGCCAAAAGCGCCCCAGATTAGCTTATTAAATTGACATCAAATGCGCTTGCAACTGTTGACAGTGTCACTGTCAGTGTAGTGCAAGACATGCATGGCAGGATACCGTAGCTGTAACAGCTGGGCTAGCGACCGTTACCATTCGGTAACAGTGACAGAGGTTCAAGAGAACGCCGACGCACGTGTTTCCGGGAGACGGTTGATCTGCATGCCGGCTGAATCGGTGAACTGTACGCGCGTGAAGTTGGCCTGTTCTTCGGGTGGTGCACAGGTGCCATGCATGACTCTAGTACTGAGCACACCCAGACTTCCGCCCGCCCGGCCAACAAAGTGCTCATGAACGCCTCATGAACGCAGTACTGCAGCGCAGAGCCTACAACAAGTTGTGCTCCTGGGGGGTTCAGCTGCAGTAGCAAGTCAGTACAGCCGTACTGCTGTACGTGCAACCTTGGCTGAGCTGAGGGGCCTGATACGTGTGGACACTGCAGAGTCTCCCAATCCACTCCTCCCTGCACGTGTGACCCCGCTGACGTAATGCGTCAAGATCTCTCAACAAAAGCTCAGGTATGTAGCTCATGTCAGATTCTGACATCGGAAGCAGGTTTTGCGCCTCTCCTTCAGGGATTGCTAACTTCATACAATGACCGGTATAAGCCTGCCAGGAGAAGACGGCACGGCAGCTGAGGAATAGGTTGGGATGATGAACCACTCAGAGCTCAACGGCTCATGTCTATACTTTTAAGTTGGTGTCCAGCCGTTTGATGAAAGGCAATGTCAAAAAGAAGAGGTTTAGAAGTGCGCGCCAATCTACCAAACACAGCAGATGAGCTCCTTTGCGTGATTTTGTCGCTGTTTTGAAATTAGTAGCCTACCAACCGCTGAGGCTTCACATGACGACAAGCCAGCGCATGCGGCTGCGTGCGCTAGGGCTGCAGGACGACCCGCTATACTGGACGAGACCCGTGCCGATCAGCGAGCTGACCGCGCCCAGAAGCTTGCGATGGCAGCACGCCAGCACAGGTTGGTCTACTTCTAAGATCCCCCAGACAGCTACCATGTCTAAAGGTCTATCTCTAAACTCCCTAATAATGCTGCCAAGCAATGTGCAGTCCAAAGTCTGCAAAGCTGTACACACTCATGTAACTGGCGCCGAGCATTCTGCGGGTCTTGGTCATTGATGCAGCTCCAATTTGGTGAGCTACAAGTAGATCTTTAGCCCGCGGAACGAGGATATGAGGAGGTACTCCGAAGCAAACAAAAATCCTCTATTGTTCAACGTGTCAAAATCTGAGGCTTGTTGTAGTTCTGCCAACCAGCTTGAGGTCCGATTTACCCCTATGCTGATCAACTCCTTTCCTGTTTTCCCTAGGTTCGAACGGCCTCAGAGCAGCGGCCGAAGTGGTGGAGCAAGATTCAGCCAGGGCTGACGTCAGCCACCTGCCCCGTCTGCAAACACCTGTCAGCACAGCATTAGAGCTGCTCATAAACAGCCTTTGCGTGGAGGAAGGCTGGGAGACGAGCTCGCCTGAGACATCCCCCACCTGGCAAAACGGTGGCACCAGCGGACGAAGCTCACCGTATCAAGTTGCAGAAAATGCTGGATCACAGGGGGCAATCCGGAATCGCACTGGGAGAACACCATCGGATCGGAGGTCAAAACCTGCTAGGGTGCGCTTCCAAGAAGACGGAGAGGAAAGGGAAGATGTTCCACCAGAGGGAAGCGGGGGGAAGCTGGAGAATGGACAGACAGAGCAAGCGCATGCAACGGGAGAAGACGGAAGCGAGGTTGGAAGAGCTACGGAATCCAGTGACGAGTTTGAGAACTTGGCCCTTCGGTTTCACAAGCAGCCGGTGAAGGTGAGTCACCTTTGGCATTTCGCCACGTCCCTTTTTGTGGTGGTGGACAGGGTCCCAGAAAAAAGGATTGACTATGGTAGCTGATTGTTTACGATTTAGTAGCTCAATGAATACAAGATGGTGCGCCATTTCGGAGGGCTCGAGCTCCTAGTGCTAGTGGGCCCCCAAAACGACAGTGTGCGACGCGCATGCACAGAAAGAAGCTTAAGGAAAGGCCTCTTCAAATCCGACTTAACGATCAACGGCCGCTTTGCTTCGCCCAGTTGTTTCCCCCAATTTATTTGAAAATCTCCCTTTTCCGGATGCTGAGGAGCTGGATGCTTTTTCCCGCCTTATTGTCCCTCGAAGCATCCTGAAAGTCGAGTCCTGCTCCACCACAGGTCACGGGCAAAGAAAGTGGGCTTGACCCTACCCAGAAGGGCACTCCCCACCCTTCCCAAAAGCAGGGCTACCAGTACACCCCGCACCCTGTAAAAGGCATCCGGAAGTCGGTGCAGCCGGGTACACCGTTCCCCTTAGGCAACGGTCTCCCCAGTCGCAGCCCCTTTGAAAGAAAGCAAAACCTCCAGCCAATTACCGAGGTCGACTACGGATCCAGCTCATCTCCGGCCACCCTAAGACCCGCCCGCGATGGTTCTCTCGGCGCCTCGAGCTCGGGGGGATCCCTCGGGGCAACTGCTCGGAAACGCTCGGGCCTGAGTTCAACGGGAGGGACTTCGGAGCTCCTGATAATGGAAGGAAATGAGCAGAATGATCAGACCTCTCCGCTCGGACCGGGTAGCTCTCAAGAGCCGACGACGCAAATGGGGAGGAGCCGAGAAACCGGCAATACGGGCAAGCTGGACACGCTGAGAACGACCCAAAGTTTGGACGGGCAGAAAATGTTGCCTCGGGGATTGTCTCCCGAGCGGTCTGCAGAGAGCGTTCTGGTGAAACGGAGTCCGTACCTGGCGCCAGTGCGGAACGTGCGGACTGCGGGGGGAGACTCGGGGCTCGGGACGCAACGACGGGACCGGTTGGCGCAGTTTGCGGAGTATCTGGCGAGCCAGAAAGGGTCGGCTGAGGAGATGCGAGCGTCAGGAGAAGGGGACTCGAACGGGGCCAACTCTCCGGTTAAAAGGGCGGCTCCTCCTGAGATTCCCACCGAATGTGACAGCCCTTCTGGAAGGCAAGAGCAGTTGAGTACAGGGGAAGGCAGTCAACGTCGGTATGAACGGAGCTGGATTCAAACAGCCAGCCCTGGAAGGTCGCCTACAAAGCGTCTAGTGGAAAATGGTTGCGCAACTACCAGACCGCAACGATGGGTCATCGGGGAGTCAAGAACGAACAGGCAGCGCGGGTCAGCCCTTCCGGAGTTGAAAAGGCAGCGGAGCAACGGAACAAGGGCTTCCGAAGGACCGGAATCGCCGACGCAGGCGGTGCCAACTGAAGAGACGAGCTGGAGCAAGGCGGAGAAGCAACGGAGGAGGCGACGATTGTCGAAAGAGCAGGTGAGCGCTCCAGACACAAGACCAGTTTCTGGCACCGAATCGTTCGTTGTTACTTTGATCATTTCAGCCCTTGACGTCCGCGTCAAGTGGAGGCCTAAGAGGTAGAAAAACAAAGCGCTTTAGGTCTGACATTGGACAGGGCCGAGTTGCCAGGCCCGGTTGTCCTTCATCAGGAGCTTTTGTAACCAGGCATCACTTTCTGAGACCCGGTTGAGGAAGCAGAAATTGAAGCCATAAGATGGTCGCCAGGGACTTGCAAGTCAGTCAGCTAGGGGAAAGGAAGGGTTCGTGGGGGGAGCAGACTCGCCACCTTCGCACAACCTTTCCAAGATGCTTCACTATTCGCACGACGTTCAACCCTATTGAGGAGCGCATCAGCAGATGCAGCTCCCTGATTGGAGATCAAGACGCTTCTCGGTGACAAAATACACACGATTGCCTCATTGCTGTTGCGACCGAAACAGGTGTGCAGCATCTATGCAGCCTCTCCAACGACTCATCGAGGCTCCGTGCCCATCATGTCCTGCCGTCGTGCGCAGGCGTCGTTGAGCGAGGACATCAGTTTCAGAGTTGGCATCTCAAGAGAGCCCAAAGAGCTGAACCGGCCCTTCCTCCTTTTGCAGGCGCGGCTGAGCAAGCATACCCATCCTAGCGCTGAGATTTCAAAAAGCCCGAAGGAGTAAATCGCCTTTCCCTCCTCTTGCAGGCGTGGCTGAACAAGAGCCACCAGCGCATGGCCCTCTGGATGCAGGACCACTTCGCGGCGCTGGAGCGCATCGCGCACCTGACGCCGAGCGAGCGCGCGGACGCGGAGCGCATGTGGAGCGCCGCGCAGGCGGCCGCGAGGGACCGCAAACTCAACCTGATCAGGCTGCACTCGACAATCATGACGGGACTCGAAAAGGACGAGAAGGGGGCCGAAACTGGGGGGGGCCGAAGCGAGGCGACCGAGGAGCGACCATTGTGTTCGCCGAAACAGACAACCGGTCTTGAGTTTGCGGCGTCAGATAGTGGAGGAACTAAAATTGGGGTCGAATGAGAGCCTTAGTCCTATAGAAGTCAAACGCTGGGAGCCGACATTTCATCATCGGCCGACTAGCTTCTGGGATAACCCTGTTGATGAAGTTGCCGATGGAAATGGTGAGATAATCTTTGAGAGGCTCCGGCATGCATTTTGCAAATCTCCGCTCCTGCCAAATCGTTCCGCGTGGACTTTTAGCTACTAATACGGAGTTGTTGTATCCGCAAGCGAATTTAGACCCTGGAACCCAACAGATTCGTGGCATCTATCATCTTCAAGATGAACGGGGATCATTTTCGTGCTGCGGCGCCCGAGTGTTGTGGGCCGAGTTGGTTGTGACCCGAGTTCTTGTGCGAATGAATTGACATCGGCGGCTTCTTCATTATTTCAGCTGAATCGCGACTTCAAACTTTCAGTTGGATCCAGGATCCAATTGAGCTATGGGCTGTTTAGTATCTGATTGCAAGCGAGTCACTTTATACATAGAAAAACTGCATGTGCAGCGACAGTTCAAATCGGGATCAGGTCCTTGAGTTAGCTCCCCTTCTTCATTGGCCGGAAAGAACAGAAGCGTCGTTTTCTATGATCGTTTTTCGCAACAGATTCGCGATAAACGCGGCCCGGGCTTTTGAGCAATTGACTTAGGATATTACAAATCTGCGTGCACATGCGCGCACGCAGCAGGCGGACTCACGGTTCTTCAAAGAACGCGTTCAATCTTCAAATGCAACTGAGCATGTGCCCGAGACGGGTGCATGTGTCTCGTATGCTTTAAGCTGCATGCCAGCGCCGGCGAATCACATGCACAGATGATGGGTCGAAGACTCTTATTCGGCTGAGCCTGGAGGCTGAATATACAATTAACTTGCATCTTGCATGCTTAAACAGCTTATCGTTTTGGTCGGATAATTCCATGCCAAACATCTCTGGCAGCCGTAGGAGCGGCCGGCCGGGCGCTCGAAAACGGGCCGGATCGGATGAGCATATATTCGATTGGCGTTGCAATAATCATTCACTGAATTCTGCTAACGGTGCATACTAGGTCGCGCTAGCTCAACGCGTACCAGAGATTGAGATCATGATGCCCTTGACCCTAAATCTTTCCAAGCACAGCTTTGGAGTGGTGACGGTCTGGTGCCGCCGACACGAGGTTGCATCTACAAGACTGCTCCTGTGATACGGGTCCTGGCGGCTCCAACTTAATTGAAGAACCTTGGAATTGTTGCTTCATCATCAGAAGAATGATTTGACGGGTTCGGGATTACTCTAACTATTCGCTGTCTTTCTCACCATTCGACTTTGCTTCGAATCATGACGGGTTGCTCTTCCACGACTTTAGCCATTGCGAGATCGTCTCGACGTTCTGTTCCATGTCCTCTACGGAGTTGCTCGGAAGGGCGAGCACTTTACTGTGCTCGTAGCTCTCCCGCGCCTCTTCGAGAATGACTTGCATGATCTCGCACTCCATGTTGTCCTCCAGTTTCCTACCTGAGTACCCCCTGCACGTTGACAGAACTAGTGAGCTGATCGCTCAGACTTGCAAATGAATCTTGCCAAGTCAGAGGTCTCCTTATGAACGAAATGGAGGTGCGGAGACTGATGGCGCGGTAAGCAACAATTGCGGTAACAATCAGGGAAAAAGCAAACTTAGAACCGTGACTTGAACCTAAAAGCGCAAAAGATCCACTTCGAGCATAGGGAAAGCATCCGTGGAACGGGTGCATCATCCAATTTCCCGGCAGTGGTACACAAGCCAGGACGCATGCTCTAATCGGGTTCGAGACCCGGCGAAGGACCGAAAAGACTTGCCTGGCTACGAGCCGATCGTAGAGAACCGAGTTGTCGGTTTGCAGCACCACCACGAGATCGAACCAGCGCTCGGGAAAGAGCTCGCAGCCGTGGTAGTCCAAAAGGCAGCCACCCTCGGCCACTCGGTCCTCCAATTCGTCGCACAGCTGCCACAGGGGAGTGAAAATAATTAAGTGATTCGGATCAGCAAGTTAAGTCAGGCAAAAGCAGGTGACGAAGGACAGCTCTATTCGAGGGCCTGAATGAAGCTGGCAGAGTAAAATGCCGGCTTGGCTAGACAACCGTGAAAATCTGCAGAAAACTGAGAAGGTCCTGCAATGTTGAGCAATTGAGACCGGTCATAGCGGCTCTAGCGATCGCAAGGTCACTGCCAGGCATTTGGAACATCTACCAAACGCAAGAGCCACCAAAAGGAGCGGCCCCAAAGAAAGTCCTTGCTCTGAAAGCCAGCAAATAGCAGCATTTCGTTTCGTTTCGTACCCGAACCAGAAACGATAATGAAACCACTGCAGAACAGGGCCGGAAAACGTGTCTGTCCACGTGCGACTTTACTAGCAAGGGGCTCACAATGAGTTGCGACACCAAAGACGTACTGCTTGCATATGGGTGCGGCAGCATCTGATCCCCTTAAGGAACAACGATAACAATGCTACCTCACAACTTTCTGACCACTTCTCTTATGTGACTTCTACATTAACTTGCCGAAATCTACCTTCTCTGTGTCTTACAAAGGCTGCTCAGTAGTTACTTTAAAGGTCTGTCAACTCCCTCTGCTCAAGCGATCCAGACGGAAAGACGGACTCCGGTAAGCTCATCCCAATCCTGCCTTGACTACCACCCCTTTCATCGACTCCCCAAAGGTGTATGCTCCGCCAATCAGAACAGGTGACAGCAGATTGCGACCGGAGTTAGAGTGTCCATTCTCAGGCTCTGACCAAGAAGACTCTGTCTGGGAGGGAACTCAAGCGTCAGTGAGTATGATAAGTCCTCCTCACCTTGTCCTCGTTCAAGTTCCAGGACTGATACTCCTCGTCCCAGCCATCGTGCAGCTCCTTCTCCTTGACCAGGTCCCCTATGTTGATGTACTGAAGGGGAACAGATGCCGCCAGCTGGTGACACAGCGAGGTCTTGCCAGTGCCGGGGGTACCAGTGACTGGGGGGGGGAGGATATGTAGGTATGTTAGATGTTGAGAACTCATTTGGATTGGTATAAGTGATTCCTGATGAGACGGGCTAAGTCTTGTCCACTCAAAATGCAGATGCTGGGGTGCACAAGAGTGAATAGAATGGAGCTGGGGCTGTTGGGTTGGAAGTGGTTCGGATGTCTTCGCTTTTGATAAGGTGAGTGGCTGGTGAGTGGCCCGTTTAGAAGGAGTGGCGAGCAGAGAGAAATGGTCAGGCAAATGAACCGCCATTTAACAGTCTGGACCGGTTGGCTCCAGCATTGATGGAGCAGTAGCGCCTAGGCTGAAGCGGGATATACCAGATGTGATAAGCTACTTTCTGTCCTTCTTGATCAAAAAATTAGAGAGTCCGGCTGCTTGTTTAAATGTTGATGGCACGAAAGATGGTCAGGGTCTGGCGATTCTGGCAAATGATGTCTTCTTGCCAGACTGGCATAGCAGTGATGTGGGGGGTGGTGCAGCGACTTGAAGCCCCACATTACTTCGCAATGGTGCAACTTGAATTTCAGTCATTCAATTGACTTTGCAAGGCTCAATCAAGCAAGCATACTGACGTCCATAACAGCCAATCTTGACTAATCAGGTCATTGGCAAAGGTTTCCAAAGGTGCACACAAGACAACATTCATGACCTGGGCGACACTTTCGCAGTTGTCGCACACTTGCACCAGTTTGCGAGCGTTGTAGGGCCTGCATCACAAACGAATCACGTGTTCTTGTGGACACTGGACCCTTACCCAAGATGTTTGGCGCCGCCCGCCCACCTCTCACCCCCATATCGTCATCGGTTGCCTCGTTGCCCATGAAGCCAACCGATTGACGATTTAGAGGCAACACGCACAATCAGCTCGTTGGCAAAACGCACGGTGCAATGCTGCAGCTCGCAGTCCCTCTCCAGATGCAAGTAAAGCCCTATACTAGGTAATAGGCTAGTCCCTCCAGGCTCCAGCGTTCTGCATGCTCAGTACGTCTCTAGCTCACCAATTGCGCGGTGGCCTCTTCACACCGAGGGCCCATTTGACCCCGCTCAGAGTAGACGTACATTGGCACGGTTACATGGGTTTGTAGCAACTTTTTCCGACGGCACGGTTACTTCGAGTTTGGCGCGAAAGCACTCGGCCGGTCACCGAACGTAGCCCCTTGGAAGGAGCAAATCTGCAAAACTCCGGATCAGACGGTACTGTACCATGTAGATCTTGGGTACTGAGGGTGTACTGACCAGACTTCCGAACCGTCCGATCCACTCGTTCCCCCCACGCGGCAAGCCCGGATGGAGTAACGGTGCGCCGTTGGCCCCAACCCGCCTCGCCGAGGCGGGTTGGGGCCAACAGTGCCGTTGGAGGATTATCGCGGGGGGTTCCGAAGAATCGACCCAGTTGATCGATGAAGTAACCGTAAGTAAAAGTAACCGTGCCAATGTGCGGTCCGGTTGCAGTTAAGTTTCAACAGAAACGGTGCCAATGTAAGTCTACGCTCAGGCGGCTAGAACCACGGTAGCTATTGTCTACCAGCCGCCAATAATTGGAGCATCATGATGTGAATATGTCGCACTTGTATACGTCAGGCCTCGCAGGAGACGAGGTAGGCAATCACGATCGACGGTCTGCATCTATGTTGACCGAGTTGATGACGTAGTTTGAATTTGTGGATTGCGTTTCTTGCGGACCACTGTGGACGATGACGCAGAGCGAGATGGTCGATTGGACGTCCGAATTAGGGTTGCAGTGCCTGGCAAACCTGCAGAAAGGCCCGGTTGAATGCGGGCTGACAAGGAATGCAAGCTAGAATGCGAAGAGGCCCCTTCAATGTAGCCTCACAGAGCAAACGCACGGACAATGGAGTGCGGCAGAATGGATGCTTGATCCGGGAGAGGCATGACAGCAATGTATGCAAGGAGCAATGGAGGCAGCCGAGGCGCAGGCGAGCAGCGCTGAGGCGGGCGTTCCCCGCTCGCCGGCGCAAGTGGTTCCTAAGATGCAGGACTTTGCGACAGGCACTGCACTGCTAGATCCTAGGCTTGTCAGCAGTGAGAACAATGAAGCGGTTGCTGAGGAAAAGCTTCTGGATGCCATTCCTAGAGCCGCTGCAGGAAGTCCTGAAGATGCTGCTGGCAGTGAACCTGCTATGCCTGACCGCTCTGTACGTGCAGAGCAACAAGCCCCCCCTGATCGTCAGCATGCTGCTGGCAGCCGCGCTTCTGACGGCTCCTCTGTATCTCCGCTTCCTAGTGACTCAAGTCACGGCGAACTCCCTGCCTCGGAGGCATCGGGAGAGTTCCAAGGGGGACCGGAGAGCCAAGCAGAGGCGGGAGGAGAGGCGCAGGACGGAGCGCTGAGGGGGGGCGCTGTCACTTGCAGTTTCACGGTCCTGCCTGAGGGCTACCGGCACCGATTGGTGACACAGTCAGGGATGAGCATAGGAGAAGTCTTACAGCAGATTGCGCAGGAACTGAGTGTCCCAGCATTTGTACTCCAAGCGCAGCAGGCAGGCCAGGACTTGAGACCTGAGCAGGTTTTGGGGGCCCTGCTCAAGGAAGCAGATCAGGCAGATGCAGAGATGAGCAACAACTGTCTAGAGTTGGAGCTACTGCTTGACTTCTCCAGGAGCGACCCACACTTAGAAGCAGAAGGCGGAAATCCTGACGCACAGGAGGGAGCAAGGCAGGAGCAAGCAAGGCGTGCGGCAATGCAGATAGAACGATGCACAACAAAGCAGCCTTTCCTGGGGGGCTACAGGAATAAGCAGACCGGTAGGTTTAAGCAGACTTGCCAAGATCAACCCATCCAGGACATTGTTCTTGTGTTACAGAATGAATATTCTCGAGGTTGAAAGCAGACATATTAAGTTGCACCAACCTTGTAGTACCGTTGATGCTAACAAGTCCGTGTTCAGCAGCCACAGTCTAGCTTCTAAGTACAAGGCTCACTTCTAGGCACTGATTTCTTGGTCTGTCTATAAGGTTTGATCAGTCTTCTGTCCGCACACGGCTCTTTTCTGCCTAAGCGACTCACAACAGAAAGACTTTCATTGCAGGTGTTGAGTACCTGAATGCAGCGGCGCAGTGCGAACGTCCTTCAGTCATGTCTGCCTCTGAGCGCAAGCTGAGCCGCGACACTCAGACGTACGATCAGAAGCATGTGGCACTGCAGAGTATCAAGGAGGCAGCAACTCAGATGGCGCGTAGTGACCTTATGCTGGATGAAAGCAGGGACAGGGTGGTTCTCCCAAGGGCTTATGAAGACTCTGAGCACTGGGAGAGGAGGAGGGACCATGCGGTCATTATGTTGCAGCGCTACTGGAGGGGGTGGCTGGCGAGGAGGAGGGCAGGGGAGCTGCGCGAGAGGGAAGAGGAGAAGCAACATGTGAGCATGCATCAAGAAAAGTTCCATCTTGTCATCGAACCGTTGCATTTTGAACTTCCGTCTTGGGTCAATGGTGACACACGAAGGGTGAGGGGAGCTGAAAGTAGTTTCCCCAAGGGATCATCTTGTTGCATTTCCCAATCAGCTTTGCACCCTGCTGGCGAGGCGCCTGTAGATTCAGCATTCCTCTTAAAAGGCGTCTCGGTGTCTGTCCTGCTCAGCTTCGCATCTTGCTGGCCGGGTGGCGGGGGGGTGCTGCTTCAATATGGACAGATCATGCCAGAGCCGAGCTGCACAGGCAGTGCAAAACCTCCATTACAGGGCCCCAGCGGTGAATGAAGAGCTGTTCAGCTTTGCTGGACGACCCCGGAAGGAACCCGGTGCCCTCAGCTCCCCAACCTCGTTAATGCTCCCAATGTACAGCTCCCCACGTTCTGACACCTCTCTTTCGTGTCTGCCAGTTTCTGCAGGAGGAACAGCAGCGGCGCCGGCAGGCGGCCGAGGCTTTCCGGCGGGGCGAGATCGAGCGGCGCCTGCAGCCCCGAACGGCCGCCGACTTTGACATCCTGTACAGCGAGCTCGAGGCGTGGCGCATGCAGGTAAACCCGGCAGCACAGCAGCGTCCTTGGTCTGTTCTTGCTTGAAGTGGAGAATGAAGCATCGGCCCACTTTCGTCTCGCCCGCGGCAGGTTTCTGTGATGTTCGATATTTCAGGGGTGTATTGGCAAGACGTGGCATACAATCCAACGAGTAGCAACGTGGAGCCGTTTGAGGGGATTTGGCAGCTCCGGAAACTGAGTACTCGTCCCACCTGAATTAATTACCTTGGTTGCGTAATCGGAGACTGAGAGATTCGTTCCAGCACGTCAAAGCCGTTTTTCATACCCGCTCATGCTGGTACCTTTCCTCTTGCTCAAGTTGCATCGCCTCCTGAGCTTCGACAGCTCACACCTTGAAGAGTCATAAGTCATAACGCACCCGTCTCTCACTGCCTCCTCGGTGCACCCGCAGGAGACGCGCAAGATCAAGGAGAGCGTATCGGAGGAGGAGGCGCGAAAGCCGGCGCTTCGACAGCTGCTGCACAAGGTGAGTCGAGAGGCAGATGACGTCATGCTGACTCAGGCTTGGAGCACGAGCTTCACGCGAAGCCTGCCCGGATGGAAGTCGAAGGCAGAGGAACGTCTCTGCGAACGAGACTGAGAACGATGCTTAGAGCGGGCTCGCGAGAAGCTGTAACCGCTTCGTTGATGAGGTGCTTGTAGCTGCAATATCAGGCGCCGAAAGTCCACCCGTCTTTTGGATTGTATTTCGATCGCGAGCGGCCAGCCTTCTGGTTGCAGTGGACGAGAGGCTGTGTCCTTCAAGAATCCAGAAACTCCACATCTTAGATTTGCTGACGTTCTCAGCAGGTCGGCCTGACTTACGCCCTTTAACACACCGGCGTCGCCGTCCCTCCAAATATTCAATGAACGCAATCCGTCGGACTCTTCGAACTCGTTCTACATCGAGCTTATGCACGGTAGAAACCCCTTGGAGCAGCCAAACGCTGACGCGTGGCACGTTTCTCACCGTCCCCCTTCAGGAAACGAAGCTGCTGCAGACGATCGACCGGCTGAAGCTGGCGGCAGGGAAGGAGAACCGGAGCACGCGCATTGCGCGCTCGCTCGCGAGCATGGCCGCGCCCAAGCAGTGGGAGCTGCGCGACGGCAACAAGGTCGAGGTGCAGACGCCGCTCACCGTGCGCGCCGCCGAGCTGATGCAGGTGAGGCGGGGAAAAGGTGCACAACTCTTTTGCTACTAAGATATTGTTACATCGCTATGTGTGAGGAGTGGCGCAGATGCCCTCACCGGGTGCGCCGCCGATCTGATAGAGGTAAGGCCGGGAATGCAGTCCGCCATCATTTGATCGTTGGGCCAGTCGTGCCCCGACAATCTCTTCCTTTCAAATTAGCGGAAACAGGGTGCAACCAGGTCGATAGGGAATGAGTTGCTTCTGCTCATGGGCTGTATGGAGAAGGAGACGGTGCATGTTGTACGCAGCTGAAGGGTTTCAACTGTAAGCTCGTGTCGCGAGGTTGGGACCCTCGAGCTTCGCACGCCGGCGCTCATTATGGAAGTGGAGCCGCCAGCTGAATAACCCCTTACGTACCGAAACGAAGTCCCGCGATTATGGTCAAGAAAGATTTGCGGTGCTCATGCGGGTTCCCTAATCGTGCGTCTGTCAAAAGTCTGTGCTTACCAATCAAGAACGGTTGGCTGTGAAGTGGACATTATAAAAGCTCGAGCATAGACCCGGATCTGGAGCAAACAATGTCGTGAGTTTTCTGGTCATACTTAATCATACTCGTTCTTTCAGACCGCATCCGTGCCCTTGTTGACGTCATCTCGTAGGTGAATGTCCGTTTGCTGCCCTCAGGCCCCGTTTCCAAAAGTCACGCCGTCTGCAGACCTGGATCTTCTTCAGGACTGCTTACAGGCCAGTTGTGATCGTAGAAGGGTTCACGTAACTCAGTCGACTTCCCTAAGTTGAACCAAACCCGGTTGCCCGTTAGCCTCGCTCACTCCATGCAACTGTCCTCGGAATCGGAGCTGCCCGCTAACCAAGCCGGGTCAAGCGGTAGGCTTCCTGATACCAAGCATGGGGCTACGTCAAGCTCGAGGCGGCCTTCTAGCAACGCCCCGTCAAGTGCTAACCTGTCCTAGCCCCATCCCGTGGGGTTGCGACTTGCAATAGCCCCCCAATAACGCTTTTGTCAGGCGCTGACCTCTCCAACCTAATCACGCCCGGTGAGCCGCTAACCCTCTCTAACTTAATTCCTGCAGCTGTACCAGGGGCTGCGGCTGCGCGCGCTGCGTCCGGAGCAGCGGCTGGACGTGGTGCGGCACGTGCAGTGGACGGTGCGCGAGTTCGACTGCGCGCTCACGCGCGAGCTGCTGCAGCTGCTGGCGCGCGAGGAGGATCTGCTGCAGCGCGGGCGGCCCGCCAGCACGCTCGAGGGCCTGCGGCGCCGCATTGCCAACCTCTTCCTGCAGGTGAAGGACAACCCGTCTCGCCTTAATCGCACCCTGATGCAGGTTATCGAATCCCTTGTTTGATGCGACGGCGACTCATCCTCTTGGAGGACCTTCTTCAGTCCTGCAAAGGCACGGCTCTCACCAATCCCCTCGCCTGCGAGATACCAGAATTAGCGGCACAGATGAATGGAAAGCCTGGTGCCTGAAGTTCTTGGTCTGCGCAAATGTCCCGGTGAGGATCATTCTTTGGATACGAGGGTGGATCTACAAACGAAGCCTATGGTTTGCGTGCAGTTTGTGGAGACGCCCGAGTTCAATCCCGAAGCGGAGCGGTACCGCATCGCCGTTCCGGACTTTGATGCTTATCAGAACCAGGACCCCACGCGCAGAAACGTGCGTCCATCCGAGGTTGTATTGTAGCAGATTAATCTGACCAATTGCTCCCATCATCCAATCTGGGGGGTCATTGCGTACTTGCTTAAAATCGTCTGCATTATAAGTTGGATAATGTAGATGGCGGTGTAGATACTTACCTAATGGCAGAGTTATAGATAGCTCAATGATGACAGGTTACCCGTACGACGTGGTACCTCCATACGTTGTTGAAACGGCCCAGCTCTCGCAGACATCACAACCGAAGCACCAGTATTAAGTTAGCTGCAAGCATTAAATAGTTGCAAATACTTGCAAACAAGCAGTCAAAGCTTCCAAAACACGTATGACCGGTATTTGCATGCACAGTGCATAATGGGGGCACTAAATTCTGAATTCAAGCGCCTGTGTCTTCGATGTACCATTCAGTGACTGCTCAAATACGTAGGAATGTACGCTGACAATTCGAGTACCCCGACAATGAGCTCTAAAGCTAGCGTGTACTAACTATTGAAAGTGATTGCACGTGGTTGGGAGACCAAGGACATGCTGCAGCTGATATTGGTACAAACTACTTCGTGCGTCGAGTCAAGGCAATGCAAGCCTAAGCATTACGCGCGGCGCGGCCCACTGCATGGACATGCACCCCAGGCCGGCGCTGTCGAGGTCAGTATGCCAGAACCCGGTCGCCTAGAATGCATGCCTAGCTAGCTATGAATGATGATCATGCATTGAATGCGCTTAAGTGCGTCGATCGGCCCCCTTAGTACATCATCTGATATCATGCACTGTTCATGGCCACCTACGCGTGCGATGCATGTGAGCGCCGCTCAGTGTTTGTTGAGCCTGCCGGATCGGTCATGCATGACCCATATGCTAGCTGCAGCCTGACCGGTGATTCATGCAAGGCTAGATTGCATCATGCACATGCATGTGCATGCCAGCCGTTGATATGGCCAGGATGGTATCGCTCAATACGCCTGTTGGCTTGGCAGCAAATATACGCATTCTGTCTAGCGAGTATATGTATGCGTGTCCAATTATTTGGGCTGCATGGGCCAAGATCAAACCCTGTGCATCATGTAAGTTCATGGGCTAAGTTTGCAGACGCATCACGCCCTGGCATCAATCATTGTCAACGGATGCCGCCAAATAGGCTTAAACTTACTGAATTGTTTGTGAAGTCAAGAACGACCCTCGTAATCCTCCGGTCACCGTCAGTACACAGAAAATTTGATCATGAATTGTGGTACTCAGTTGCGCTGCTCGCTGCCAAGGTCCTGCTTGTCTCTCTACACGTTCCTATGCGACGAGGTTCAATCAGGTACGTCCACACAGAACTGTTTACTCTCACGCCTATGAATCTCAAACTAGGAGCGCGCGAATGATGGTTATACTTTCCTCTAGCTTACAGCAGATAAGTTACCAACGCCCGCACAATCTGACCATCTCAGACACCTTGCACCAATAACTCATCTACCATCTTACAAGTGCCGCCTGTGCCCGCGACATCAGCAGCGGGAGGTCCTCTAGTCGTGCCGTAACCTTCGCCGCTTGTCTTCCAGATCCCTGCGCACCTCCTTAGCGGACGACCCCCAGTTTATGGTGCCTCTAAACAGCTCCGGCATGCGCTTGTTCAGCGCCTTGCGGTCCTCTGCCGTCTCCGTACTAGTTGCGCCGCTCTCTGTCTCCGAGCCCGCCAGCGTGACAAGGTCCTGGGAAGAAGACGGAAATCCTGGTCGGTCCTTCACAATGTTATTTGGATTGGCTTAGCTCCATACGGTATGAAAGAGCAGAGGCAATCAGGGTCCTTTTGATGCAAAGCCGAGCCTTTGCCAACGGAAGCCTATTCCTGACTTGCAAGGATGATGATTACCGGATTGGCAGACTTGGACTTTGACGATCCAGCAGGGGGTTTCCCAAGATGACGGGAACAGCATCCAAGAAGCGAACGATTAGAGCTATAAACCGCTACTGGTCACATACGGTCAATTTGCAAAAGGGCGCTGCTAGGCTTCAAAGACAGCACACGGAGTCAGCCCAGCCCGACGCAAACAAAAGCCAGCCTGATTTGTCGGCGGCTCACCACCCGATCCTTCCCGGGCTCAAGTTCCGCCGCCAGCGCCTCTTTTTCGAGCGCCTCCTGCAGCCTCCCCCCCTCCTCCGGGACCCCCTCTCTCGCCCGGGACGCCAACCCGAGCGCCGGCTTCTGCCGCCCGCCGGCCGTCTCCGCGGCCGGTAACCACCCCCCGGGGTCACTTTTGCGGCCTAGACCGTCTGGCACAACCACCCCCCTAAGCGAAACCCCCCGCTGGGAGCCCTGTCCAAGGGACCGCTGTTCCGCCGTTCTTGAAGCCTCTGTGCCGGCCCCGCTGCCCCACCAGGCAAAGAGCGGCCCGCCTGTCGTATGCGGGTCCTCCTCTCTCCGTTCCGTCGATTCCGTTTCCGGGTGCGTCCACGGCGCGTTCTCGTCTAGAGTGTCCACCGATAGCGGCTCGTCGTTCAGCGGCTCCGGACGAGTAGTGCCGCTCGACGTCTTGGTTACGGAGTGCCGCTCCGGCAGGAGAAGAGGAGCGACTTCGCCGGCGCTCTCTTCGGTGATGCTGCAGGGAGTCGAACGGGTCATAAATGAGGAGCGGTCGCTTTCCGTGACGTCGTCGGCGTACAAAATTGGGCAGCGTCTGATGATCACACTCCAGCTCTCGCAGACTGATGACCCACGCCTTAGGGCGGGAACGTGCGACGGACACGGGAGTGGATTGAGAAGCATGCAGTAGTGCTTGCAGCAAGAGCAAGATGACGTCACTGAGTCTTTTGACATGCAGACTCGCTGCGGTGACCGATGCAGGTTCGCGACACAGGCGGATCGCTGCCTGCCAGGTGGTGTCAGGATAGAAAGCTCCAGCACAGCAAGCATCGTGCACAACTCGACGACGGGCGAAACGGAGGGTCTTCGCCAAGAAAAACCATGGTCCAGTGACTCGAGGATGGTCCGTGTACTAACCTGACACGGATGGGACCCGAATCAAGGTAAACAGGCAAGAGAAATCTTAGCAACCAAGCAGCAACCCCATAAGCGTCCCACGACCTAGAATCATTGCTTCGCCAACTCACTTGCCCCCCCTCGCCGGGACCAGGTGTAGCAGCACCCCGCCCGGCAGGTTGGCACGTGCCTCCTCCAACAGCGGCGCCTTTGCGCGCGCCTCGACAAGGCCCTCCGTCGCAAACGCCTCCACCCACCACGTGTCCCTCTCGTACGTCTCCAGGCCCCGTTCTTGCTCCGGTTCGCCCCATGTCCTGCCATATCCCTGCTTGACGGCGCTAACTGCGACGATGACAGGGCCTTTGGCGACACCAGCCACCGCAGCAATCAGCCTCCGAGCTTCTCGCTCGTCTAGTTTCTCGAAGGTCTCGGAGACGAAAACCAGGTCGAAGGGGATCGTGCTCCCCGTTCCGGCCACGGTGTTCCGCAGCTCGTGCGGCAGCGTTTGCAGGGTGATGGAGTCGCCGCAGCTCTGCTGGACGGGGCGTGCATAGGCGCTCTGGGTGTGTGAATCGGCACTCGCGTTCCAAACAGGCTCGAGCCCGATGAGTGCGGTGCCGTTGAGAAGCTGGAAGAGAGGACAGGGCTCGGGGCCAATGTAGAGAGTGCGGGTTTTGAGCGCTTCGGGAAAGAGGGTGTTGAGGGCGCGAGCAATGGCGCAGTTAGAGCCCATGCAGGAGGTATTCTCACCAAGCGAACCTGCAAGGGCGAAGCCAGGTTAAGCAAAGGGTTGATCAGTGGCTTAGGCTTCAGCGCGTCTTCAACGCGTGACACTGTTAAAGTGAGGTCTGAGGTCCTCGAAGGTGTTCAGCGGGTTCAGATCTGGGGCAGCTTAACGGATGTGATTATGAGTCGTGCTGATTGCAAAACACCAACAACGAAGAAGCGAAACGGTAGTCAGATCAAAGTTTAGGTACACATTGAAGAGGTGGCTTTCACAAAGGCAGCTCAAGATGGAACGACCAAGTCAAAACGTTCATCATAAGGTATCCAGTTTCTTCTCAGATACGAAAACAATGAGCTGACTTGAGCATTTTTTTCCAAACGCAATCTTTACAAAGTCAGCTTCTTAGGAACCTTGCATCCAAAAGGAAACCACCAAAACCATGACGACATGTGAAGGTTCGAAGGTCCTCGTCCACAATTTCAGATCAGGGTTCCAAGTGGCGTTGCTCCTCACCTGTGCGTTCGGAGGTGGCCGTACCGTTCCTCGCCCAGACTGCTTCGACCTCCCGTCTCGTCAAGCCCAGCCCCGCTAGCTTCTCCACAAATGCCGACGCCTGGGTGTCGGTGCTGAGCACTGTTTCAAACAAGCCGGTGGCGTTTCCCAAGCTCTGATTGAAACCTGACGCGCTCGACGTAATCTCAGCTTGACGGGTCCCGTTTGTCAGCAACTTGATCGCCTCTGCGGTCATCCTCGCCAGCGTATCCAGGTCCGCAGTCGCGCTGAGCAACTCTCCCGCGAGGCCCAGCGCGTTCGCGAGGCTCGCGGCGAACCCCGTTGCATTCAGCGTCGCGTTCGCGGGACCCGGAGACAAACCCGCCGCGGCCGCGCTCTTCCACGGCCTCTCGCTTTCGCCCCTGAAACCCTCCCCTCCGCCGTTTTCCTCAGATTCTTCCCTCGCAAGGACCATCTTGTCCAGCGTGTCCGCGCCCCATTGCCGTGCCAGATTGTGCGGGCCGCTATGCTTCCGCCTCGCCAGCTGTCCCCGCTGGGTAAGGGCACCGCTTTCGGTGCGCACCATGACCGCCCGGTGCTCGGCATCCCCCTCGGCACCCCTGAGAGCTGACGCCTTCTCCTCCGCCCCCTCCGTCCCAAGCTCTGCTTTCTCTAACCCACCTTCTGACCCTCCCCCTTCCCAGTCTCTAACGCTCGTGTCCTTGACGTGTTGACTGCCTAAGACCCAGTCTGGGTCAGGATCTTCTACCCGGACTTCTTTCACAGGTTTTCGCTTCCGAAACAACCCCGATCCAGCACCCTCCACCTCAAAGTCCGGCCGCTGCTCCTCTGGCAACCAGGCAAACTTTGGGTCCACATTCAACATCGCCTTTTCTGTTGTTACGGCCCCAGCTGACTTAGCAACTCCTCTATTGGCGTCAGAGGCGTCTTGGAAAGTAGATTTGAGACCCGCTTCCATTATACCCCCCTGTTTAGACTTCATTGCAAGTTGAAGACCGTTGGCTGAGAGGGTGCTCTTGGGCTTCTGGAGTGTAGCACTGGCTTGCTCAAAGCTTAAACCTTTTGGCATATTTGCATCTGTCCGAACCGTTTCTGCCAGCAGCGTTTCTCTTGCTTCTTTTGGATTGCTGCCAAGGAGTGTCGCCGCCTGGTCTTGGAGGTTGGCAAGAAGCCCTGCTGAGAGTGGAGGGGGGATAAGGTATCAGAGCTCCATCATCCTGCCGGTGCAAGGGCCCCTGGAGTCTTTGCATAGCCGCAGAAGATTATTTTGCATTGCGACGGGGCGATATGAAGACGCGATATCGTATTCTGCCATACAAGCCTTACAGGTGCCTGTAGATTTATTTATCCAAGTGAAGAGAGGCGGTGTTAGGAATTCTTCAGAACGAAACCGCAGGCGGATTCTGGAGTGGAGCAAAGGCAGGGCAGATGGCTACATAAGAAACAAATCAGCGTGCATTCATATGGAAACAGATCTCAAAAGTTTCAAATAAGAGGACTGACCGGCGCCTGGCGCACTCGTTCCTGGGCCAGGATAGCTTGCGAAGATGACAGCACCCTGCCGAGAAGGGGATATAGATGTTTGGAAGAGGACAAGCAGCTGAGTGATGCAAGGGGATGTGTTTCAGGTGAGGCCTCAAAATAAGCTGAACGTCAGGGTTTGAGTTCGGGTCAAGTAAGTCCGATGTTAATGTTGCAGAATGGAAGGGTTCTGGTTGAACTTCAGTTGGATGCCAGAGTGGCGTCTATGACACGAAAGTTGGAAACGAAGAAAGGTCACCCCGAACTAGCAATTCTTGCCCCCACCTTTGAGTGCCCCAAAATCCTGTCTGGCATGGTGCCACTGAGGCCCAACGTTCTAAACACAAGACTGTCAGCATTATCCTTTTAGAAAATGATACCAGCAATGGGATGATGTATCTGAACGCCCCATGCGACGCACTGACCAAGAGAGCGGCGCAGAACGATGTGATGGTCACGACCCGGCAGTCCGCTTTTCCAATGCGCCGGCCCCGTGCCATCAGCGGCCGCCGAAGCACAATAGGCTCCATCGCATCCCCCACACCGCTGAGTTCAGAAGTAAAGGACGCCCTCTCAGAAGCTAATGCTGGTTCAACCTGGCTTTGACCCAGTAAAGGACGCCCTCTCGGAAGTCTTCGCTGCTTTTGACGTTGCTTGACCCGTTAGGCTGATGCGACTTGGCAAAGCAGACGAGGTTTTAAATGTGAAACTGACTTGCTGTCCTGGACGGGATTGCCTGCCAAGATCTGTGGCACCTAGTGCAACAGGATATTTTAACCTAGACATGCAGAAAGCGTCTATAAGATCCACTGCTGCATCTCAGCAGCTTTTCCTGACGCCCATGCAACTGTAGCTAGGGTGCCTCAACTTGGCTCATACCGAAAGAAACCATCAGCGGCAGCCTCGCCTTCTTAAAGTTCTAGCCCCGCTGAATGTTGGAAATCTGAGCTCGATCAGAAAGGACGAGGTGTATTTACACCCAGCGTTTCGCAACGCTGATCAAGAAGCAAGGAAGAACCAATCTGACGTTTGGTGTAACGCGCAATGATTGCAATGTAAATTCCTGCCAGAATCAGCGGAGGTAGAAATTTTTGACCAGTAATCGAACGCCATTTGGCATGCAGAGGCCAGGGCACTGGGACGTTCGGGTTGAAGTCGGCTGCATAATGCTGGTGCGATCATCTGTCGACAGTCGAACATATTTTGATCCTCAACGACTCCGAAGCAGTAGGACTAGGAGCTTTGGAGCTTGAAATTTGAATATCTTGAAGGGCAACCTTTTTAAAAGCAATGGTGCAAACTCCTACGTACAGGCTTTTTATGATGAGCACGTCCTTGCAGTAAGCAGAATGTTCAAAAAACAGTACTACTTTTACGAGTCCTCATCTTCATATGAGTTGTGGTGACACACGGGCGCTGTCAAGTCAAACCAAATCGTCAAAACCGATTATAATCTTCCTCGCTTCGACCGCACTTGAGATTGGCCAAATCTTACAAAACGTAGAGCCAAAGGGGTGCCGGCAAAGCGGCCAGCTGGGCAGGCTGGTGATAGTACTGCACCATGTAACCAGCAATTGACAAGACTTCAATCTATTAGTCGATGTTTTGCGGTTCGTTGGTACAGCAAGATTGGATGCCATTGGCGGGTTCCTGAGCCCAATATTCATTTAAAGCTCGCGTCAAATATAGTACTCAAGCAATTGTCGGACAGCTTGCGAGAGTTCGTCCTTGTCCAGATCATATCAAGACTGTCCTGAAGCATGAAAGTGAAACCACAGAAATCAACAACGTCAATGGTCGCCCACTTCGCGGCTTAGGGATGCAGGTATTTATGGCGCATGTCATCTTTGATTAGAGCGAGTCGACTCAATACATGAGCAGCCAATGACTTGAACCGGGATCCATCTGGCGCCAGCAAAATACATACGGTCAACGGGGTATGAATGCAGCATAACTGCAGCTCACATAGAGCAGCCAGTATCGTTTGATCACGTGCACGCAAACAACCATTTTACTTGTGCAAGAGACACCTCGCGTCTCAATATGAATCTTTGAAGACACCCGTTGTGTCAGATCGGCTTTCTTTTCGACTTCTCTGAACGAGGGAGGTCCTGTCGTCTTCCAGATCAGACTACCAGCTGTCCAGGCTGCCTTCGTATCCGAGTTCCACCAAGGAGTGCCCGAATTCTCTCTTGAACGTGTCAATGTTAGCCCTCGAAAAGTGCTGCAAGGTGAAACACCGAAATCTCTGGAACCTGTCGGACCTCACTTTGCCAACCCCACCCCATTCGTCTCTGTAATAAGGGACTGAAGGCAAGGAAGATCCAATTGTGAAAGTGCTGAAGGAAGTCAGAGAATAGCACACCGCAAAGAGCATTCTGACAGGTTCTGCTGTTTTGAGGGCTAACCTTTTTCCATGCGCCAGATTCGCGGGCCTGTACCATTGGACTATCCTCGAGGAGCTTTTTGAAATCTTCTGTCCAAACGCGACCTATCGAAGTGAACCTTTCCAGCTGCTTTCCCTGCAGAGGTGCGGGTCATGCAGGAACTAATCATCCGAAAGAGGAGGATGCGTCTAGCAATCGCACATCCCGCTGGATTCCGTTGATGACCCTTGGAGTTGATTGAGAGGTCGTATTCAATGATTGCAAAATGGCGTCCATCACCATCGATAGCGTCTGATAAGACTTGATGTCAGCTTATTGATTTGAAAACCAACGTGCTCCGTGCGTACCTTGAGCCCATACCATCTCCCTGCTTCGGCAAATCCAGCCGCTGCATTGCCCCACAGGTCTTCGTACTGCAAAAGCAATGTGCGTCTTCTTCAGGTGGATCGATTATATGCACGACGTGAGCGGCGGAAAAATCCACTGTCACCGTCCTGATTTATTTGGAATATGCAGAGATGGCCACGAGCGAGACGTAGAAAGACGATCCGATGCGCGACATGTAAAAATGCTTGCTGTAATCATGACAATCCATTCAGTCCGAAAGCAAACTTACTTTGTCGAAAAGGCTTCCACTCTTCAAAATACAGGTAAGATTGGATATCTCACCTTCAAAAGCTTCAAAACCTGTTTGAAAGCCTTCGCTGAGAGGCTGTTGATCACACAGATGTAGGATAAGGAGCCGCTGCATCCCTCAAGCTTGAGGATTTTGATAACAAGGTCAATACCTTCTGCCTTATTCAGATGGCAGATGTCCTGCAAAGAATTCAACTCTACAATCAATTTTGAGCCGTAATTGGAGTTGCAGAAGTTCGTCTATGGCTTCTTGTACAGCAGGCAGATGCTTACTAGCCTGATTTGCATGTGCAGCGTCAAAGATGCAGGCACATGGTGAGTAGGGTCTTGTATGTCTCACGTTCAGCTTCATGCTCAGATCGATTTCTCGCAGACGTCTCCTCTCCTGCTGCGTCGAGTCCCCCTGGATGTGCTCAATCGAGGTTGCGGCTTTAAGCATCTTCCCTTTGATCATGCACTGGCTTGTCAGCTTCTCGTACTCCTCCAAAACAATGCCCCGTGGATCGCGGATGATCATCGAGGCGATGAACGGACGGGGAAGGTACGCCAAGGTGTTCTCGTCAATTCTCTCGAGCTGTAACAAAGAGAAAATGTGAAATGCTGTTTCATGTACAAACTTTCTCAATCGCTTCCTCAGCGTCCCTTGATAAAGTTCTGAATGCAAGTTGGGATTTGGACGGCGTCCTCAAGGGAACAAATATGTTACGAGACCCGAAGATCTCGCTGTTTTCGACACGACTTCAAAACCCTCGATTGCAGCCCAAGGTCAAGTCTTTGCTCACAACTTCATGAGGTTTTTACGAGGAATTGATTGACGCTACTGGTTTACGTGTCCAATGATCTTTCCCCACATCATTTTCAAGCTCTTCTTCAAGCAGTGCGTTCTTTTGTCTAAAGTACAGATGGAAGGATCATTGCACACGGCTGTCGATAAGAGAAATACCGTGAAAGACCAATTGAATTCGTTGTGGTCATGCTTCAACAAAGTAACGAAACAAAGAACTTAGAGGCCATTCTACTTCGCCTACATTTCATTCCGATCTGTCTCTTGAACAGAGAAAACCTTGTTCTCAAAGCACGCATGAGATTGTCGTTCTGAACGACGTTTCGTCCCGAACCCTTCCTTCAATGAGAGACAGTTTCAGCAGATATCAAAGGTGTACCTGAAATACGTCGTGGTCGCACGTCAAGTCGGACACATGGCCTTGACCGAAGTGCAGCCCTTCCTCCTGGCAGAAGACCCTCAGGGTCTCTCTCCACCAGCCGGCTCCTGCAAGCAACCAATGTGTTGCGGTAACAAGCCAAAAGTCTCTGCAGATGTGTCTTCCCTACCTTCTGATGACGTCTAAAATCGGTTTGATTCAGGAGATGGTTCGAAAGCGGCAGTCTCATGAATGATATCATTCAAGAAGTGGAACATAGGGCTTTCTCTCACCCGTGTTCTGTCCAGCAAGAGAAACAACGATCGGTCTTGTGCCGCTCTGGAACTTATGATCGTGGTAGGTATTCCCTGTACCATTTATCAGGCCCTCCAACAAAGCGATCGATCTTGCCGGACATGAGAATGATGTGATCCCAGTGCTCGCGTATACTGCCACGTCGAGAAGGAAAATCTTGATCAGCGAAAGTTGACATGCTCTGACGTCGATCAATTACGATCTACGCTTGCAGAATGAAAAAGACTTCTGTGTCACAATCTGCCGTTCTGCAGCCTCCACATAATTTGACTAGTTCCGAGAGACCCGAGCGAGCAGGTTCCCTCCCTGTCCTTTTTGAGGAACAATGATAAGCATAAATGATGGCGAAGGCATGTCAATATTTATTGAATTGGCTCGAGGATGAAGCATAAGTGCAACTTGCAAAACCGTTGACGGCAGCAGTAGTACTCAGGCTCTCGATGGTGAGAAGACACCTACCAGCGGCTGCATAGTCGACTTGGCTGCAACAATTAAACAACATTGCTGTAAGCGACAAGCAAATATTGCTATGCTTCATGTTTGAAAAAAGGAGCAGAATATTGCTGGAGAAAGTCGAGAGCTGTGGAGCCGCATGCATGAATCTTGTTTGCAATCTCTTCAGGAGTGTTCTTAATCACCAGCTACGAGCAGCACTCACCTCGAGGATGCATACATTAGTGCCAGCCCAAACATCCCGAAGAAACCGAGGAGGATGGTGGCAAAGAAGGACGCAGCGACTTGGGATACGAAGCGAGATCTACTTGCTTTTTGGCCCTTCTTCTTTCCGCCTCCCGTCATTCTCATGCTCAGCATGACGACTGGAAGCAGAAACACCACTGCAAGTAATATACAAGAGCATCATCACAAGGAAATTGTTTTCTGGGGCGAGTAGCTAAAGGTGAAGAATGTGAGAAAAGGATCACCGTCCAAGCTCAGGACAACGAGATCTAAAGATACTAGATATCAGCTTCCTGAGTCGCCTGATTCTTACCAACAAGGATGGCCCAAAGATCCTTGGTCTGATCACCGGAGATCATCTTGAAAGCGTGTACGTTGCTATTGGTCCTTGATGATTCTTCGTAGCTTCAAGTTCGGGATTACCTCCCAGGCTGGCCTTCTGAAGTGCTCGTCGACGAACAGACGAAGAAGTGCAAATTTTTGCGAGATGAGCACGATTAGTAAAGCTAAGAAGCAGTGCTGACGTCTTCTGAGTGATTCTTGATGACAGTTCCTGGGACGTACTTGCTACAATTTGTCTGTCAGCGAGCGCTTTCCAGCCTCTCTGGACAGGATATCCTTAGACCGAACGTTTGCAATCGGCCGTGCGCACGTCCCCGGGGAGACGAAGCTGAAGGCTGGGAAGGAATCCAATGACTCCTGACGGAGCATAGGGCTTGCTCACACTCTGACACGAGATTCACTGAGACTAATTATGGCATCCCTTGCTCAAAGAAACCGGGAACCAGACCAGTTTGTATCTGCTGTAAGATCTTATTCTTATCTGGCACCATCAAGGCCAGGTCTCACCAAGACTCATGAGTCGGTGAAAGAATCTCCAACGTCGCTTCCACGCAGATTTTGAACCTGAGCCGAAACCCAAACCCTGCCTTGAACCCTGCGGCTCTTAGGACCGCGGGGCCGCGCGCGGCGCGGCCCCGCGCGTTGATTACTACGACTCAGAGCGACACGCGACGCAATGACGCGCGGCTGTGCGCAATCTGCACTGCGCCCGGCCGCGTCGGAACGTCTCGCCGGCGCGTCTTATTTCTGCCAACAGTGGCGGGCACATTTGATGGTTAACATTGACAGTGACCACGCCAAGCCCTTCCTCTTGCTCACGCAATCTTCAAAAGCCCCGCTTGTACCATCAGCTGAGCTGGCCACGATGCAGACGAGACTGAAGCTTCATATTGCATTTTGAACATCATCCCCGGGTTGCAGTGTTGAAAACGCAAACGACCAATGGCACCAGAATATTGAGGTATTTGTCACCATGATGCCGGCGCCTGGACGACGCCATCTATGCAATTTATAAGTCTGTGGCAGTCTTATGGCACATGTTGAATCCGCTCAAACTTTCGAAGGCCCGTCTCAGAGTTCAGCTCCTCTTCCTCCACCTTTTCTTTTTTCATGGCGTCCCCTCGACGTTGTAATTGCAGGGCCTGGCCCCGAATCTCGTGACTTTACTGGAGCGCGTCAATACGGAACCTCAACTTTGCCAGAAAGAGCACATGATGCATTCTTATGGTGAAGTCCCCCGCTTACTTCAATTCAACGCGCTACTTGACGACCGTCGCTTTTCAAATTGTTACCCAAGACCTCATCAACGAGCTAGAGCCCGTGATGTTTCACTCAATACCACATCATTGTTGCTGGCCGACTTGAGTCCCGCCTGGCAGTAGCTCGACAAAAGAATAGAAATTATCCTCCAGCGCTGATCTGAATCAATCGATAATTCGATCATCTTCGATGGAGTTTATATGGATTCAGTCTCCGAGCCGCCAGGGCCGCACGTCGGATCCAAGGACACAATTGCGCACAGAAAAGAATGGCAGCTAGCTAGGGCAAGATATGCGAGACTCAGATCCCAACCGTTTTGCAAAGTGGCAAGATCTCCGGTTTCGTCTGGCCATACATGCATTAATACTCGACCGATCCGCGGGCCAGCTAATAAAAGGATCAACAATCATGGCCCGTGCAAGCGGATGAGAACCACCTTCGCTTCTTCTGAGACGGTGATCAAGCTCAAGCGCATGTACGGCCGGGGCGGCAGCTCGGCTGCACGAGTTTTGCTGCATTCATGTGCCTCTGGCATCCAGAATATGTCGCGCTTGACTTCCGAGTCGCAGCCGCCACTGATAAGCACCTTCTATCAAGGGCGAATATCGTTCTGTAAATCTCAGAAATGACAATATAATTCGGCCGCGCCTCTTCAGAAGCCAAATCCAAGCATGCAGCGGCACAGACTCTATCCTCATCTCTGACCATGCGGTCGCAAACGAGGTGCATGATCGAGACAACGCTGCTTCAAATCTCTACTGTACGCCGATCAAGGTTGTGCTTCGAGCAATGCATGGGGCTTGTACTAGCAACGCAAGCCCTGTCCATTGTCCAGTGATACCTTCGAGTACGGCAGCATCCACTATGATCGCCTTAATATATCCAAAACTTTCTAGAAATCGTCCTGAACAATGACGTCCGACTCGCTAACCAATTTAGTTTACAGATCACAACAGAATTTCCTCGAGCAAGAACAGGAGGCGGCTAATATACACGGGGGCAACGTTCTCTCTACCAGGACTCAAATGCCTGAGACGCCGCGCGCCTCAACTCCTCCCCCTCTCCAACAAGCGACCCTGCCGCCCCCCCTTCTGCTGCCGCTGGTAGCGCCGCCCCCCGCACGACTCCCCTACCCCCTCTCGCCCTCGCCATCGACTTCCAGGGCGACTGTCCCCCCCGTAGCTGAACCCGGTTCCCCGTCGCCACCACTAGTTCTCTCGCCTGCTCCTTCACGAGCCCCGGAACGGAGTCCGTCAGATCGAGCGACCGCAGCTCCGGCAACGACGACAAGATCTTGGTCACACTGCGCAGCGTCAGCTCCTCGCAGTCGCACAGGTGGAGCGACGTCAGCGTGGCTGCGCAGGGCGCAACGCACAGCTCGCCCTCGACAAACTCGTCTGTGAGCCACGCGCTCGGCCCCCAGAAGTGCAGCCGCTCGAGGCGCGACGCTTGCGCGAGGATCACGCGGAAGCAGGCCGCCGAGACCTTCGGGCACACGTTAAGGAGGCACTGCCGTAGCGTCACCCCGTGCTCCGCTACTAGTTGCCCCACCCCCACCTCCGTAATATTCTCCAGCTTGCAGAAGTGTATCACGCGCAGCCGGCACGCCGCCGCGCTGAGCGCCTTCAGACCCTCGTCAGAAATGCCCAGCTGGTGCAGGTGCAGCTTGGTCAGGCGCCGGAAGGAATTATCGGGGATGCCAAGGAAGGGCAGGTCCCGGATCTTGGGGCAGTCGATCAGGTTGATGGTTTCTAGGTACGGCGCGCTCATTAGGAAGGGCCGCATCTGCAGCCCGGCCCAGTGGTGGCTGCTCTTGACCTGGAAGTGCTTGAAGTTGGGGAACTGCTCCATGTTATTGTCGAACGCGTCCTCCGTCAGGCTGACCGCCTCGCGGTCCTGGACGAACCGGTCGCGGTGCTCGATGGAGAGCCACTCCAGCTTCGTGTTGGCGCGGATGAAGTCCCGGATGTTGGGCCCGTGCAGCCGCTCGCACATCTCCAGCTTCACGACGCGCAGCTCGCGGAACTCGCGCAGGTGCTGCCCGCGTAGCGTGGGCGTGAACCCGAGCGCGAGCTTCCGCATTCGCGGGCAGTGCTCCGCAAGGCGCCGGGTGACCTCGTCCGTGGCGGCCGTGCACGCATACAGCTCGAGGCTGGTGAGCGCTGGGCACGCCCCCCCCGAGATGCTGAACAGCGACGCCTCGTCCATGTCGGAGGCCGTCTTCGCGCACGACGAGATCTCCGTCAGGTGCGCCATGACTGGGAGCCCCTCAAACGCCCCACGGACCGTCGAGATCCCGAGGCGAACCCGCACAAGTTGCGAGCAGGCTTGGAGTATTGCCTGAACGCCGATGCCCGTCATACGGTGGCTCTGAACGGTGAGGGACTGCAGGCCGGGGCAGTGCTCAGCGACGGCAACTAGGCTGGCGTCGCTGAGGTCGGGGCAGCCGCGGATCTCGAGCTGGCGCAGCAGGGGGAGGCGGGAGGCAAGCTGTGAAAAGGTGTCGTCACCCAGGGGGAGGTGCAGGTTGCACAGGTGGAGATGGACCAAGGCAGGGGACAACCTGGGGGAAGGAGCGGAAAAGGCGGTTTGTAAAGTTGAGAGTTACTTCGGGGAAGAGAGAGAGGGTGAGAGAGTTGAAGTAATCCTTCGCAGCACCGGGATGAGTAACAACTGAAACTTTTGCCAGTAGGGTAAATCTTCACGCACGAACAGGACGGAAGACGACCTGAGGGAAGTGGAAAAGAATTAGCGAAGGGGTTGAACTCGATGATTAAAGGGGGTTGTAACTCCCAAAGGACTCTTGAAAGGACAAAAGGACTCTTAGAAAGACACGTCGGAAGGCTTTGGCCACGGATCAAAAGCCAGGCGAACAACCTGGGAGGAGTGGTAGACACAGATCGTTTCAGAAAAGGAACCCTGTCATACTAAACCATACAAAGTGAAGGCTCCTCCAACATGTCGAGAGTGCAAAACGAGATTTGCTTTCCCAGTCTGCTATCGAAAGGCAGAAAAAAAAAACAAGGAGATAAAAACCGGTTGCTCGGGGGCTAGGTCACCTGTAAGCAAGAAGAGTGCATTGAAAGGTCAGGATGAGAAATTTCAAATGTTGCAAACCTGGAGAGGGGTCAATTCAGGGGCCAAAGAAACGACAGGGATTGTAAGGGGAGGAAAACTTCAAGAGCTTGTGATCAAAGCACTGGTATCTTCTTTGCAGAGTCTGGCCCCATGACCGTTTGCATGTTTCAGAAGCAAAGCTTACAGTACTCTGACCAGGGCAAACAGTAGCCTGGCATGAGAAGCGAGGCAATGCATTACATCAGGGTTGCATCCAAACCTACAAGATTTGAATAGTCTTGATTTACAAGCCCATCCAATTGGCAGCAGAAACTGACACGTGCCAACCACAGAGACCAGGGAGGAAGGCAAGTACGGCGGCCTGTGCAAAGCATGCAGTCATGTGCTGCCCCTCCAGCCCTAATAAAGCTCCACGAGCAAATCTAAGACGCAAACACAAGACAAACAGTAGCTACAGCACTGCTTCGCACACCGCTGTCCCCAGAACCCTCGATCCCCTTGCATTGCCAGGCCCCAACTATGTTGCAATGCCAGAGTTCTGACAGGTTGACGCAAAAACAATGTCACGGCCTACGAACATGTCCCTTCTGCCACCGCGCCTTCTTCCCAAACTTTGGTTCTCTCCAAAACCCTAAATAACGAGCCCTCCAACACAGCAGAACGCAAATAGGTGTCTCCTCACCTAAGCAACAGCGCCGGATCGACGCTCGCCTCAAACTTGCACCCGTCCAGCCGGAAGCTCCGCAACGACGCCAGGTTCCGCGAGAACGCCTCCCACTCCTCCGCACTGCGGAAGGTGCACCGGTCGCGCGACACCTGGAGCCGCCGCAGGCCCCGGCAGCGGCGGTGCAGCTCCTCCCAGAAGTGCTGACTCAGCAGCGGCTCAAACTCGAGCTTCTCGGGTCGGCCCACCTTGAACCGGCTCATGCTGCCCGTGGCCGGGTTAAGGGGAACCGACAGAGTTAGGTCTAATTCCTCCAGGTTGGGCACTAGCGCGGGGACCTGCTCCAGGGTCTCCCGGGAGAGCCGCTTGTTTTTAGAGTTGTGCAATATGATAAGCGACTTGGTGCCCTCCCCGATGAAGTTTGTGATGCTCTCGTTGCTCGTCGTCTCCTGCGTCGACTTGCGCTTCGCCAGGTCCTGCATCAGGTCCAGCGGCAGCGTCTGCAGCGCGGGCTTCCACAGGCTCCGGTGGGCCATGATCACGGCCTGACAGCGGCTCATCAGCGTCGGAACCTCCTCCTCGATGTCCTCATCGTCGCTCTCCTCCCCGTTTGTGTCTGCGTCCTTGAAGTCCGTCTTCGGCCCCCCGTAGGGGAGCGCCTCCGGCGACTTGACCTGCGGCCGGCTCGCGTCCAGCAGCTCCAGCAGGTGCTGGTCCGCCTTGCGCAGCACGTCGACCAGCTTGTGCCGCGCGCGCTCACAATCCACGTCCCAAACCAGAACATCTTCAAATGCTTGCACCGCCTCTAGTTTCTTCCCCGCGTAGTACAGGCCCCCCGCGCGCAGCATCAGCAGCTTGCACCGCAGACGCTTGCGCCGCTCGAGAGCGAGCGCCTCCCGGTCCCCCAGCCCCTCCTCTTCCCCCTCCTCCGCCATGGCATACGCCCGCTTGGCACTCCCCAGGGACAGCGACTTCATCAACCGCCGCCCCCCGGGGGACCCCTTCCCCTGCAGACCCTCCCTTCCCAGCCGCTCCAGCCGGTTCACTAGTCGCCGCCGGTGCGATGGGAGCGTGCTGTCATCCCGGCTCCGCTGCTTCGTCAGCTTGGCCTTGCCCGACTCCTCTGGTGTGACCTTCTTCAGCAGATCCGAGTTGCTAGCCAGCCACTTCTCAAACCCCTCAAGCAACCGCAGCGCTCTCGCCGCATCCTCGGCACAGCCCGTGTAGTCTGCCGCCTTCCACTTGTCTTTTGCCCGGTTGCCATACAGGTCTATGCAGGTGGAACCGCGGCACAGGTGGCCCGGCCGCTCATGTTCAGCAACAGCTGCCGTAGGCCCGTCCATTATCTGCTCGCGGTGTCTGACTACAGGGTACATGGCCGGCAGCTCAGTAGCGTCCCGGAAGTCCCCCGAGACGCACTTGCCCAAGTGGCCCCCCATGGAAGCAAGCTTTCAGAAACACTGCACCAGGGAGTATGAGATGTTTGAAAAAGGACCCAAGATGTGACCCCAACAATTGTCTGGCAGACAAAACGTTGGCCCCCTTAGTCAGCTAGACGTCCGACAACATCACAACCTCGTTAGGGGCGCATCCGTGGTTTCCCACATTCAAGAACAAGTGCCTCAAGATTCATAAAGCAATTGACTTGCTTTCACTCTCCTGCCAAGCAGAAAATTGTACAGAGGTGACGGAACTTGCAAGCTGCAAAACAATTGGACAAAACATGCACATCTCACAATCCTCAAAATCCTCCGCCAACTTCAAAAGGTTAGAAACTTTCAAATTTGAGAGATACGACACTTCATAGTCTCAGACATAACTAGGTCAACCATGCTTCTTTACGAACAACTCACCTGTCTCTCAAGCAACTTGACAGATCACAATGCAGTTTGACTATGATGAGCCAAACGGCTCTGCCACATCCGGAGCCTGATCTGCGGCCCTCATACCCTCAATAATGGAGCCTCTGATGCCAATAGCCAGCTTCTAAGCACCTTGATATTGTTCACACCTAATGATCGTTTGAACTACGAAACAACTCTGCTTCGAAAATGGCCGACTGTGAAGGGATACTTGAACAACTCGCCAGGTCCAAGTCTCGCAAAACCCTGCGTGCGAACCCTGCGAAAGACAGAAACTGTCGTGACCAGTTGTGAAGGGGCGGCTCCCTAGATCCCAATGTCTTCAGCCCCTTTGTCTTCTACAACACTCTGTCTTCGTTCAACTTCAAGGAGGGTAGAGACAAGGAAATGCTGCGGCTGCGTTCTCCTGTGACCGCCTGGAGGATGGCGTCTCTAAATCAGCATGCAATCTTGACGTCAGATGCGCAGCAGCAGGTGTGCACCCAGGACCAGGACCGGACTTGGACATGTGCCATGTCCATTGGCATGTGGGTTTCTTCTTTCTTGTCCAGTGAGTTTCGGCCGAAATCAGATAACCGGGAGTTTCAGCAAACCCAATTTTGTACTTCAAGAGGGCTCGTCAAAAAGACGAGTCTCGAAAGGTTTCATACAGATCCTGGAAGTTAACCGCATATCCTGGAGCTTCAAACGAGAACCTCGTCGAAGGTTCCAATCAAAACCAGAAGACTCCTCGCTGCCACGTCTGCCACATGTGAGCTCTGTGCACTGAGCTCTAGCTTCTGAGGACAGTGCAGGTGACCGTGCTGATTCCTGAAACCAGAATTCCACTGATCAAATCCGATTTCCAGGGTGGAACTTAATTTTGGAAGTCTGAAGAAGAGCTAGGTTCAAGCGCAATTCTATGTCAAGGCCCAGGGAACGCCTTCGTGTTTCTTCCAGAGCGCTTTCTGACGCTTAGGCTTAAGTTTTAAGTGCAAAACTTCAACATGCTTTCCATCAGGCAGCTGATCCAGAGCAGCCCCCTGCGGCAAGGGGCTCGCTCAGTGAGTGCAAACGCAATGAGGGCTATGAGTTCAGGTGATGGGAGGATGTTCAGTGATGAAGAGAAAGCCAAAGAGACCCAGTATATCAGGTGACTGCAATATCAGCTACATGATTTGATCTGGTTGGTTCATTCTAGGAAGTATATAGCGATCAGCACATGCTTTCTGACGTCAGTAGGAGCTGTTGCGTAGAATGCAGAACAAATGCTGGCTTCTGGTTTGTTAGATTATCAATGAGAGTGCATTGAAGCAAAGTGCGTCTAGGTTGATGTGCCATGCACTCCCCGCTTGGTGGTGCTGAAGGTTGGAATTTGTTTTAATGACTTTGTAGAAGTTTTTAACTCTCCATTCCTGGGCATCTATGTACATCTACTTCGGATTAACAGGAGTTGATCATGCTCGTAGCTGTCCATCAGACCAGGTGACTTTATCAAGTTTATGTGTCTGCAATGCAGGAAAATGGAAGCTGAAAAAATTGAAAAAGCTAAGAAGGAGGTAAGCTTGCGCCGATTGCTTCCGAGTATGATTTTATCACCGTCATGTTCGCATTGTTTGTAATGCGTCTGCTGGCGCTGTTTGTAATATCCTCCTGTTTATGAAGGCATGAACTCTGTTTGGTGAACGGCTTCATTGATATGTTTTCTAATTACTTGCTAAAACATGCTTTTCAAACATGGGGTGGCTTTGAAGGTCAACATTGAGTAGGAAATATTCAGCCAGTTTGGGCGAATCCACTGCACTGTAGTAGTCATCATGTGTCAAGTAGCATAAGAATAGAAACCAGAGATGGCAAACTTTGACTATGTCAACGCCGGTTTGTGGCAGGCAGCTGCAGCTCTGAAAAAGCTTGAGGAGAAGCACCAAAAGGCTAAGGAGCAGGAGAAGAAGTGAGCACGGGCAACAGACCAATGCACTTTTAGTTCCAAGTTGTGAATAGGTCCGATTGGCTGTTGAAACACACCACTTTGTTGGGCAGGTGGACAGTCCCACCATGAGCGATGCAAGCATCCACAGTCCTCAAAAACCTTCCCAAGGTACTGAGAAGGACCTAACCATAGCAGTCTATGGAGGAGTAGTCGCTGCCTTTGTAGGAGGTGCTCTATACTACTTGTCGTCACGCACACAAGCCAAGGTCGAGGAAGAGACGAGCGACTGAATGTGGAAGGCAAAGCTGCTGCTGATCGACTCTCCCTTTATGTTTAATGCCGATCAACATTGTTCCCCGTGGCACCTTGTCAAACGGGATCCGCTCTAGATTTTGCAATCACCCTTTTATTCATCTTTGATATGGGGGGCCCCATCTGGGGACCATGAACGTTGTCTTCTAGATTGTATGTTTTTGGCTTCGGTTGTGCTAGTCAATCTGTTTATTGCGGACGGATCAACATGTAGGCACTTCTGAAACTTGATTCTGGTCCATGTCTCATCTCGCTGATGTTGGTGGGCACCTCTTTGAACTCCATCCCCTCGTTTTATTATATCGTTGGTCCCCGACGCTCTAAGGGGTCATGTAGCTTTTGCTGTACATATAGACTCCATAGGGAGGAAGCAAATGTGATGCTAACCGTCCCCTCTCAGGTGGCTTCTACATGCCTTGCGTTTCCAATAGCTTCATTAGGGCTTCATTATCTACTTAATCAATGTGGATGCACACCTACTATAACTACAGTAGCAGGCCTCAAGAATCCGTGCCTCACTGAGAGATCCGTGCCTGAGGCCAAAGTCACATCCAACACAGCATCATTTGTGTCGAGAACATCATGTTGTAGGGGAGGGAGACGTTTGATACAATACCTTCGTATCCTTTTAATATCTCCAAGTCGTGTGTTACGTAGCGAGGAAATGAGTAAATAGTTAACTGCAGCATCATGTGACCAACATTTCATGAGGATAATTCATGCAAGCGTCTCGATGTGTTGGAGCTCAGCCGGGCAAAACCAGTACCGTCGGTAAGTATAGGTTATCCAACGAGTGCGAGAGAATATCGAAGTTTCGCGTCGAACGAGAGCGGATATTCCACGAGGGCCTCCGAGGCCCGAGTGGAATATGAAGCTCGAGTTTGACGCGAAATCTTCGATATGCTCGAGCACGAGTGAGGGTAACCGACTTATCGCACGACCGGACTCTGATGCATCGTCGAACCTGGTAAGGGTCTCGCGTTTTTTCAACGGCTGAGCGTTGAATAAACATATATATTCACCGCTGGGGTCGCCAACGGAATTCGACGTCGAAACTTTACTAATACTCAACGCCGAAATGGCTGAGCGCAAAAACCGGTCGTGGGATAAATCGCGGTTGGATGCTTCTTGCCCGGCGAATGGTGGCCAGTGGCATGAAGTGCGGTGCAAGTTACAACTGCTTCAAAGCCCCTTCAAAGCCTTGAAAGCTTCACCAGTCCTCCAGTCGGAAGAGACGGAAGGAGTTGGACGTGAAGTCGTCGTACGGAGTGCGAAAGTCTTCGACGAATGGTCAGCTCACATGACCAACTCATGAGCTGGCATAGCCGGTGGGCGTATTGCATGCAAATACTTCCTGCTCACTTCCTGATGCAGCGCAACGCTTGTAAGAAAGGCCGATCGATGGTTAAGCGTCTCGGCGACCAAGTGTCCAAGTGGGCGCTACAAGAGATCGCAAACGCCCAAGCTTTTCGATTGACACCGGTGCTTAGGCCATACCAACATGGATTATCAGGCTGCATGTTTGCACCAAAACGCAATGAAGGTCATTTGATTGCATTTTCAATGAGCACGGGTTTGCTACCATGTAAGTGGAAGAAGAGAAGAAGAATAGCTATCGACCATGCAAAAATGAGTCCATGCATCATTCAGTCAACTGTCAGTGGAAGGTCGGCCGCGCCGCGCCAAGACTGGACCGCCCATGCGAGCTGCCATAATTCATGCCACCTGCGTCGCATCACGTCATACGCAAGCTTTCGGTTATGCAATTGAAGCTAGCTGAAACTCCGAACACAGGCTGGTTATGTACGCAATGATCGGGTTCCGCGACGCCGTCGCGACGGTCGGGCAACCGTTCGCCAACTGTTGGCGCCAACAGTTGCCCGACAACATTGCAACAGCATTGCAACTTGTCGCAACACTGAAAGTACGTTTTTTGACGTTCGATATATACGCGGGCAACAGGACCGATCGCTGAGTCAAATTCTCAGCCTACAAGCTTTTATCGTAGACTTTGACTTTTGTCGATAATTACCCGATGTCAAACTCGCGCGTAGGCCCGACTTTTTAAAGGCTGCAAAGCACATGCATTGTCGAAGCGGATTGACACCATTCCCTTTGAAAACGCCAAATTAAAACACTCTCCTGGAAGTTACAGTATGTTCGATTTAATGTCCTAGGCTGCTTAAGTCTCGTAAGTAGAGACTGTTTTTTCGAGGGATTTGACACGCCATGTAAGTTCTTTTTTGCCCCTGTTTACAGGCAAATCACTGAGGCAGAGTTGCAACACTGTCGCGACACTTTCGAGAGTGTTGCGGAGTTGTTGCCCGACGGTCGGGCAACGGCTGCGCAACCGTTGAATGCCCGACGGTCGATCGACGGACTCGACCGTCGCAGACCTGGAGTCTGCATATAACCAGCCTGTGAACTTATCATACGTCGTTACCAGCATAAGGTTGATTCATCGCCGCCCGGCCTTCTTGTAGCTTTCGTACATGTGCCGCCCTCTGATCGGTTCATCACGTTTCAAACGGTTCGATCAATAGAGGGGATCAGGTGTACAAGTCGCTCTAGAAGCATCGTATTGCTCGTTTCCACGTGTATAGCTACGAAGCCATGTCCACTTTGCAATCGAGTAGCACATCAGAGTGCATTTGTATCATGAACCACAATCAAAGGTTGTCCACAATCAAAGGTTGTCCGTTGGAAAAAGTAGCAGCAGAATGCAGCGGTCATTCCTTGGCGTTGCATACGAGCACCCAAAATATTTGTTCCTTCTCTTCACGTAGTTAGAGCCGCTTGTGGTTTGAAACATTCGAGTAAGAGTAGCGCTTCCATGTGCAACAGGTTGGTGTTGCATGAAAGTGACCTTGTTGCAAGGACCGTCGAGCACTGCCCTAATGGTGTAGCGTGACAACGTCACCTTTGCTCAACTTCTTGGCAGAGTTAACATCACACCTGCGACCTCAACGAATGCAACTTGCCCCTTTTTGTGTACATTTGAAGCTACTTTGTAAGCTTTTTAGATGGGACGTACTAATGCACGTATGTAAGCTTTTTCGGTGGGACTAATGCGACGTGCATGTACCCAAGTAGCATCCCCAAAAGCTCTTCGAGTTCATTCAAGGGGGACTCACAACTTGGAAGGGGCTGGGTACCAAGCCCAGGGATCACTCGAGATATACTTCGTGACCTGCTTAACGGAGAGGTAGTTCTCCAAACCCCTGCAAAGAGCAAGCGCCAAACCAACCCAGTTGATTTCGTATGCTAGTATTCCAAATCCTTATGCTGGTACCTCGCATTGTTAGGACAAGGGGTAAGAGCCGTTCCATTGCAGCCCCTCACGAACCCCACAAAAGCACTTAAGAGCGTGCTTTTCCTTTCGTGGCTCTTGATTCAGATCCAGATTAGAGCAGTTCTACAGAGCTTCGCTTGCTCCCGTCGTCCAAGCCTTGAGGGCATATGCCGACTCCAACAGGACATCACACAAATGAGGGATGCGAAAAGTAAACCCATGGACACAGAAGTGGTCAACAAATTCCTCAGCGGAACGGACTCCGCCGCACTCGGCTCACCAGGCCCGAGCTCGTATTCGAAGCACATTGCGAAGTATGCAAGCAGAAACCCGGCAACAGGTAAGACGCGAACAACCCCTCCAGCGGACCGGAATCCGCCGGAACCCACTCACCAGGGCCAGAGCTCGCGTTCAAAACACATCAGGAGGTACGCAAGCAGAAAAAAGGGAACCCAATAAGACGCGGACAGCCCCCCCAGCGGAACGGAATCCGCCGGAATCCGCTCACCAGGGCCCAAGCTTGCGTCCGTGACACATACCAGAATGTGCACGCGGAAAACCCATAAGCGAACAGGAAGCGGACAGCCCCATCAGCGGATCGGAATCCGGCCGAAATCCGCTCACCAGGGCCCGAGCTCGCGTCCGAAGCCGCTGCGCTTGACGCCGCCCCAGGGCGCCTGGCAGAAGCACGGCTGCGAGCAGTTGATCCAGAAGATGCCGCACTGGATCGCCTCCGACACGCGCTGGCACCGGGCCTCGTCCTTGGAGATGACGGCCGCCGCGAGCCCGTAGCTGCAAAGAAAAAAAAGCGGAGATGCTTTTGGCAGGGCCTAAGGAATGCGACCGATCAAAAATCCTTATGCGAAAAGACGAAAACTCGAGAAGGAGAAGCAATGCTGAACTTTCATAACAGAAGCGGGCTGCTTCAACGTAAGGAGCAGTTTCGAGCCGATGCGCACCGGCTGTAAGACTGGACGAACGGGTCACGGGACTCTTCTGGACGTAGCCGTCAGATGACCTTTGAAAATGCGAAGAGTGCCGCAGAAACGGCGCCTTTCTGCACCCCTTTGGAATGCAAGCGTTCTCGCTTACGAAACTCCAAGATTCTTACAAAACTCAAAAATTCCTGTCCAGCACACAAGTCACCGCACTGAGGGACTCCAACTTGATAAGCGAACCAAAGCACAGATGGAATGCACTCACATTGAATCGTTGGCCTTGTTGATGGCCTCCTCTTCCGTCCGAAACGTGTCGACGGACAGCACCGGTCCGAAGATCTCGTCCGTCCAGACCTTGTGGTGCGGCTTGATGTCCACGAACACGGTGGGCTCCAAAAAGTAGCCCTTGGGCAGGTGCTGGACACGTGGCACACAGTGAAGCCGTCAGACATCCGCAGAGGTGACGCGCATTAGATATAAATGAGTGTTAAGTCCTGTTTGAGCGTGTGAGTAAATAATGCGGCTTGATCACGACAAACTGGTGCTTGGGCAAGTGCTGGACACGTGGCACTCAGCGAAGCCGTCAGAAATTTGCAGAGGAGACGGGCGTTTATCCTAAAATGTCTCGATTGTTGTTTGGACCCTGTTCCCCGTCAAATCGGCTTGGTCACCAGAAGGTGAGCCTTGGAAAGGTACTTTTACATGTGGCAGGAATGAATGTCGTCAGCCGGACAATTGTGCCGGAAGGTGGGCGTTTATTATGCCAGCTGTCCTGTTTCGGTTGATGTTGCAGCGTTTCGCGTGGATTTGTGAATCTGGACCTCTCAGTTCCGATGCCCTCGTCGTGTTCGGGCTTACCGGAAGGTACTACCGATCACTTGCGGGGCCATGATGACCCGCAAAAGTAAGAGCCGGAATCGCAGGTGCCGCTGTTAGATTCGCCGACACGGTGGAGAACCGCAGCTGATTGCATGTGATCCGATTTTTCCAGGACAGAAGGATCGATGCAAGTGGTGCAAGACTCGATACCAATGCCAAGCTCACTCAGTCGCAACTCTGAACGCTGTGAACCCGAGTCTCCAATACGCAGTGTGCACTTTCTCGAAGGTTTTCTCAGGTAGGAAGGAAGGGCTCTCCGACTGGGTGCATAAAGACTGTTTGGATAAGGTTTCAAAAAGCGGAAATCGCATAGAGATTTATCCTCGTTTTATTGCAATCTTATATTATATAGGAATTCTTTGTGTCGAAATGTTCGGAAACGAGCGACTTCTGAAAGCGGACAAGCGCGCGGGCTGCATACCTTTGGTCGCTTGCCTCCAGTCAGAAGCGTCGCGCCATCCTTCTTGCCGGCCTCGATGCAGCCAAGCACTTTTTCGTACTGCAGCGAAAAATGTGCAGAAATGTGAGCATGGGACTCAAAAGCCGCTCACAAACAGACGTTGTCAAGCAAGGGGTGACCCATGCTCGAGAAGCCACTGCAAAGTAGCGCCTGTTTATTGCCAGTTCTTGCAAACCTTGTTCCCGAAGCACCTTCAGGGAAAAGTGTGAAAGCCCTGGGCTGCAAACTCTCCACAAGTGCTTTTCGCGGGTTTGCAGCGACGAAACGCCGGCGGAATTACGGACAAGATCGCCACCGCCATACACAGACGGAACCAGAAATTGCAGCCGCTGAATATCACCAATTGCGCCTGATCAAGACCAATTGCGACTAGAGAAAAATGAGGACCCCATTTCTTTCTACAATCTCAACGCAACGAAACCCTTACATGGCTCTCGGCCCGAGACGCGATTTGCGGTTCAGTTGGTCAGCGATTACAATAGCTTGCGCCCACGCCTTGAACTTGTGCTCAAACCCAGAAAAGACTAAGGATTGATCCAACGTCGCCTGGAATCGAAACCTAAGGAATCTCACCTGGCTTTCGCTGACGAGCGGCCCGAGGCGCGACTTGCGGTTCAGTGTGTCATCAATCACAATGGCCTCCGCCCACGCCTTGAGCTTGTGCTCGAAGTCAAAAGAAGACGAAAAAGGAACCCAACTCCGTCTGATCCAAAACCGAAAAGATTCTTACCTTACTTTCGCTGACTAGCGGCCCGAGGCGCGACTTGCGGTTCAGTGGGTCAGCGATAACGATAGCCTCCGCCCACGCCTTAAGCTTCTGCTTGCACTCAAGAAACTTCGTTCTGAATCGAAACTCAAAAGACTCTTACCTGACTTTCGCTGACGAGCGGCCCGAGGCGCGACTTGCCGTTGAGTTGGTCAGCAAATCACGATGACCTCCGCCCACGTTCTAGGCTTGTGCTCAAACTCAGGAAAAACGAAAATCAAATCCAACTTAGTTTCGAATCGAAACCTAGAAGACCCTCACCTGGCTTCGGCTGACAAGCGGCCCGAGGCGCGACTTGCGAGTTCCGTGGGTCCGCAATCACAATGACCTCCCCCCATATTCTGAGCTTATGCTCAACTCAGCAAAAACGAAGATCATATCCAACTTCGTGTCGAATCGAAACCTTCAAGACTTTCACCTGGCTTTCACTAACGAGCGGCCCGAGGCGCGACTTGCGGTTCAGTGGGTCCGCCATAACCATGGCCTCCGCCCAAGCCTTGAGCTTCCGCTTGAGCTCAGAAATGTCCCAAATGGAAAACCAAACCCAACTTCGTTTGGAATTGAAACCTAGGAGACTCTCACCTGGCTTTCGCTGACGAGCGGCCCGAGGCGCGACTTGCGGTTCAGTGGGTCAGCAATGACGATAGCCTCCGCCCACGCCTTGAGCTTCCGCTTGAACTCGTCGGCGATGCTCTCTTGCACCAGGAGTCGTGACGTGGCGCTGCAGATCTGGCCGTTGGTCCAGAACGCGCCAAACATCGCCCACTCCACGGCTGCAAGAGAAGACGCGAAATACTGGTGAACAGAGTGAGGCTTATCTCAACCGTAAACGAGATTAGGCTGGTGATTCGTTGCCAGAGGGGTTTGGATGATGCTTCAAAGCCGGTAGGTATAGACCCATGCTTTGTGGTGTTCGAACCATTGCAACTGAGGGAAGGGTTCGACGGTGCTCAAAAGGCAACTCGACTCTCGCGCGAGTTCGTAAGGAATCAAACGCTTCGGTAGGGTGGATAACGCATGTTGAAGACCGTGGCTCGAAGACCCTCCCAAAGCAGCTTTGCTTTTAGAATGTAATGTAGTAGTATGTGTCTCAGAGGCCTACATCAAGGACTTCGGCTCTTCGCTACTAAAGCATGCCGACCCTTTAAGAGTTTTACGCAGTGGTCAAAACATCTTCTCAAGAGCACTTTTGATTCTTCGTTCATACAGATCATCGTACGGCCAGTCAGCCAAAAGAACCACGAAGGCGTCAGCCAGAATCATCTTCGGTCGATCTCTTTAAAATTATTTGAAATGCATGCTCCTACCTTTGTCAATGTCTGCGTCCTCGAACACCATAAGCGCGCTCTTCCCACCGAGCTCCAACGAGACCGGCTGCAAGAAAACAACTGGATTGAACATGTCGAGAGAAGAACTCCATAGCGAGATAGACTTTCTCACTGCCCAGTACGAGTCACCGCCCTCCCTTTTGCACCGAGAAACCGGATGCTCGCCCGCCCCACACCTATCCGGCTTTTCTTCTTGTGCATTCAATGATTCAGCTCCATAAATCAGCACGACGACTCTCAGATCTAGCACATTATGCGGAAAGCTTGGACGGTCTAAGAAGCAGTGGTTCGACGCGATGCGTAAGCGTTCGTTGGGGCGTGCCGGGTTACGTCACAGAACTGATGTCCAACGCTAACGAAGTACGAACCAGCTCGTCGGAAAGTGGGCAGTTTCGGCGCCATTTTGACACAGAGCTCGGCACCAGATCCAGGAAAAAGAACTGCTGACCGACTCATGACGCACGAGGCAACCCACAATATGAACCAACCATGTGCCTTGGAAAGCGCATTAGTCAACACCGACAAAGCGACCCTCGTTCGACGAAGGCTCGTTTTCGAGCAAGGATAAGACGGACCTTGATTGCTTTCGTGGCAGCCATCATGATTCGCTGTCCAGTTGCAGTACTGCCTGTGAAGGCCACCTGTCAGAGAAAAGAGGCGTGGGGTATTGCTTCTTTCCGCTTCGTTTCTAGTGTGAGGTTTTGGAGCGAGAAGATGCCCTGATGAGCTCGCCGTTTCAATCCCTTGGTTCTCAGACAAAAGGAGACAGTTGACAAATTAAATAGTACAGTAGGGACTACAACAAAACTCAAAACGGAACAGCCGCCCCAGTGATGCCCAGGTCCACATTCGAAAAAGGAGTACTTTGATTTTTGAATGAATTGGTGGACGTTTCAACCACCAGAATCCTCAAAAGAAAATCGGCGCTCAGAATTTTGCGCTGAGAAGGGACTTGCCGCCCAGGTGCCAACAGGCATGAAACGACCGGCCCACTTAATTCCCCAGGTCTAGCTTCGAGAAACGAGTTGACCACGAACGGGTGGGCAAAATCGGTAACATTTTGAATATGATCTGACGCTCAGAAAGTCCTTAGTTTTTCAGCGGAGAGCCACTCCCCGAAGGGTTCAGTCTGAGAAAGGACCCGCAGATCCAAGAGCCAATATTTCGTAACACAGCACAAGATCGTACCTTGTCAACTCCTGGGTGCTCTGCCAGCGGCGCGCCTGCCGTTGGCCCCAGCCCAGTGACGATGTTCAGCACGCCGGGAGGAAGCCCGACGTCAGCAGCAATCGCGCCGAGCTCCAGACACGTGCTGTAGGGAACACGCGTTTTAAGATGTTGTGAGGAATCTTCGAAGTAAGGCAATGCTCGGGTACGAAACGCTTCGTGTCTCGATTTGTGGGATATCTTTTCACGAAGAATAGAGAATCCTCTGGAAGAGGTCTACAGTCCCTTCGGTGCGAACGAGGCTCTATTCCGCATGGCAATAGGAGAATTTGAAAGATGTTTGGGAGCAGCGCTAATGCAGAACGTGAAAGCCAGGGCTTTACGGAAGATAGAGAAGGGATGGATGGCTTCTTGAATCCACTCAATGGCAGCCATGAGAACTTTGAGACGACTCTTCTAGGAGGAAAAACGCCGTGGCCCTTGTGTGCTTACATCGAGGCCAGCTCAGACGGCTTCAGGATTGCGCAGCAGCCCGCCGCCAACGCCGGAGCAACTTTCCAGGCTGCCATCAACATGGGGTAGTTCCTGAAAGGCAAGAGGAGCGCATGTCAGGTGTCAAAAGAACTCTACTTGCTTTCACTTTGAGCAGAATCAAGCTCTGCTAACTCGTCGGGGTCACTGTAGCTTGCTACTTGCCCCCCACAGATCCGCCATTGAATTGGTGCTCAGTTTTGAGCCTGGAGAGGCGGCTTCAGTTGTCAACATTCTCAGGCAAGACAGTAGGGAACGGGCGTCTATGACACGATCGACGAGACAAGGCAGCCAGCCAGAAACAGCCGCTAACTTTGAGCCAAGTTTCACTGCAGTCGGAAATCCAAATCGACTTCCAGGACTAGATCGAAGAAGCACTACAGACATCATTCCAAATCGACTCGCTATCTCCGAGCAAAGGTTTGTGACGCCTGTCAACCTTCCAGATTGACTCACTTCCCTAACGGGGACTTTGTAACAGCATGAGTTGGTTGAAATACAAACAAAAATTGGGCACATTCTCACCAGGGGGTGATAAGGGCCACGACTCCAATCGGCTCCTTGGTCACGTGCGATTTGAAGGTGTCCATGGGGACTTTGATCTCGGTGTACTTGGTGGCGTCCAAGCCCTCCGCCAGCTCAGCATAGTACTCAAAACAGCCAGCCACGTCATCCTGCAAAGAGCGATATTCACACAAAGTTGTCAGCCCCTTTGAAGTCTGTGTGAAGCAGAACCGTTCGTGTCGGAGGTGTCGTTAAATTTACAGGTGATTCTCCATCAATGGCCTTGTTGTGAAGAAGAGACTGCGCTGAAGTGAAACATTTGTGAGCTCATTGTGAAGGATGACAGCTCGCAAGCTTTCTGGCAAGGAACAGCTGCAGTTCAATCTGTGGCCCCCAGTAGTTTTGGACCCCCCAGTAGTTTTGGACCAGAGCATTCCCATGTGTACAGCTTGAGCGTGCCATGTCGAAGCCCTTCTTTACAAGTATTTGCCCTCTGAAGACAATTGAAAGGCTTACCGAAGCATCCTTAGAACTTCTCAGTTACAAGGAGATGCGTAAGGTTTCAACCAGAATCAAGGTACTTGTGATGCAGCCACGACTTTTAAGAACCAAACAGACGGACCCTAAGCTAGCGGAGCAAAAAATGAAGGTTGCCAGGATCACTCACCATGTCCCACTCTGCTTCATCGATTGGCTTGCCATTGTCCATGGACTCAAGCTGTGCAAGCTGCGACTTGCGCTCGGTGACCTGATGAATTAAGTAGAGTTACCCTTCAGTTGTGGATTCTGGGACACTTCACACCCGCACGAGACTCAATGTTCGCTCGCTAAACATTTCCTTGAAAGCTGCTTTCATGGGGCCCATTCTCATCCTCACAGCTCAAGTGAGCCTACAACAGAAAGTCACTTGGTCCAACACATCCTGTACTGGAGTGCATACATTGAAGAGAGGGAGGGACCAAAGGTATGTCTTTAAGAAACTTCAACCCCTGCCAGAAAAGGATTCCAGCTACAGTCAAACCTTGGGCCCAAAAGCTGAATGCTCCAAACAGGAGATAGCCAGAAGCTCCCGTATACCTTTGCAGCAATTGCCCGGAGGTACTTGGCACGCACGGCGCCCGTAGCCCTTGCCCAGTCCTTGCCCCCATTCCTGGTGAAAGCGTCCCTTGCGGCCTTCACCGCCTTGTCTACGTCTTCAGCAGTGGCCGCAGGGATTGCGCCTGTGCCCCACAAGATGCACCAAATCTCCAATCAGTTTGATCAGGGAGACTCATAACTATACGAAGTGTCCAACACAAAAGCGTACAAAGTGTCCAAGACCAAAATGGAGGTATCCAAATCAATGAGAGCAAGGTTTATGCCCATGAACGTGCATCAGGTTGGGGACAACAAGCAGCTCTTGTAAGGGCAACGAGAGACATACATAAGACTAGACTTAGGACAAACAAGATTGAATTGCCAGCGGAGTCTTGCTCTTGGACCTAGTACAAACATTTTGACCTCAACACTCTAAGACAATCTTGATTCCCCCCAAAAGCTGCTAAGTCTTCAAAAACCCCCTGTTGCATTCTGCATAATCAGTTTGACGGACAACCTCAGCTGGGTCTCACCGATGCTCTCCTCAGTTGCTGGGTTGATGATTGGGAGGCGTTCATTGAGAACAGGGGCTACCCATGTGCCATTGATGAAGAGATCCCTGGTTGGCACGGCAGTCCGTGCAGCCACAGCAGAGTGGCCATCACTTTCAGCCATGATTGATTCCTGATCGTTCTACTCCGCGAAGCAGAAGAAGGCCCCAATATGAATAAAATCTTCCTCTGCTCAGATCAAAGAGAGTTTCTTCTGTAGTAAGTTAGTGCAGAAAGCTGGAACTTGAAGTTGAAGTTGAAGGACTGGCTCTTTCCGGTCCCATTCCGGCGGGCACCCGTAGACAAGGTTGACGGAACGCGCCCTGCTACTTTGCAACCCTGTTGTGCGTGGGCTGAAGATTCCGCGCGCCATTCCCTGTGCATCCCGTTCCGCTTTGTGCACGACTCTCACTAATAGTGCTTGGAGTTGGCAGTGGGCTTCAAATTTCTAGGTCAGACCAACAATGCTGTTTCTGTATGCACAGCTGGGGGCGCCCATATCGACAGAGCTCCTTCCTGAGGCGACCACAAGACTTTAAAAGTTGTTCCGCGAGCGGCGGTGAGGGCTCTGTGACTTGCATGGGTCATATAACAAGTGAAAACCACCGGGAGTAGCTTACTGGCTTTTGATTCTTCAAGCATTTTCCAAAAAGCCTGATGCGGCTGGTGGAATATTGTCAACTGTTTGGCGGTGAGCTGAAGACATGTATTGCTATCCATGAATGCTGTTTTGCAGTGCTGTTGAACTTCTACAAAGAGCAAATGCTTGATTGGGGCAAAAGAACAAGGGAAAAGTTTAGATAGCCCTTCCATGGTCCTGCCCACTCCATTGATGGCCCCTCATTTGCCTCCAGAAGCTGCCCAGAGTCTTGAATGATATTGAACCTGTGAAGTGGGACCGATGTGTATGGCAAGGCTCTCGCTGATGATTACTGTTTGAGCTTGGCCCAGTGGGCTTGGCTTTTCTCCCTAAAAATCTTCTGTTTCGTTGTATCTACTTTTAGTGATGTTGGCTTATCATTTCCCCAACTGGGCTCGGGCTTTCTTCTTTTGAGCTTGGCCCACTGGGGTGGGTCTCGCTTTTTGGAGTTCTTTGAGTTAACGCATCTCTATTTAGTCAACGTTACAATCCATGCAGACAATGCCAGAGTAAGAACATCAAGTTTCGACCTCTTCCCGCATTGCTGTATCTAACTCTTATCTTACAGACTGTGTGCTCTTTCCACAGTGGGCCATCCGCTTTGAGTGCAGTGTCAAAGTAAGTTCGATGCGTGCACCGTCACCAACAACAAAGGGCAACAGGCCAGCTTGGTAAGCCTCGCATCTTCTCACATTGTAGAGCACTGGTCATTGGCCTGATCGTTGACATTTGCACCGCGTCTCTGGGCGAGTAAGGCAGGGTTTTTCGTAGGGCAAAGGCTGCGCTGAGTCAATTTGTGACTGAGGTGTTTTTAGAGAACCTACTGTGAGAATGTGCTTTTGGAATTAAGGATGCTTGATGAGGATTCCCAGTGCTTGATTAAGGTTTGAGATGTTGAATCATCTATGCTCAAAGTACCTTGTAATTGCCGCCCTTGCATGTTATGTACAGCCAATGCTAGATATGTGGCGATCCACCATATGTAACCCTGAAGCTTGCGAGGAGTTCATTCCAAAGAAAAAAGTGCAAAGAAAGGACAGGGATGCAGTGGTTATCATCTGCATTACTTCTATAAAGAGTATGCATGATGGAGAGGTTTCTTTCCCTGCCAAGGGGATTTTGATGTGGTTGCCTCCTCTCATCCATCTCATCATTGGCCTTGCAGGTGGCCCGTGTGACATGCATCATGGCTACATTTGCACCTCGTTTAGATGCAAGGATGCTACGTCTGGTGATTTTGTGGGGTTTTAGCTTCATCTGCGGAGTGCAGTCAGCCACCATGGAGGATGTTGGCAACCTGGTGGCTGGTCCTCTCTGGAACCAGACCAGGCTCAGTCTGCACTTTAGGGGCCTATCCGGCCCCATCCCTCGAGAGCTTGGCAGCCTGACTAACCTCACCTACCTGGACCTCTCCCTCAACAGCCTCTCTGGCCCCATTCCCCCGGAGCTCGGCAGCCTGACCAACCTCACCTACCTGGACCTCTCCCTCAACAGCCTCTCTGGCCCCATTCCCCCGGAGCTCGGCAGCCTGACCAAACTTTCCATCTTGGCCCTCGGATATAACGACCTCTTCGGCCTCATCCCCCTAGAGCTCGACCGCCTCGCCAGCCTTCAATACCTCAACCTCACGAGCAACAACCTCTCTGGCCCCATCCCCTCCAAGCTCAGCGGCCTGACCGGGCTCCAAAAGCTCGACCTCTCCTTCAACAACCATATTTCCGGCCCCATCCCCCCCGAGCTCGGCGGCCTGACCGGGCTCCAAAAGCTCGACCTCTCCTTCAACAACCTTTCCGGCCCGATCCCCACAGAGCTCGGCAGCCTGACCGACATCGAAACCCTCAACCTCAGTTCCACGGACACGTCTTGCGAAATGCTCGACTTGTCGCGTATGACGAGGATTCAAAAGTTGGGCCTTCCTTGCTCTCCACCCCTCTCTTTCAAGGAAACCAATCTTTCCTACTTAGCACTGACCGTTAACACCCAATCCAGCCCCGCCAAATACCTGGACCTGTCGGCGGTGCCAGACTCCTGCAAGATCGTCAACCTGACGGGCCTGCACCCCAACCTCGAGCGTGTCCGGTTCTGGGGAGCTTGCAACGAGGGCTGCGTGGTGAATTTGGCAGGCACGGGGGCTAGATTGGATCGCAGCACCCGCGGGAAGGTGTGCTTGAGTCGGATATCGGTCTTTCTCTCGGGGGACATTCCCTTCCCGCTGTACGATCGGGGGAAGTTTTTAGGCATTCTCCAAAATCAGCGCGGGAACTATAGTTTGGATGACCCCAACTTCGTGGATCTGATCGACCTGGGGCGCGACGGGAGGGCGTACACGGGGGTGGGGTTCTCGAGGGTCCAAGCGGGCAATCTATGCGGTAATCCCGAGGCGAAGGGGGTCACGGCGCTCGTCTTTGGTGTCTTCACCGTCCTCTTGCTGGTGGGGACCATCTCCGTCGTCGTGGTGGCCCCCTGGCGCCGTCGGATCCGGGGAAGCGGTCTCGAGGAGGACGGGGCCGTTAAGAGTGGGTAAGTTCGTTCACTTGCTCGGATCCGAAGTCTATTATCTCGTCAGACCATCCAGATCCGGTCACGCGCACAGTCTTTACATGCGGCTATCAACCGAATGGTCAGATCCTGTGCTTCCTTGTGCAGCTTACGGCGTGGTGGGCTCTACCTTTGGGGAGTAGCGCTGGGCGTTCTACCCGTGGTGGACGTCGTCACCGACTTTCTAGTCCTGAGCGAGGTCTGGGGCGCGTGGCCGATGTGGGTGGTATTGGCATCGGTCTGTGCGCCGTTCGTATGGGCGTCCTACGCGGTGGCTGAGTCCTGGTCGTCGACCAAGATCTCAGTGCGCGGTTTGAAGGGGTTGCGGGTGAGGTGGATGTGGCCCCTGCCAGACATGGGCGCTCAGCAGCGGAGGGCGAACGCGTTGTCCTTGCGCGCTGGTGTTTTGGCAGTCCTGCTGCTTCCCCTGGGACTCCTGGGTGTGCTCGTCCAGGACCTGCTGTCGGTGGCGGAGAGGTTCGGGCTTCATCTGGCATCGGGGGATGAGATCGTCGTTTTCGAGCGCTACCATGAGTCTCGGGTGGTGGTCGAAGTGCTTCTAGAGTCTCTGCCCCAAGCCATCTTCCAGACCGGACTCTACCTGATCGGGAGCTCGAGGGCGACCCGCATCTACATCGACCAGCGCATCTTCGTGCAGTCGATCGTTGTTTCGTTGTGTAGTCTCTTGATGCATTACTGCACTATGCTGTGGGAGGCAGTATACGAGGGCAAGTCGATCGTTAGGGTATTCCTGGACCGATTCAGGGGTGCGGGGCAGCCGATCTCCGTGGCGCTGACCACCGGGCCCAGCGGGGATGAAGAGGTGGAAGTAGTGAGTCTCAAGGCGGCTGGTTGACACAAGGCTCAGAGGGTCGATTAGAAGGTCGCAAGAGAAGTGTTTTGGGTTATCGATTATGTATGGGTAGTCACGCCCCCCGACGCGACCGTGGAAAATTGCATACGCTGTGACTCGGTGATTCTAGATTGGAAAGGTCTCTTGGCATGTCTGACAAACTCACCTTGGCGTTTGACAAGCACTCATGTCAGCTCTCTGATTGTATTAACCTACAGCCTAACCACGGCCATTCTAGAAATGACAGAAGATTCCGATGCAGTCTGGTTCTGTTCGCCTTTCCCGAGTTAGTTATGTTGCGCCAAGAACGAAAATGGTGGATATCCATCAAGATGGCGCAGGATGTCGACCATTCGTCAGCAACTAGGTTGGCTCCTGATTGCATTGCACCTAAGCATGTTTGGCACATTTTGAACCGGCCAACCGCGGCCTTCCTATGTGACTCTTTCCGATCGAGGTTCGCAATCGCTGCAACGGCATAGTGCGCGCGCACGAGCGCAGTCTGGCACAGAGTGACTGTTTTAGGTCGTTCGTGCGCTGTGCCACAACAAGCGCCATCCAAAAACATACAAAGACACTAGCGCACAATGTCGTGCTGCACGCGCTGCACCCCGCCCCTCCCGTTTTTTGCGTGCACCACCTCTTACTCATGGGACTTACTGAGCGAGTGCGTTCTATTCTACGCAACTTCAACTTGCGCCGAGAAGAAAGCATCATTATACTTGTGAGGCTAGATGCGCGCGGTATGAAATATGTGATAAGCATCGTTCACAATCGAGGGTGCGCAGTGCGATGCTAAGGTTGGTCGTCCGGTCTATATGACGAATCATGGCTCCTTGTTGACTAGTACTGTTGAATAGGGAATAACACTTGACGGTAGGCTCTAACCGGTCTCTGCAACGACTTCGGCCAAAGTTCATTTAATTCATTCTAACTTTCCTTTCGCTCCCTAAAGCCCGAGCCGGGGTTGGTCAACTGGTGTTTCTGTGGGCCTGGGTTGCTTCTGGGGCGACCATCATCTCCTGTAACCACTTCAGCACCGCAGGCCAGACCTCGCCCGATGCGAAGTAGTCGTTTGCGAGCCGCTCTGCGAATCGCTCCGTCCCACGCACTTGCTCACACAAAAGCTCGGCCCTCGGCCTATCCTGCTCGGTGCCTCGTCCGTGCCAGAGCAGCCATGCGAGCCAGACTCGCGACGACAACGCCTCCGCATCCTTGGCCGCAGACTCGAAGAGCTGGAAAGCCGCAGCCCAATCCTGTTGTACTCCCAACCCGTCCATATACAGCTCCCCCAGGTTGCCCTGCGCTGCCGACACCCCCTGCTCGGCGGCCTTCGCGTACAGCTCGGCCGCGCACGCCTCGTTCTTCTCCACGCCCGTGCCGTACTCGTAGCACACGCCCAAGTTGTACTGCGCCCTTGCGTCGCCCTGCTCGGCGGCCTTCGCGTACAGCTTGACGGCGCGCGCCTGATCCTTCTCCACGCCCTTGCCGAACCAATGGCACACGCCCAGGTTGCACCGCCCCCTCGCGCTGCCCTGATCGGCGGCCTGCGCGTA